TATTTATAATCTTTAAATTCATCCGCGATTATAAATCTGCACGGTTTTACCAAAAATTCAGATTGACCTGCAGATTATAGAAGAAACTTGTAAAAAGAATTTTAGAAAAAAAAATTATATACCGTATTTTGCAATATATAAGCACCCCTTTTTGCACTTAATGCCGACCAAGATCCTTAAAGTTACAATGGTCGGAAATGTTTTATAGCTGATAGTGAGTTATCACTATCGGCGTTCTTGTTATGGCGCTTGAGGCAAATACGTAACGTTATTTTTGCGTATTGTTCATTGTTCTTCTGGAATGAAAATATTATAGCTGATAATGAGATTAACATTATCCGCGTTTTTGTTATGGAGACTGAGACAAATACGTAACGTTCTTTTTGCGTATTGCTCTTCAAGAAGTTACGATGATTGGAAACGTCATAGTGAGATTATCACTATCAGCTTATTATGGCGTTTAAGACAAATACGCAACGGGGGTGCTTACTAACAGCAAAATACGGTATATAATATAGACGATCTTTTATGATGGCGAAAAAGGTGTAAAGATGAGATCCACTTAAAAGATGAAGTTTGAAGATTGGGATTTATCTTTCTGATGAAAAGAATATTGAAGATATCGGCGATGAAATTATGGAATTTGTACACGCTCATGATTAGTATTCTTTATGAAGCTTTTCCATCATAGCTGACAGATTCTAAAGTTAAATATTTTATCGAACATTGTAAAAAGCATGATGGATATTATTTAGTTTATCTTCATACTCCTTTATTTATCAGAAAATTAATTATTGAACATTTATTAAGATCATTATGTGTTTTATTATTATTAGTATTACTTGTTGTTTTATACATGCGTAGCTAAATGTATAATTGACGCAGTAACCGTAGATTTTAGATAATAATAATGATCTGTTCTTTTCTGATTGATCAGAATCCGTTTTGCGCAATAACTCGCCATCCTGTGATCGTAGAAAGACACTTTTTTATACAGTAGATAAATAGGTCTCCGAACTAATAAGGTATTTATTTTATTATTATTATTATTATTTTTATTATGTTTTTGCTAATGTTTAAATAATAATATTTTTTTTTTTTTATTAGAGTAACGAAACCTGGTTTCGTTAATAAAGTCACCCTGGAGACCTTTCATTGACTTAATGAGTGGCGTAGCTAAAAAAGAAAAAGTCTGCACTCACTATTGATGACACTAAGAAAATTAATTAATGACTAAAGTAGTAAATATTTTAGATAATTCCATAATTCTTTCTTTACATCATATCGATTATCATTTTTCTAGTTTTTATTCCGAAGAAACTCAGACACGTGATCATTTTTCTGAAAAATTTTTATAGGGTCTAATCTCTTATACCTGTCTCTTATACACATCTAGATGTGTATAAGAGACAGGTCCAATTTTTTTTTTTTTTTTGAATAAAGTGTATAAAATGTTCAATTTTTTTTTTCGTCCTACATAGGACATTTTAATTTCTCAGTTTTAAAAATTTCCATATGTACAAGTAGTAGTTAGTGCATTAAATCCAATATAATTAACATACTGTATTTTTGAAAAAATATGACCAGCTTCAAACGACAAATAATACAGTAAATGATTGTAGAAAAAGAAATATTTTTTTTATAATTATATTTTGATAAATTATTAAATTTTATATTTTATATTAACAGCAGCAGATAAATCCATTCATTTATTTAAGATTTGGAGGCTGTACTTCAATTTTATCGAGTTTCGCGCGTAAAATTATTATGCAGTTAACTAGGAAACGGGAACCGTTGTAAGTCCGGAGCGAAAAACTAATATTTGTCGATTTCATTGGGCGACGATCACGTGGCGGGCAGAGAAATTCACGGGATCGATTTTTTTTTTCATAGTGCGTAGACATATATTGTCCTCCGAACAATTATACAAATAGATGACGCAAATTAAGGGAATTTCTATCCTGCTGATTTTTGTCGCTAATTTATTAGATCATTTTTTTAAAAAAAAACTTTTGCACTAGTAAAGGGCATCAGATGCGACAATTATTGCACTCAATCACAAAATTGTAAGTGTTCATAAATGCATAATCACAAAGTTCGCTACCAAGTTAAGTGTGAAAAATAGAATGTTTATATCTAAATATTCGTTAAATATTACAAAACTTTTTAACAAATATCGATTTTGATTAATGCATACCACATTAATTATATTATGTATGGCAATTAATTAAACGATATACTATTTTCAATTTGCTATATTAATCGGTCGAAACTTTCGTTTGTTAATCGGTTGGAATATGAGATTATGAAAAAAAAAAGATAGCGCAGAGTATAAAAATTTTTTGTTTGTAAATATAAAATACTTAGAAAACAATTTTCTAAAAATGCAATTGATTAATAAACCCGGTTTTTGCTCTACAGAAATATGTTGACTTCGATATTTTTGATTATACAAGTAATTAAAAATAGGAAAATGGGAAACGAAACCTCCGAAACTGGTCGAATATTAATATCACACAGTAATCACGCACAGTACGCAATTAATTTACCCGATTTCAAAAATGTTTACTTAAACATTATAAAATAGATATTTTGCTGTGATTGTAAGGATATCCTTTGACAGCAGAGGAAAGAACAAATATTGACAAAATTTACACAAACAAAAAAAAAATGTGACGTTACTCATATTAAAATTTATCCGTTATAAGATAATATGAATGTTGCAATTATATTAATAACGAAAATGGGTTTATTATTTACAGTATGTTGTGTAATGGTCGATGAAATAACCAATTATTTCATTTATACTTTAAATTCCTTAAAATTAAAATCCCTAAAAAATGTTTTATATTTTAAGTAGACGTCTCATTCGTCTCATTCGCCTCAACGCCTCATTTTTTACATGCATAGAGTGAAAGATTACATAATTATTATAATCTTTTTCAAGTTATAATATGATTTGATCGACGAAGGTTACCCTTAAAGAGGTTAATTCATTATATTGGATGTTTGAAACATTTTAAATTTTTTATGGTAATTTCCAAGTCCATTAATTTAAATATATATTTAGGAATTTAACAAAACTCAATAATTTTAGAATATCAATGAGGAATGAGATTTTATTAAATATCCTATTTAGTCTCATTCAAATAAATATGTAAAATATACAAAGCGGATAAAGATCTGCAATTGTTTACTGAACTTAAAGCATGGCGTCAATGCAAAAAGAAAAATATGATGTACACGGTACAAAATAATTGGGTTCAAAAAACTTTTTTTGCTTTTAAATAAGTTTAAATAAGGAAAATATTTTTTAAGCAACGTAATCTGCCTTTGTTCACTTTGTTATTTACTAATAATAAATAATTTATAAAAATAGTCTTTCCCGTAAAAATTATATATTATACTTTAATAGTAAATTAATTTTAAGCCCTTTTGGATAATCGGGGACCCCGAAATTTAAATTCATGATATTTTGTTTTATGCACTTTTTTAATGGATGATGTCCTTTTCTTTATTTTTTTTTTTTTTAAAGTTCATTGATCATACCCTTTTTTTATTATTCATTCATGATGATATCAATTGTTTACGTAAATATAAATATTTAATTCAAATTCCTTTTTTGGTTTCTTTTATTAACAAATTATTAACTGAAATTTTTTTTTTTATCATTCAGTTATAACGAAAATGGATCATCAAATTATGATTTTTGAGATTGTTTCAATGAATAAAACGGATTATTATAAATAAATGTGTATCAACTTTTTTTTTTCTCGAAATTTTTTTTAATTTTTAATTTTTGAATTTTTTAATTATTTCAAAATGTGTCGAATGTATCCTTCTTCTTCTTATTATCATTTAAATTCTAAATGTAAAATTCTTTCTCATAATTCGAAAATTGATCCTGAATCCGCAATTCTTTATGATTCTCCCATTAATAATAACGATAATAATAATATTTATGGATTATTCAATGATAAATATCCTCTTCATATAATTCCACATCCTAAGAAAGAGAATGTATTCATGAATAGAATATCATACGATGTAATGAGCGATGCTTATTATGAAAATGGAATTTTTAATAAAAAATATATTGAATTTTGGGATCAGGGAGCGTTATATTATGAGAATTTGATTCATGCGACTCATTATTCTGATGATCGGTAAGTAAAAAAGACATTCGAGTTAAAAAATTTATTTAATAAAAAAAAAAAAATAATCTGTATTTTAAAATATTTAGGACATATTTAAGAGATACTACGGCGTTAATTCTGGAAAATTCCAAACTTTCAGCTTCAATTATTTATAAATTTGATTATTCTTCATATGAAACTTTATCAATCACAAGGTTAAATTTAAAATTAAATTGTTATGATAATAATACAGGTTATCATTTAATAATTTCTATTTCAACAGACCATAATTCCGACAATAAATCATCATCATCATTATCTAATAATCTTAAATGGAATATAATTAAAGAAACTTATATTAAGAATACAAATGAAAGGACAAATTTACCAAAAAATTTAACTCATTTTATAATAAAAAATAATAAAATTTTTTATATTAAAGCAGAAATTATTAAAAAACATCATAAAAATTATCAAAGAAATTTACAATTATTTCCTTATATTAAAAATCATTTTGATGAATTTTCTATAAAAAAGAATTTTGGATTAGATGTTATAGTTGAATTATCATCATTATCATCATTATCATCATTATCATATAATTTTGATAATTTAAAATATAAAAATTATATGATAAAATCTGAAAGTTGTGATGGATTATTTAATGATAAATATAAATTTAATGTTTTACCAATTGAAAAAATGAAAAATATTTATAATCATAGAATTTCATATAATGTCATTACAAATGCTTATTATGAAAATGGTAAAACGGATATTAAATACTTAAAAAGATGGGATCGTGGAACTTTTACAAATAAAAATATTTATTATTCTCTTGAAAATTCAACGAATATAGAAAAGTAAGTGACTGTATATTTTTTTATTTTTTTTTTATATAAATATCATTATTTTTTTAATACAATATCGATAACTTATATCTTAGATACCTTGGCGTTGATAAAAAAAATCAATCTGCTCATATTACATGGAAATTTGATTATAGACCTGGAAATTTTTATATTAATTCTTTAAAACTTTTATTGAAATTTCATTATTCTTCTAATAGATCAAAAATTCAATGGTTAATTAAATTATTACCTACAAGAAAAAATCCAATTTCTGAATTTAAACCAATCAATTTTCCTTTACAAGAAAATAATATCTTAGATTTGACTGAAATTGTTAAAGATGAATATGGATTTATCTTAAAAGTAAAGATGATTGGTGGAAAAAATCATTTGTTTAGACAAGATGTAAATAAAAATGAAAAATCATTATTAAATGATAATTTTGATATGGATGTTGAAGTAAAATTAAGACCAAATATAATATGTGATGAATTTTTTAAGAAAAATTTTATTTATAGTATGAATGAAAAAAATTTCTTATTAAATGATAAAAATACGAGTGATTTCATTATTAAATTAAAAGAAGAATTATCAACAACAAATAATTATAAAAATATTTTAGAAAAAAATTTTTATCTTCATTCTAAAATTCTTATATCAAAATCTGATTATTTTAAAGCATTATTTAATTCACAAATGATTGAATCAAAAAATAGATTTCTTAATCTTAATGATCTTTCTTTAAATATTTTTGAAAAATTACTTTTATATATTTATTATGATAATATTGATAATTTAAATGATATTAATGATTGGATTGATTTATTATATATTTCTTCTAGATTTTTAATACCTAAATTGGTTCAAATTTGTGAATTTTCTATTAGAAATTATGTTAATATTGATAATTTAGAAGAAATTAATTTAATTGCAAAGGAATGTAATGCTATACAATTAGTTAAATATTGTGAAATGTATGAAATTAATGTATGAAATTAAAAAATAGAACAAAAATAGAACAATTGTATAAAAAAAAAAAAAAAGATTATAGAAATATGAATAAATTATATTTAATTATATTAGTTTTTATATTCGTACCTAGAAAATATACGATGATTGGACTGATCGGTAGGTATATTAATTGCTGAAAATAAACAATTTGAAAAAAATGCAACTTTTGCATTGGCGCCAAAGCCGTCAAGGGAACAAGGTTTACTGTATCGCAAAGAATGTACCGCTCGTCCGCTCCACAGGTAACTAAAAGGCTGTGCATTATAGTTGTATTACAATTTATTAAGCGATACATCATTCTTGATATTAGAGTTCCACTACTGCATAGCAATTGATTATCTAAACGTCACGGCAGATTTATGAAATACCCCAAAATTTGTCCGTCATGTCAAATTAAATAAATATTTAACAGTATTTAGTCACCACTCACCAAATTTTTATTTAAGTCCCCAAATTTATTAGAAAATTGAGCAATGAGACCAGAAAACTTTTTTGTACCCCAAATCTTGCGTCTAACCAATTTTCCCACTATCTAACCAAATTTTTCCAGTGTTAACATTTTTTAGGGAAAATGCTTAATTGATATCACATGTTTCTGTAAGTCAATTAGAGGGCGCTACCAAATTTCATAAATTCGAGATTATGTTTAATATTATTACTTAACGGTATGAATTTATTTTTCGGTATTAAAAAAAAAAAAACAAAAAAAATCGGTTTTGAAAAAAAAAAACTGAAAAAAAAAAAATAGATTTGATCTTGGTTTAAAAAATTTCAAACATCCTGTTGCAGCTGATCGCGCAAAGATTTTATCTAACCAATTCGAAAGTTTAGTTATTGTTTAACCTATTATTATAAATCTTCCGAAAAAACAAATGTAACAATAAATAAATCTAATTTTATTACGTCATATTATCATAATAAATAAGTACATTAGTAGTACAAACTATCTATAAAGAGTATTCAATCCTATACTAGGTAAACAATCTCCAAAATCTGTCGAAATTAGATTTGCGGAATTTGGACTTTTAAGATTTTGAAATGGCTAAGAATCTAATGATAATTACATTATTAGTAAACTTAATGTGAAATGGTATGACTTAATGCCTGTAAAAAAAAAAGTCGATCCATTTTCTATATTCCATCTTTTTTCCATAAAAGTCTCAAATTAATAACCTTATATGTAATATTATGTATCATGAAATTTATCAAATTATTTTTCATTTTCCGTGAATGGATCCGTGAAAGGCTCAGTCTTTACAGAAATAACGGGTAAATTTTTTTATAGAGCTTTAGAAATCATTTTTTTACTGTGTACAAATCTATCTTTTTGACATGAGGTCATTTGATATAGATGCATGAACAAGGATATAACGTATGGGTATTAACTACCAAATTAGTCGAACTAATACAATGTCAATTATGTCAATTCATGAATTTCAACTGTCAATCTAAGATACTATCCATAAATAGATTTCAATTCAAAATTCATTATTATCTATTTATCGATATAATTAGATTTATCGATATAATTAACAATTATCTATCGAATCTAAAAATTACTTAACTTTCAGTATGATGTAATTATATAACAAAAAGTTTATAATAAGGATACTTTTCTCAAATTTTTGTTTCTCTATTGAATTTTTTACGCTTTTTTTTTTTCACTTTAAAAATTTTCTTCTTAATTTTCTTCTTAAAAAAATTTAAAAAATTTCAAATTTTTACAAAATGCCAAAACGAAAATATGCTACTAGAAGTTTTACGAAAAATAAAGAATCTCAAGTATCAAATAGTGACAAAGAAAGCCCAGATAAACCTATAAAGCGAAAATTTACCAAATCGTATATCAAAGAGTCAGATGACGATCAAGAAACAACATCGACTTCTAAAACTATAACGGCGGAAGGTAATTATACAAAATATGTTTGTCATATTAAATATATAAAAAATCAACGTCTTATTATATCGCTTTCTTTGTTCTTATAGAGAAAACTCAAAGTAGTAAAAGTAGTAAATCACCTACTAAGCGAAAATTTACTAAATCGGATATCAAAGAGTCAGATGACGATCAAGAAACATCGACTTCTTCTAAAACTATTACGGCGGAAGGTAATTATCCAAAATATGTTTGTCATATTAAATATATAAAAAATCAACGTCTTATTATATCGCTTTCTTTGTTCTTAGCTCAAAGTAGTAGTAAAAGCAGTGAATCACCTTCTAAATATATTAAATCGTATAATGGAAAAAAGCAAAGTAAGTGGCTTGTTTACCAACTTGATAATCACCGGTAAAGATATTCATCACATACAATTACTATGATTTAACAGAATACAATGAAAGTACGCCAACCTTAGAATCCTCTGATGATGAGCAACGTTCCGGGACTACGCCGATCTTACCATCTGATCAACGTTCCGGAAATGATGATAACGAACGACGTTCTAGGTCTACGCCATCAGTTGATAATTTGGCAATTGATGATTTTCATAAATTGCCAGCTTATACTAGCGACGATAAAATTCTTAAAAATTGTGAAAAGATTTTAATCAAACAAATGAACCAGATTCGTGCGTTGTATGACATACAGAAAGCAACGAACGAAAAAGTTACGTGGATTCAAAAACAAATGAAAGTAAGGAACAGCAGACAAAAAAACATTAACCTAAGTGAAAAGGTTTTTGGAGTAAGTATAACATCGTTATATTACATGATATTTTAAGTAAAAATTTTTACAACATCGTTATATTACGATCTTTTTAATATGATTGCCATTGTTATTAGGATGGATATAATTTTGTGTGCGCCGCGTTTTTTCCCGATAACTTATGGCCAACTTTCTTGGACTTCAAAAATTCGTTGGAGGGTTGGCTGGAAAAAAATTATCCTAATTATATTAAAGAATTAGGACAGGGGGAGTGGATAAATAATTTTAGTGGCAAACACTATACCCTGGTAATTAACATTAATTATCGGTATGTTTAAATGTATTTAATTATCGTTATATTTAATTTTAAATATTTATTTCTTTTATAGCTTTTGCGAAGAATGAAAGATTTGAGAGGAATTGGCGTCTCGGCAGTAAAAAATGCCATCTCAAAAGAATTTAATTTGTCAGTAGTGGGCGGCAGTAAACGAAAAAATTTAAAAGCCATTTCGGATTGGAAGAAGTCAAAACAAGTTGAAGTTTGTTATAATAAACTTTATGATGATGAGGTGGCGATAGATAATATTGCTAAACGAGCTTTTCCCTCTACTACCGACGAATTAATGCTTCACCATAATTATGTATACACCGCATCGGTTGCAGATATTATTTTAAACCCAAATTATCCCGGTATTGAAGTTTCCAAAAAACCTTTGGAAAAACGATATAAAAAATTTAAGGTATAATCGGTTGAATTTTCATCGTTATTTAGCATTTTTATTAAAATTTATCAAATTAATATTTTAGGAGCTACTTGAAAATAAGGGAAGTTTTGAACTTAGTGATGCTAACGCGATATTGGAAAAGGAAAAGGAAACGCCGGAGTTTATAAAGAAAAAGCGGATTATTGATGATGAAGAAGTGGAAGATATAGAAAATGAAGTAAATGAAGTGGAAGAAGCACCCGGTGATGATAATAATGATGATTACTATGACTTTTTATTTGCTAGTGACTGGTAATTATTGGTTTGATTTATTCATTATTTCTGTAATTAATATGATGGTTGTGTTAAGTGCTAAATTATTATATATTTTTACAGAGTACAAATTTATCTCCTTAACGTTATATAGCGTTCTGTTTTTTTAAGTTGCGATAAAGAAAAGTAAAAAATTGATTCGGGTTTTTTATATTACGATCAGGAGTTATGTTTAGAAGTTCCACGACTTTATAAGTCTACAATTTAAGAAAGTGGTTCAACAATTAAAAGCTCAAAAGGAATTTCAACAACTATATTAGACTTTGACCCTTCTGATTCTTCTAAAAAATCTCCCCTAATTCTAATTGAACAAACTCCTATTATAGAAAAGGAAACATAAATACCCGATCATTACTATCTTCTATATGGCTTAACGTTATATGACACTTAAACTTCCCCTCCTCATTTCATCATATAATAATTTTATGATTTAGTTTTTTTCTATTTTATATGGCTCATCGTTATATAGCGTTTTGTTAACTTTCATCCTATAATAATTTTACAATTATTAGTTTGTTCTCTTTTATATGGCTTAACGTTATATAACGTTCTGTTAAACACTTAAACTTCCCCTCATTTCATCATATATGATTAAGTTTTTTCTATTTTATATGGCTCATCGTTATATAGCGTTTTGTTAACCTTCCCCCCCCCTTTATAATTATTATTTTTTATGTATTTTTTCAAATTTACAGATCTCGATTTATGGGACTAATTATAAGTTTATTTACATTAAATAAATTATAAGATTGAATATTTCTCGTTATTATGCAGCCATTACGTCATATAGATTAATTATCACATGTTTACTATGCTTTCATATCTAATACGCAGTTCGGTGATATTTATCATGTGACATTTTCATCAATATATATCTCCCAAAAAAATTTCCTGATGAACCACTAATAATATAATAATATAATTAATTTAATTATAATAGATATATTTTTTTAAACACCTATTGGTTTCAGTTTTCTAATAATTCTTGTACATTACCATAATAATAATATATTTACAGTCTTGAACATCAATTAGATAAAGAAAGAAAAAAAATCCTTATTGATTTTGTGTTTTAAAATTCTTTGTGAAATATAAAATTTAAAATTAACATAAAATTTCTACTTATAAATTATGAGATTTTATTGATGGTTTTAAAGATATGTAAGTCGGTTAGTCGATACTTTTATGAGGGATGCTTATTTAAATGGATAAGCTAAAAAAGTCTGTCGGTAGTTTAAAATCGTGTACGTGACGTTAGTCTCCATGGTTATTTCACGGATCAACCCCGATCCAATTATTCGTTGTGATGGTCAATGATATTTAAATACTTGAAAATTCACTAAATTTGATAATTGATTAGATATGACGTGATCAAATGTATTTATTAAATTTTTATATTTTGAATAGTTATTGTTTAATTTCCTTTTTTAGCTACTTGAAATACTTCGTAATCTTCTATTACAATAGTTTCTGGAATACCTATATCAGGATACCAATCTCTATTATTATAATTATAATTCAAATTATTGGAATTAGGAAAGTTTAAATTACCCATATCTGGTCCATAATTATTATTACAATAAACAGCATAACGTGAATCATTTACATAACCGAATTTTGCAGTGGAAATATTTGGACCATCTATAAAATTAAATAAAAAACTTTCTGAAGTATTTTTATAACCACAGTTTCCACCCCAATCAAGCGGATTGTACCCTCCTATTAATTGTGCTGAACCTTGAATTTTTGCTACCCAAATAGTAGCTCCCTTATTGTCTGAATTTCTATGAAAAGAATTAGCATCAAATCCGTCCTGACTCGCACGATATAATAATTTAAAATTGTAAGGAAGAATTCTTTTATTATAATGTGAATAATCTTTGTTATCAATCCATGAAGCGAAAAGAAGGATATGATCTAATTCGATTAAGGTTGAGTCAAGTTTTAAATAAGATTTTCTTGAAGGTATTACATTAAACTTGGGCTTTATATTAGGAACTATGTAAAATTCCAAAAGATCATAAATTAAATTTTGAGGTAAGATTTCTTTATAATTATAAACTTTGTAAAAGAAATCTTCAGGTTCAATATCATAAAATCTAATTAATGGAATAAATCTATTTAATGATATTTCAATATTTGTGATATCCTCTTTGCTCCATTTTGTTGGATCGTTCGTCATATCTTGTTGAGCGAAAGACCATTTTAATAAACTCTCCCAAATTTCAACTTCATCCATATATAAATCATCTTGTTTTATCAATAATTCTAATAATGGAGCCTTTAAATTAATAAATTTATCTGAATTAACTAAAACTTTGGGATTCGCACAAATTTTTTTGATAAAAAAATCCCATAAATCCGTGAATGTTTCATGATGATAAACAATTTCAAGAATAACGGTTTGATTTTGGTATAAAAATTCCGTTTGATGCTTAATCAAATATTCTTGAATGTAAGAAATTAATGGTTGAATATTAAGTTCATCTACTGCTATCAACAGTTTCAATGTGTCAGGTCCTTGTAAATTCTTTAATTCAATATTACCACAATAGATAAACCTTAAAAAATAATAATATTTTAGATACGTATTATTTTCTTTTAAAAAGAATGAAAACATTTTTTTTTTATTATAAAATGTTATATATTATTACCTGAGAATAATACTCAATAATTTCGCTTCAATATTCGGTTTTCTTAAAATAAATTTTCCATCTTTTTTCTCGGCCCATTCATTAGAAAACGCAGTACGAAAATATTGTGATCTAACGCATAAAATATTTGAATGAGCATGTATTTCTTTAACATTCGGTTCTTCTCCAGCATAAATGATAACATCGTATCCTAATTCTGTTTCAAAAAGTTTTTCGTAATCATTTGATAAACATGTCCAAAATTTTGAAGACATAGTTGTTATTCTTTAAGAAGTACCAAGTGTGATGATGATCATGTTTCAAAGCAAGTATTTAATATAATAGGATCTGCAGGCAATTATTGCCATATTACTTAATTTGTGATTATTCTAGTAGTACATAGTCATGTTTTTTTTTCTTGCAATAGTTTAGTTGAGTGGAGTCGATCAAATTGTTAAATTTTTCATTTGTATTATGCAATATTACGTTATTTAATTTTATTTAATTAAAGATTCCCGATTTATATCGATCATCAACAAAAATTGTCATTGATTCTCGGAGAGCGACCCTTTTTTTTTTCAAAAATGTATTATGAGTCAAATTAATTCAATTTTAATATTGCTAAAATTATTATTACCGGAATAAATTGGTAAACAAAAATCAGCCATCAATCATATATTATTACTAAGCATGCATATCTATTAATTACCTGTTTCTAGGAAATCCTTTGGGGTAACAAATCCTCAGCCATATTATTCGATTTGTATAATTCATACATTTGGTCGATAAAGTAAGTTCTGTTTATTTGTTGTAAACCAATGCACGACCTATAACCTTGCTGCAACCAATCAAACTTAAAATATTAATGGGATGTATTTACTGTACATCCTTATTAGTAGAATGGAAATTAATGACATAAGCTGGTAAAGTGTAATAAATCGGGTGAAAAATATTATCTTACCTCAAAAAAATAATCAACTATTACAGATACGAGACGCAATCGGCATAAGTTTTGATTTCTTCGTTTTGTTACTTACAATTTTTCTGCTTCTTTTCACATTTTTTTTTTTTTTTAAATGTTCCTATTTACTATTAGCAATGTTTTCTATTTTAAAACGAAAATTCATTATGTAATTAATCAGTTTGCAAGTCTAGAAGTAGTTTCATTGCAAAAGCAGATCAAAAACGATCTTCAACTTTCAACTTCGCATGTCGTTATTTCTGATGATCCACGACGTATTTGGCTAAACTTAATCCGACTTGATTTATTGAAGAAGATAATTGACGTGGTTAACATGTGAAATGTGTATCACAATTAAATAATCTGTAGGTGAATTGTACTAGGCCTGAATCAAGGAATTAGACAGTTGTAGCAACAAGTACATTCCGAAAGTCTGAGAAAACAAGGAAGGTACCAGGGTACGTCGGAACTCATATTGTATAGTGATATATAGAACGTACTTCTGTAATAGTTTATTTTGTATATTTTCATAATTACTCTTAACGTTTAATTATTTATTTAATCAATAATAACATTAAATTTTTACCAATTATATTATTATAGGAATCGGAAATTGTACAGAAATAATTTCTTAGTCTTTACTGCATTAATGAAGGTTCAATTTATAAGTTACATATACAATATTTCAAAACATAGTTGAATTTGAGACATACTGTAATAATTAATATTTCTGCAATTTATTATTCCGCATTTTTTCTATACATAATTGGCTACTATGATTATAATGTGATCTACTAGATTATTTCGGGCGCTCGGCCTTAATTACGTAAAATATTTCATGAATTATAAAAATTATTTGATTTTTAATAAATTTATATTCCATTTTTTTTATTACCATATTCACATCAGAAAACGCAGTATGGAAGGATTGAGCATGAATCTCTTTAAAATAAATTATTGGGTAACATTTCCGAAACGGCAATATTTTTTTTTAAGTAAAAAACCATATGAAATTCTATAAGCGATATCATAATTTATTCGCAAAGTTTTGTTATTTATTGTAAATTTCGCAGTTATGATTAATTCTATAATTCCCTGTCGCACTAAGTGTCACTCATGTTAAATATTGCGAGTGATTAGCTGAGTTTATAAATGACCGGGTATCTTCGTTTACTTATTTCCCGGTCTCATATAGATAGCCGGGAAATTACTAATTTTAGTTTACTGTAAAATAGTTAATATTTAATGGGTGACACACTCCAGGGGATTACCCATTTATTTCATGGGAAGGGGAACATTAGAGTTTTTCCCCTTCGGGAAAAAAACCCTATTATTCCCAACTCCCCATGAAATAAATAATACATATTTTTATCAAGAACAAATATATAAACATATTATTAATTTATATCCGGGTGTCCCATAAGATCATGATGCTAATAATTTTGCTCATATCCTGCATGTTACGTCATTTATTGCCGGAAATAAATGATATCCGGCAATAAACGATGTAATATGCCGAATATGATTAATCACCAGGATATAACCGTTATTACATTTATGATTGTCGTTCAACATTCATCTCCACATTGAATACTCCGCTATAATAAATAACATAGAAAGAAAATCAGAACAAGACGTTTTGTAATTATCATACAATGATGTTACTGGATAACTGGCTAAATTTTATAATTTGAATAATATTACAAATATTAATATATTACATATTTTTTACAAAAGTATACAAATATATATAATAATTAATGAATGAAGCGAGTAATTGATAATTAAAACATTAGTCGTGGTTTTATCAAGAAGAAACACTAACTTTAGTAGAATAATAAAATATTTAAAAAATTCTCATTTTATAACGAAAGCATTATAACATTAGAAGTTCTTCATAAAAAAAACCATTTTCATCCCCATATTTAACAGAATAAAAACAATGAACGTTCTAAAATTGTGTTATCAGTAAGCAATTATGAATTAATATCGAAAATCTCACTAATTTCGATTATGCTCTTATCAGTTAAAGTTTTCGTACGATAAGCGATTTTTGAAATCATTGTTTCTTCGGATATAATTGTATTTTTGCGAGTGAATCTACGTTTTAAAATTTTAAGAGACTTAGAGAAGAATTTTTTGGTTTTGTTAGGTGATTTATGTTGTTTAGGCCAGAATTCATTACCATCTAGTTTCTGGGCAATTTTTGCAGGATGAGAGTGATCATTCTGTGTAATAAATTCGGGGATGAATTTTTTATCAAAGATAGAAAAGTTAATAGTAGTTTGCATATCAATGAGAATTGCTAAAAAGAATTTTTATTTTTTTTTTTTGTTTTTTGCAAAAACAGCGCTTTCTTTTATAACAATTTCTTTTACTAATACTTGATTTTGTTCTTGCTAAAAAAGAAAACTTGGTTTCAAGCTTGTCAAGAAACTATTATCATTTCGAACAAAAACATAAATATTTGAGAGCTGCAAGTTGCAGCATTACAAACAAGTATATTATACGTTTAAAAAAATCAATTAGGAGGTTCGCGTTAGAATGATCATGTAGATTTTTCCTTTTTGAATAATTCCGACCAGAATTACACGTTACTCTTGCTAGCCTGCTGAGATCAACGTTGCCGATCTGCTCGGGTCCCGGTCAAAGTTCAAGTCTCAATGTAATCGTTTTCGAGACAATTAAATAAAATAACCAGATAAAGCGAATAAAGGTGAGATTAATTGATCAATTATATTGTTAATCGCATTATCAACCTTTATTCATATTATACTTGTGTATAATTTGTATAGTTAAAAATATTTCGTTAAATCACGTTACTTGAATTATATTTTTTTGTTAGCTTGTCGTGTAATTGTTTCATAGGTGCGTCCTGATTCCTTTACTGGTAGTGGTTTAGGAATAGACTAGGTTTTATATAATTAGAAATTAGGGTCCGTCGAGTCTTTACTGATGGAAAATAGATTATATGTTGAACGTTCTTTACTTGTATCGAACTATGTTCTTTTGCCAGTCTTACCGACTTCACATAAAATAAATAAATAATTATATTTTTTTGTTAAAAAAGATACATTAAATTAAATTAAAACACAAATTTAAAAATTATCAGTATAGCTTTCTTAAAAAAACTTTTTTTTTGCATTAAAATTTATAACGCTTTATATTTGGATTATTTGGATTATTAATATTTAAATATAATTGAAGAGGTAAATGTTCGAAGATATTATTTTCATAATTTTTAGTAAAAATATATGTGTGTATTCGAAAAACCTCTTCGGATTACTAATGAAGAAGAATTAAATTGTACTAACAGGCTCACTTGTAAATTAATTTTATAATTTGTAATTTGTAATTTTTGTGCAAATCTTTTAACGAATACTAAGCAAGTAAAATGCTTCTGTTAGTTAATACTTTGTTTAAGCAAAAGAAAAACAATCTTTTGTTGAAAATTTTTACACAATATTTTACTGCCTTATTACTTGGAATACTTCATAATTTTCTACTATAAAATTTGCCGGAATATCTATGCAAGGATACAACGTCCCATAAGTATTATAAGACCACTTATTAGAACCTCGGCAAAATAAATTACCTGTATATGGCCCATAATTATTATAACAGAAAATAGCATGATTTGTATCATTAACATAACCTAATTTTGCAGTAGAAATATCTTTTCCATCCGTAAAATTAAATAGAAAACTGTCTGCAGTATTTTTCCAAGTGCCATTTCCACTCAAGTCATTCCAATCAAGTGGATTATACCCTCCAATTAATTGTGTTGAGCCTTGAATATTTGCTACCCAAATAGTAGCTCTTTTATTGTCACAATTTCTATGAAAAGTCTCACCATCAAATCCATCTCTGCTTGAACGATATAATAATTTAAATTCATAGGGGAACTCATTTTTATCATAAGAGGAATCCTTTTTATCAATCCATGAAGCAAATAAAGGAATGTGTTTTGATTCAATTAAGGTTGAATCAAGTTTAAATTTCGAGTTTAGTTTTCTTGAAGATGCTACATTAGCTTTGGGTTTCATATTAGGAACTATATGAAATTCTAAAAGATTATGAATTAAATCCTGAGGCAATATTTCTTTATAGCAATAAACTTTGTAAAAGAAATCTGTGGGTTCAATATCATAAAATCTAATTAGAGGAATGAATCTAAGTAGTGACCTTTCAATCTTTGCAATATCTTCCTTACTCCATTTTGTTGTATCATTTATTATATTTTGTTGAGCAAAACACCATTTCAATAAACCTTCCCAAATTTTAATTTCATCCATACTTAAGTCATCTCGTTTTAATAATAATTCCAATAAAGGAGCTTTTAAATTGATAAATTTATCTGAATTAAATAAAATTTCAGGTTCTTCGCAAATTTTTTCGAGACAAAATTTCCATAAATCCGTAAAAGTTTCATGTTGATAAACAGTTTCAAGAATACCAGTTGGATTTTGATGCAAAAATTCAGTTTGATGTTCAATCAAATATTCTTGAATATAATACACCAATTGTTGAATATTAAGTTCGTCAACTGCTATCAAAAGTTTTAATACATCAGGACCTTGTAAATTCTTTAATTCAATATTTCCACAATAAATAAATCTAACGTTAAAGATAATTAATCATTATTAATAAATATAGTATTAAATAATAAATGTCAAGGAAAACTAATATGTAAATTACCTAAGAATGATATTAAATAAGTGAGACGAAATATTTGGTTTCTTTAAAATAAATTTCCCATCTTTTTTCTCAGCCCATTCATTAGAAAATGCAGAACGAAAATATTGAGACCTGATACACAAAATATTAGAATGAGCATGAATTTCTTTAACATTTGACTCTTCCCCAGCATAAATGATAACATCATATCCTAATTCTGTTTCAAAAAGTTTTTCATAATCACTAGATAACTCTGTCAAAAATTTTGAAAACATTGTTTAAAATGATGAAAAAAAATCGGAATGTAATACAATTTAATCAAATATTTGTACTACAAGTTAATGCAGTTGGGCTAAAATTATGCATCCGTAAACATATCGGATATATAATAAATTGGCGCTAAATATAAAAATGATATTATTTAATAAAATGGCGTTTGTAATTAATTACATTTCTTTTTTTTTTATAATGTAATTATTCAAATATCATAGAATTAAAGTACTAAAGACATCCCGTCTTACATGAAACCTAGTCACAAGGGTTCTTAATATATTATGAACCTTTTTATTAATTTATGAAGCAAAAATGTGTAGAATAAATGATTTAACGAGCGTTAAATCATGTTTAATTTTAAATTTGGTTAAATTAGTTGTATTGTATATTTAATGATAACTGTGCTAAACATTTAATTGTGAATTAAATCTTGTGGCAAGATGTTCTTATAAACGAGACCTGAATATTTAATAATTAAATTAAGAAACTGAATACGATGTCCGATTAGACCAGAAAATTTATTGATACGAAAACCTGGTATAATAAAAGCATATTTGTATGACGGCATGGTCATTTTAATAAAGAACATAAATCAACCACCACGTGGAATTATTTATTTAATAATTTCATGGCGTCCAAAAGACCCAAAGAACTACCTAGAAAAAGAAAAATCATTTCATTAGAGAAATTTTTCAACAGAGAAGGGAGGGGAACAGGTATTACATTCTCCTTTATTTGTGAATCTTCGTTTGTATTGAATTTTTTTTTTATAATTTTTTTTTTTTAACAAGAAAGTTATTATATGTATGACTTATAATTATGAGATTTACTTGTTTAAACGGTGTACGAGCTTAAAATTCGATATAACGAGGTTTTCTTATGTTAAAATCGGGACATGTTGAAATTTGAAATCTAACATAATTATTTGGGTGAGAGTAAATTCCATTTCCATTATAATCATTTGATAAATTCTGGTGTAATAAAAAATTTGATTCTTAAATTAATATGACTTTTATTAAATAGAAACTTTTACCGCTGGATATCTGATTAAATATAACTGAATGTTCTGAATAACAAAGGAGAAAACCATTGTCGATAATATTTTTCTGGGATGTGATTATAATTACTTTATAGGTGTTTTTTTGAATTATTACAATATTTCTGCAATATTTTATAACCACGTACAATCTCCTTTTTTCCTGTTTTTAAAGTTGCTACACGATATGCCACCAAAAAAGAGAGAAGACAAAATAGGACCGTTGGTAAAAGAATTAAGTTGTCAAATGACACCACAGCTCATGTTCTATTAAACAAAGAGATAAGTTATCATTTATGCTAAGGAATATGGAATAATTAAAGCTATCACTGTTTAATTTTTTGACAAGATCATGACCCACAAACTCGAGAATAAGATAACAATTCAAGTTGAAGGAAGGTAAAAAATTTCAGGAGTCCCCTCGTCAAATTTAAACATACCTTTAGTAGAAAAATGGTGATGTTATTAAAGATACAGGAATAAAGTAGAAGCAGCTAAGAATTTCATTTACCGTTTTATGTGACATTACAAGAAGCCATTCAAGGAGATGAAGAAAAAAGACGAGAGATTTAATTTACCGAAAGAAATACCTCAAGTTGAGTCATAAACAAAAAGTAATCAGGTATTCAGATTGTGATACAAAAAAAAGGATTCTTTCGGTGGAGTGATTGCAAATGGTAACAACAAAAATGGAGATGTTTTCGGAGGAGTGTATGATAGAGGTTCAATAAAAGAAAAAACAACTAATTATTAGTAAATTTAGTTTTATTTAGATTATTAAGTAGCTAGGCGCATATCATTTTACTTTATTGTATGTATAGATGTATATTTTCAAATGTTTATGTCGTTGAGAAAGTTACCTTCGAGTTATAGGTTAAAAAAAAAAAATAATTTTAGCAGCTATCGTTAGTGGATCTGAGACGTTCAATAATACGACATGAACGAATAAAACTAGTAGCTTACTAAACAAGTTCAGTCTTTAATTTGATGAAAGAAAAATCAATTTATGATAAATTTATAAATTTGATATCATACTTTTATAAAGAGCTGAACAGTTCGCTTTATTATTTAATTAATACTAAATAAACATTTTCAGTATGAATGATTATGACAATACATGTTGTGGCTCATAATGGATACATTTAATTTATTTTTTAATTACTTGAAATACTTCATAATTCTCCACCATAAAGCTTTCTGGAATGCCTATCTTAGGATAGATTATACAAACACCAGCATCATAAAAATACCATTTATTAAATCCACTACAGAGGAAATCACCCATTTGTGGTCCTTGGCTACCATGACAATAAATAGCATTTACTGCATTATTATTGTTAACATAACTTAGTTTTGCAGTAGAAATATTTTTTCCATCTGTAATATGAAATAAAAAACTATCTGTAGTACTTTTCCAACCATATCCACACCAATCAAGTGGATTATATCCTCCAATTAATTGTGTTGTACCTTGAATTTTTGCTATCCAAATAGTAGCTCCTTTATTGTCACAATTTCTATGAAATGACGCAGCATCAAATCCATCTCTACTTGAACGATATAATAACTTTAATTCATAAGGAATATCATTTTTTTTATGAGGGGAATCTTTTCTATCAATCCATGAAGCAAACAGTGGAATATGATTTGATTCAATTAAGGTTGAATCAATTTTAAATTTTAAGTTTGGCTTTCTTGAAGGTGCTACATTAGTTTTAGGTTTCATATTAGGAACTATATGAAATTCTAAAAGATTATGAATTAAATCTTGAGGCAATATTTCTTTATAACAATAAACTTTATAAAAGAAATCTGCAGGGTTAATATCATAAAATCTAACCAAAGGAATAAACCTGTGTAACGACCTTTCAATTTTTGTAATATCATCTTTACTCCATTTCGTTGGATCATTTATCATATTTTGTTGAGCAAAACACCATTTTAATAAACCTTCCCAAATCTCAATTTCTTCCATATTCAAATCATCCCGTTTAATCAACATTTCTAATAATGGAGCCTTTAAATCAATAAATTTATCCGAATTAAATAAAATTTCAGGTTCTTCACAAATTTTTTCAAGACAAAATTCCCATAAATCCGTAAATGTTTCATGTTGATAAACAGTTTCAAGAATACCAGTTGGATTTTGATGCAAAAATTCAGTTTGATGTTCAATCAAATATTCTTGAATATAAGTAATCAATTGTTGAATATTAAGTTCATCAACTGCTATTAAAAGTTTCAATACTTCTGGACCTTGTAAATTTTTTAATTCAATATTTCCACAATAAATAAATCTAACGTTAAGGATAATTAATTATTAATAAATATAGTATTAAATAAATGTCAAAAAAATGTTAGTATGATAAATTACCTGAGAATAATATTAAACAAGTGAGGCGAAATATTTGGTTTTTTTAAAATAAATTTCCCATCTTTTTTTTCTGCCCATTCATTAGAAAATACAGAACGAAAATATTGAGACCTAATACATAAGATATTTGAGTGAGCATGAATTTCTTTTACGTTCGGCTCTTCTCCAGAATAAATGATTACGTCATATCCTATTTCTGTTTCAAAAAGTTTTTCATAATCACTAGATAACTCTGCCCAAAATTTTGAAGTCATTGTTTTGAATAATAAAATTGTTTTCAAATAACGATAAAAAAAATATGTAATATTTTGTTTTGGCGAATTTATATGAAGTTATGCAGTTAGGCTGAAAGGTCATGCCGTCATGCGCACTGTCAACAAAAATATCCTTTTCTGTCATGTGATTATTGTAGTACCGATTCCATATAAATAGTGATTCAGATTTTCTGAACGAAAAATATTCTTTGTTATCTATTACGATATTCTACAATATAGTAATAAACCTTATAAAATACTAAACATGTTAATATATAATGGTTTTTCAATTCAAAATAATTGCAACAGGACCATTTCCACATATTGTTAAATAATTAATATTGCATTGCTAAACTTTTATTTTTTTTTTTAAAAAAAAAAGAAAATTATATAAATATTATACATTTATATTTAAGAATGATTTTAAGAGTATAAAGTAAAACATTAATTTTTAAAATAAGATTTTCACTTTTCTGGACCTACTCATTAAATATACTGAAATTAGCAAATCCATCCCTATTACTAATAAATTTAAATTCATAAGGAATATATATTTTTATTATAGGAAACAAATGGAGGACGGAATGTGTTTTGATTCAATTAATGTAGCTTAGTTTTCTTGAAAGTGCCACATTAGTTTTGAATTTAATATTAGGAAATATATACAACACATAAGAGTATAATAAATACTTTAACTCAGTCTCTTTCTAACTTGCCAAAAATGCTAAGCCAAATACTAACACTGTATAATTAATTTTTTAATAAAATACATGACTAATTGATGTGACAAAGAAGCAACAATTTTATTTACAACTTACGAATTATAAGTGAATAAATCTTTAGGAGTATCGCCATATGTGCGAAAAATTTTTCGTTATATAGAAATTAATAGTGAATCAATATCAATAGGATTATAAATTACTGAATGTTATTAGAAAAATATTTCCAATGAAATAACTGCTATGATTAAATTATATTTAAGTTAATATATTCAGGGTAAAAAACGTAAAGCGTAAATAATAAATGAAATTACTTACAGAATGCCCGAATATATAAATGTACTACCTCTGAATTTAAAAACTTGGAAAAACATTACAAGTTTCATACAAAGCAAAAAATAAAATAATTTTAGTAATAATAATAGAAGCTTTCATGGTTAAAGACTTAAAGTATAATTATGATACAATTTTGCTTTTCTTTATGAAGTATTTTTCTTTTTTTTAAAAAATACAGATAAGGAACAATTTTATTTTATTATTCTACCAAAAGAGGAAATAAAACAATGTCTTGATGTGATGATATGTCGTCATCCGTGTATATAAAGTTGTCAGACAAACCCGATTTTTAACACAAAAATATTATAATAGAGGAACATCTTTTCATGCAAAATTTATTTATGCGTCAGATGACACAGGCCTACATTATCGACCCGATATTGCCCAATATTAAAATGCCTTACTTAAGTGCAATATATTTCATAATCATGAAAGCTTCTAGTCTTCTAGTATTATTACTGTTAAAATTATCTGTTTTCTCTATTTATTTGCATGCATTTGTTTAGGTACTATGAGATTTGTAAAGCATCTTTCTTAATTATTTTATTTAAATTTATTTATTATAAAAAAAGTAGAAACGTGGCATTTGATAACTTTACGTGATATTAGAGATTATAACGATCATGGACTCATGATGTAAAACAAAACATAAATCTAACTATATTTTCGGGCATATATTTTTACTTTTTATAATCTGAGTGTATTAATTTTAAATGTAATTTATTCATAGTGGCTGTATTTTCTACTAATAGCGTTCAGTAAGTTATAATTCTATTAATGCTTGAATTTTTTTACCATCTAAAAACTAATTAACTACTTATTTTTAGTATTAAATTTCACACATGACGATGTTTTTACAAGTTTTTTAATATATTATTTGTAAGTATAAACAATATTGCTTACTTTTGTAATATTTATTTAATTTGTTGAAATTTATTACAAATAATATATGTTCAAATATGGTTATTGGTATAGGTAAGTTTTAAATAGGTATTAATAATTTCTCTTATTAGTACATGCAATAACTAACATGTACACACATTTAGGAGGAAGATTTTATGTCCCTATTAAAGGTCTTGGTGAAATTCCTTTTAATTGTGATTTTAAATAATACAATTGCCAGAGAATGTTAAAATGCTTGCAAAGCAAGATTTATAAGTTACACTTTTGGTTTTGTCTTATACGCTTTTCTTTTATTATTCATTCTTTATTATTTGTTTCTTTATTATTTGTTTCTAAGATTACTTACTTGACGTACTAATTAAGAGAATTTTTGAAAAATTACAAAGAAATTTATTCGTCTTGTATGTAAAAATAAGTGTAAACTTTTATGAATATGTATTTCCTACTTTTATTCCATTTTATTGACATAAATATAATATTTGATTCTCCATTGATATATAATAACATGATTATATTCTAAAAAGTTTTGATATTTCCAAAAATCGGTAGTATTTTAAGGCATGTTTTTAAGAACGCAAAATTCTGAAACCTTAACCAGCAACTGCACCTCACAATGACAAAATTATTCTTGAAGATACATATGACAATAAATACTCCCTCATTAATAAAAAAATGTTTATAATAACAGCACTATGGATCGCCGTAATTTCTACTTTAACGCTACTATGCATAACGGTACCGTATCTTTTGATCCATAAAATTTGGTTTTTTTAGTATATATTGTTCTCACATCCTATTTCTATTCCAAGCAAGTTTTTCGTAATCATCAAAAATTTTGATACCATTTTTGAAAAATTCGTACGATTTTACGATTATAGTAAATTCTTGTATATCTTTTTTGCGTGACATCACCGGATTTTCCTACCAACAATGTAAGGTTAGAACCTTTGTTGATCGATTGGATGGTGCGAATCAAATATTATTTCTAATAAAAAACTGACCATGTGATGATTACAAATGAGTAAAATGACGATGTGTACATAACCATCGCCTCTTAAAAAAGGAATATTGTTTCATAATAAATTTTATTTGTTAAAATATTTAGCAGCTAATCTCCGGATTATCTTAGGATCATCCGGTTTGCAATCTGCCGGATAATAAGATATCCGGATTCACTTCATAAAACTCTAGCTACAACATGATCTTATTGTTTCATTTCCTCTTTTGGTATAATAATAAAAAAAATATTACTTGCGTTTGAATCAAATATTTTTTAGAAAAAACTTTTTCATAATTAAAATATTCTGTATTTTAAAATAAACCATGAAAGCTTTTCTTATTATTATAATTTGTATTCTTTATTTAGTTGCATGTATTTGTTCAGGTATGATGTTTATTATAAAGTATTTCCTAATTACTTTATATAAAAATTTGTTTATTTTGTATAATTTATATATAGAAATTTGGTATTTGGTAATTTTACATAAAATTGGAGGTTATGATTCTGGAATATATCCAGGAAAGGCTTATTTGATATATTCAGATACTTTGTAAGTAATTTCATATATAATTATTTTACGTTTCACTCATTTAATTTAAGAGCATTAACTTTGAAATTAATTATACGTAGATATTTTATTGGAATTCTTTTTTCATTAATATTCAGTAAGTTATAATCTCACTGATAATTTATTGTTAGTTTTATATATAATGAAAATTTATATTTATTTATTTTTAGTATTATTTTGTGTACATGGTAGCAGTATTACTAACACCAATCTAATGATGCCTATTGTATCGTAAGTATAAATGAATTAAGTTTTTTTGTCATATTTATTTAATTTATTAAAAAATCAATTACAAATAGTATAAGCTGGGTCATTTTTATATCTAATACGATTATTAATATTATTTCGTGTAAGTTTATATAAATCTTTATAATAAATAATTTAATTATATTATTTCTCTTTATTAATAAATTTTAAAACTAACTTTATATATATTTTAATAGTAAGAATTTTTTTAATATTCATAGATCTTGGAGTCCCTTTTAATTGTGATTTTAAATATGATGATGATTTAATTGATTTTGAAATTGTATGTAAAGCAAGACTTACAAGTTACACTTTAGGTTTTTTGTTATGTTTAATTTCATTTATTTCTTTTTTAATCAATTTTTTATATAATCCGTTGCAAAAATTATTTAATGTAATTAAGAGAATTTTTATTCATTTATATAATTTGATTTTAAAATTACTTGACGCAATTAAGAGAATTCCTGATAATTTACAAAAGAATTTGTTCGTCTTGTAATAAATTACTGTGAAAGTTTTACAAGTCGTAAGCTTTCTTTTATTCAGATTATTAATCATATTTTAAACCTAGAGCTCCTTTAAACCTAGTACCCCTTTAACTTAGCGCTCCTTTGGTTTATGAGAATTAATAAACTGAAACATAAATTCCATAAGGAACCTAACAAATGAGTCTAACTAATGTATAGTAATGAACCTCAATTACCTTAAACTGTATGTAGGTTAAAGTCGGTTTTATTATCTCAGTTACGTCACACCAGGTTTTATTATTTTATTTACCCTTTTGACAGAACCTAAATATCATTTGTGTGATGCTTCTGCGAAGAAACGGATTACCACTAGTAATAAAATAAAAGCTTTTTACGTTCTGTATCTAATGTTTTTATAAAGAGCGAATTTTGTATTATATTTGTTTAACCATGTTTACTTTATTGCATGTATTGGTGCAGGTATGAGAATTGTAAAGTTTTCATAATTTTTATATTTAGTATTTATAAAAAAAAAATTAGAAATTTGGTATTTGGTAACTTTAAATGGTTCATGGTGTAAAACCACTCATAGGTAAATTATATATTCAAGCAGTTGGTAAGTAACTTTCATATATTGTTATTTAGATCTTACTTTTTTTTATCTAAATGTATTAACATTAAATTATTCATAGCTACCTTATTGGAATACTTTTCTAATAATATACGGTGGTTCATCATTATCTTTTATGTACTTTAGGTTTTTCGTTATATGCATTTCCTTTATTAAATTAGTCTTTTTATTTTTCGTTTTACACATTACCTTATTAATTAGTCTTTTTAATTTTTCGTTTTACACATAGTTACCTTATTTAATTATCTAATTCACAAAATTTGCTCGTCTTGTAACAAATGAAGTGAAGTAAGTTATCGTGAAAGATAGCATTTACGTTACATAAGTGTAAAGTGTAAACTTTTTGTCTGATAATTTATTATAAATAAATTTTTGAAATTAGAAGAAATATTTAATTTCATCTCATATGTATTCTTATTATGAATGCATTGACGCAAATATAATATTTGTTTCGTCATTGATATATATATATAATACATTGCATCCCCAAATGTTTCTTGTAATCATCAAATATTTCCAAAAATTGGAAGAAAATATTATTTATTGTTGATTATGCTTTTAAAAACACAGAATCCTAACATATATATTAAACCTTAACGGCTAATGACAAATTGTTCTTGGAGATACACATACTATCAAAGTTAGCAATTGACACAACAAATACAACTTTATTAGATTTCAATTAAATATTCATACTAGGAAAATTTTTTTCATATTCACCTGCAAAAAAGAACAATAATTAATCTTTAATGATCGGTATTGTCACGGGATATTTCATTATTATATATTATATATATTATTTATTATTTGTTTATATATAGTTATGTTAAGTTATGTTATATAAAGATATTTTTAGTTATTTAACGATTAGATAAAATCGGAAGCTTAGCAGTGAGAAAAGTGGCTGAATTAAAAGTGGCTTAATGAACAAATACGACCAATCGACAAATTTAGCTGGGAGGCGAGATTGGCCGGGTGGCAAATCTGTTCGATAGTCAGATTCGCACCGGATTTTAACAATATATAAAGGACTAATGGTGGAGGATGCGAAAAGTGCAGTTCGTATAGTTAAAAGATAGATATACAGATATTTCAGAGCGCCGACAGAGGAAGTGATATCGTATTTTGTTTATTAACGAATAAACCTGCCGACGGATTTGTTTCCGAACTTCTTATACACGTTTTATCATACTTTGTAACACTGTTTATTATTGCTCCTTATCGTTTATTATCGTTTATTGTCATTGTCATTTATTATCGCTTATTAGTTTTTCGTTATACATCATTGATTATCTGTATACACCTTATTACTAACTGTTTCCTATACACTCACATACCGAATTGTCTCATCATTTGATATATAATTCACTATATTTCTTTATCACCTATTAACCGATCCTTAATTATCCTTCTGTTATTACCCAACTAAACGTCAGAAGCCGGTAGTAACAGTATGCACAAAAAATCATATGACTAATTTTCTGGTCTCTCTTTTTACTAAATTTTTTGTCTTGGGACTTAGGTTTTTAATTAACAAAAATTTATTTTTAATGCATTTTTTTGTCACTTAGTCAATTTTCTTTTTTGCTTACATTTTTATTTTATGATATATACGCATAATATATCTGTCAAAAGTACAGCACTTGTATGCCAAAGTAACCTAATGTATTAAAAATACTTAATAAATGTCATATTATAAACAAGTTAGACATAACAGGGAGTTCCAAACTGTTCCATAGACGAAAAAGAAAAAAAAAGAAATTTCGCTGTGCCAATCCTCGGATTATCCTAAGCGGATCGGCGGGAATCGTAAAAATTAATCCGGCGGCGGATAAATAAGATGTCCGGTTGCTCCTTAAAACTCTAAAGTCTTACTGTTTCATTTCCTCTTTTGATAGAATAATAGTAAAAATAAGGTTTTCACAAGCAAAATATTTTATTTAATAAATAAACCATGAAAGCTTCTAATGTTATTATAATTTGTTGTACTATTTATTCAATTGCATGTATTTGTTCAGGTATGAAGTTTAAATAAGTAACTTTTATTTCTTAATTATTTTATTTAAATTTTTTTTACGAAAAAAAAAATAGAAATCGTGTATTTGGTAATTTTACATAAAATTGGGGATCATAATGATCATGGTGTACATCCAGGAAAGTTTTTATTGATATATACAAGTGCTTTGTAAGTAATTTCGTATATTACTATTTTAATTTAAGTGTGTTAACTTTGAATATAATTTAAACATAGTCATTTTATTGGAAATTTTCTTGTGCCATTAATATACTGTAAGTTATATAATCTTACCGATAATTTATTATTTATAATGAAAATTTATAATATATTAATTCATTGATAGTAATGATTTACGCACGTCAAGGTTATTTTAACAAAGTTTTTAAAAGATTGATAGAAAGTTTTTTGTAAGTATGAATAAATTTGATTTATTATTATACAGTATCTATTTAATTTATTAAAAAAACCAACCAAAAAAAACCAGGTATCTTGGTGGTTTCAATTATTTTTCACGTAAGTTTTTATAGATTTAATAAATAATTCAGTTATTTCTCTACCTATAAAATATACAACTAACTTTTCACACATTTGATAGCAAGATTTTTTTTTCTATTTATAGATCTTGGAGAAGTCCCTTTTAATTGTGATTTTAAATATCATGATGATTTACCAAAGAATGTTAAAATTGCATGTAAAACAAGACTCACAAGTTGCATTTTAGGTTTTATATCTCCGCTGATTCCTTTATTAATAATTTTATATATTTTGTTTCCAAAATTACTTAACGTAATTAAGAGAATTTTCAATTTTTTATATAATAATTTGATCCTAAAATTACTTAACGTAATTAATAGAATTTTCGTTTTTTTATATAATTTGATCCTAAAATTACCTAATGTAATTAAGAGAATCCATGATAATTTACAAAGAAATTTATTTATCTTGTAGTAAATTAATTAGTAGTACCTTGAAAACATTATACAATTCATATGGGTTTTTATCAATTTAATGTAAATTTCTAAGAATCTTATTTATTACATAATATTATTTTATTGGTAATCTTTTCCTATTACCTTTATTACTAGTACTAGTTTTAGATAATGTTACCACCAGTTTCTGACATTCGGTAGGTAGTAACAGAGAGAAATATAAGAATCGGTTAATAAAGGGCAGGGTAATATAGCGATATATGACGGACGATAGGATAAAAGTGTGTGCAGGTAAATGACAATAAACGAAGACGATAATAAGTAATGTGATAGGTTAAGGGTAAATCGGATGGTGTGTGTGTATAAAAGCAATTTATTATACGATGTATACGAAAATCAATGATGTATAGCAAAAATCAACAAATGGTAATAAACGATAATAAACAATAATAAACGGTGTAAAAAATATATAAAATGTATATAAACAATACGGAGACAGATCGGCGGTTTATTAACAATTAAACAAGATACTGTTACCGAATATGTCGGTAAATAATAGTCGTATAGCTAGTGATATTAAGTCGTATAAACACACGATTACCAACGGGACTCTTACTCAATACTACCTATCCTGGTATTCCGGTATTGTTCGTTAAGAATCGGCAAGGTAAACAACTACAAAATACGATTAATAATAGCACACGACGGTTATAAGACGAATCTTATAATAATACACAGAAATAACAAGTTAAGATTAACCAAAGTATAATGATTTTATTAAACAACGTAGGATTATGAGTTTACAACAAAACGATAAAAAGTGATAGAAGTGTATTTCTTAGGGTAATATGACTCAATATAACTTCATATATCTTAATATGACCTGATATTTAATAGTTATTCGAACTACCCCAAGAACACCACCAAAAAATTTTCGGTAACGTGACTTTGTACTACTAATCTAAAAATAGTAGATATATTCGATGAAAAGTAATATTTTTCATAGTTCTTACTTCTTACTTCTCACCCCAACTGTTTTGTATTTGCGTGTTTTTTCCCTTGAAATATATATTATTCTTTTTATTATAGTTTACTTTATTTCTATGTTCTTAATCTTATTGTATTTTGTTGTGAAAATAAAAACGCGTTTTTTTATATTAAATACAAAATTTATTTACAACCTTGGGCGTATAAAGGTACTGTAAACTATCAAGTTTTGAATAAGAATAAGACTTTTCCATTTAATACATTATAAAAATTATCTTTTTATTACTATTATTAAATTATATAAATAAAACACGAAGATTTGTTGTTAAATTTCTAAAATAATAAATAATTTATTCACTTATTTTAATAAAAAAAACCAACAATAAATTTTATTAAGTGAAAAGAACTATAACTGATAAGAAATGTTTAAATTAAACATTTCTTTGATTTTTTTTTTTATAAAATCTACAAGTATTTTTAAGATAAATGTTCCCTCATTTTATTTTTTTTCTTGAAAAAAAAGATAATGTTGTACAAAATAAATCTGACCAATAAAACTCATCAAGTCACGTTACCGAAAATTTTTTGGTGGTGTTCTTGGGGTAGTTAGTTATTCGGTTCGAAGTGCCGAATAAGTGATTTATCCGGTATCCCGTGATTTGATATTGCCTGATACACGAATTTTTGCCTGATACACGATTTTTTTGCCTGATACGCGAATTTTTGCCTGATACACGATTTATTATAACCATTTTTAAATTATAAAAAATCACGTGATACCGGATAAGACCTTGTTATCAACGAGTTGGCAGAAGGTATATTTATATCTAAAAAAAAAAAACTCTTTCCGATAAACCCAATTTTTACTAAAATGGCGCAGTAGAATATTTTTATTATTACAAAATAGACGTTTTTTTTACACTTTTTTTTCGCTTGCTAATACTTTTCTTTATCTTACAACAACTCGCGAATATTCTCAAGTCACTCCATATCTTTTAGTATATACATATGGTAAAAGTTTTACTTTTAATAGAATTATACAGTCAATAGACAACGTCATATATACCCCCTTACGTAATATTCAACCTTGCAGTTATAGTAGAGTTTTTTCTTTATTCCTACTGTCGCTTAAATATACCATTTATTTTCACGTTTACATACATTTTTACTATCCTTTATTATAATAAATATTATACACTATACACATGTCTTCCGAAAATATTTTTCCTTCGGAAAAAATTTTATCGAAAACTCCCCTACAGGTGTCCCTGAAAAAATTTCACGTGATCAAACCAAATCGATCAGGTTTTAACAAGATATATGAAATACGCCGATCTAGGAGTTTCTTTTTTGAGCTCGCTGATCGTTCCCCGAACACCAATAATATTCATTTAAAAATATACACAAATGATTATCAGATGAACACTAAACCTATTAGTTATAGTAACACGAGTTCATTCCCGAATGACAAATACCAAATTAGTTGCATGCTCACACATTTTTTTTCTTTACAAAGAGTTATACCCCGTCGTGTACAACAAAAATATTTCAATTTAATTCGCAACAAATTATTGGATAGAAGAAAAATTATTGAATCACGTGCTTCTTTGATGGCAAAAAAGAACACGATGACGAAAACTTTTTTTAATTTTAGTTACAAAAGATATCGTTTTTATTTTGGAATTTATATCCCTTGTTCATTCAAAAACAATTCTGATAACCCCTATACACCTCCCTTATGTCGAATCCCTAGTCCTTTTATTATGTCACATGATCGATGTGCTTGCATCAATCATCAACAAAATTTAGCTAAACACCATTTTTACAAGAATATCAAACCAAAAAATAATATACTTAAAAAACAAACAAATGAAGATTTTATTAACAATAAATCTTCTCATGCTAACCTTTTATATCACAGATGGCTTTCTAGTCAGCCTAAACATCATTACTCCAAAAGAACGGGCGTTTCTTACATCAGCTCAATCCACGCTCGGGATGCTAATTCAATCCTTAAATTGGGCAGTAAACATATGTACAGAAAAGTCTTTTCCAACTTTCAACGGATTTTTAGTCCTAATCTCCGTACTCAACAAAAACAAGAAAAAAGATTTACTCGTGCTTGTCGGCGCGTTCTTGGTAAAGCTATAGGAGACGATCACCAAGCCATATTAGCAACAGCTAGAAAACACAAGTTTATATTCTTAAAAAATCAGTACATTAAATTCCCCATTCGACATTTAGTATATAAGAAAAGTTTTATCGAACCGAATCCTGAGGACTATCCATTTTTGGTTCCATTTTACGCTAAACGACACCTCAATGAAAATAAAACTTGGAAGAATATCAACACCTTATCGAAACATTTAAACCCACCTACACCGTCTAAAATCACACCAAAACCTCCTGATGTTACCGAACCGTTCAACCCTATTCCTAACATGTTTATTCCTAAAAAATACCGTGATATTATACCCAAAGATCCCATTTACGTTAACAATTGCTTTATTACTCCAGGTTCTCGTGAATGGTTCACATATATGTATAATCTGGAAAAATCTATCGATGAACAAGCTGAACAAGAATTTAATGAACGTGTACATCAAGAAGTAACACAAGCATTTGAGAGATCACACATAGAAAGCAAGAAAGGAGAACAAAAGAAATAGAGGAACGCAAACAAGAGGCGATACACCTTGGTACTAGTGTCAAGTACCTGGACGCTCGTAAATCACAAGTTGATTTCTTAATGTACTCAACAGACGAATTCCACAAATATATCCCCAACTATTTAACAAAAAGAAAGGAGCGTATCGACACGGGTCGATCAACTAAATTTCTCAAACGAGACCTGAAGAAATTTCTTAAAGATTACAAAATTAGACGAGAAACTACTATTTTCGTCCCTTCATACAAACCCCTGGTTGTCTCGGATGATACCGCAGCCTTAGAATCCCGTCCTTACAAACGCAACATCAATGATAATAGGATATCTTTTTCCTCACCTATAGACACACCATCGAAACGTTCCCGCCCTGCTCCATATACTGATTATGACTCTGAAGAAGCGGGACCGTCAAATTCAAAATAGTTTATTTTATATTTAATTTTTTAGTTAGAGTCAAATTACCCTTTTTCGAGTAGTTAAATCTACATTTTTTTTACATTTATTCATTTATATATATTGATTTTACAAACAACTTAAAATAGTGTGAACCATTCCACCTCTTACAGTATTTACAGGTGGCGGCCTTGGCCGAAAGAAAAATACGGATCTTTAATTTTTACTTTTTAGATTGATAATCTATACTACTCTAGAACTATTGATTTTCTATATATATAATTCTTTTTAATTTTTAGGTTCTCTCGTTACGGATGGGTCTTTAGGTTTTATTTTTTTCTTTCCCCATTCGAAGTATTAGCGTAGTTCTAGTAGTTTGAATAGTATTGTTCGAAGGGTGGGGTCCCGTAGGGGATTAATTTCCAAAATTCTATACTAGCCTATTTGTACCATCATGTAAATGATGTTTTACTCTTATTTTGTAATAGTTTTGGGAGTACTACTCTTTTAGTAATAAAATAAATAAATAAAGTATATTTATATCTATTTCTTCATCTCTTTTTCTTCTGATATCAAGCGACATCTAATCTATTGATATCCTATTGACCTGTCTCTTATACACATCTAGATGTGTATAAGAGACAGATTCTATACTAGCCTATTTGTACCATCATGTAAATGATGTTTTACTCTTATTTTGTAATAGTTTTGGGAGTACTACTCTTTTAGTAATAAAATAAATAAATAAAGTATATTTATATCTATTTCTTCATCTCTTTTTCTTCTGATATCAAGCGACATCTAATCTATTGATATCCTATTGACATCATATCTATCTGATTGTTAGTGTTTCATCGTAATATATCTATGTGATTACAATAGTGATATTTCTTATTGTAAGCCATTTTTTAATAGAACACAAATGACAAATTCTATCGGTTAATTACTATTGAGCTAATTATCCTACAATGACTCTTAATAAAAATCGTATACATATAGACAATACAAATATAGAAAATAAATAATATCAAATAATATAAACAATAATAAAAATAAGTTAATACTACATATATAAAAATAATGTTAATATAATCAATATCATCTATTGTGTACACAATCTGCAGTTGTATATCGACATAAATCGTTATGAAATGTTGAGAATCGACATGTACACAAATCGGAAAGCATGTGCGCGATTTATCGCGTAACAATACGATATTACTGTCTCTATCGGCGCTCTGTAATATCCGTATATTATCGGCTGATAATAAAACCTAACTAAACTTTTTCTAAACGAATTCAAACTGAACTTTTACAACTATCAACAACGGTCCTTTTTTATAATGTTAGATTTTTGGTGCAATTCCGTCTTTTCGAACAGAATTGTTATTCGGCCATAATAATTGCCTCCCGGCCAATTGTGGCGAACTGGGCACATTTGTTTATACAGCCACTTATATTCAGCCACCTAAGCTTCCGCTTGTTATTCTAATCACTAAATATCTAAAAATAACTAAAAATAACTATACTAAAAATAAACAAATAAATAAAAATAAAAAAAAATAATAAAAAAAAATAATAAACAAAAAAAAATATCCCATGACAATAATAAAAAAATTACATTAATATTTAGTGCATATTTTCCATTCGAAGATATTTTCGTATATTTGAATATCATAAATAAATTGATTTTTATCATATTTTCTATTTAATTAAAAAAAACTACTAGTGCGTTTATTAGTTTGTACGGTAAGTATAAAAGATACATGTAATAACTAACCTATAAAAATACCACTTATTATAAATAGCCATGTGATCACCCCTGCGGCAAATCCATCACCATTGATTGGTCGAGCATTATTGATTTTTTAAAATACTATAGTAAAGACTGCATAGTATTATTTTATTTGAAACGACTGAAACGTCAACGGGAGAGTATTAAGAAACGAACAATGCAATGCTTAGAAAAGAAAATAATGGCGAAGGTTAAAAATAAACTACAAAGATAAAAAAAATAAAAATAAAAATATCAACGGATGCGTAGGAAAAAGAGATAATGGCAAAAAGTAAATTACCTAAGATAATAAGAAATGAAAAACATCGACAGGAGTCATTAAAAATAACCTATGAATGCATAAAAAGGAAAAATAACTATGTAATGATAAAAAGAATAAAAACATCAACCGAAGAATATTAAAATGAACAATGCAATTCGTAAGAAAAGGAGATAACGATGAAAAATAAATTACGTAAGATAGTAAGACATAAAAAAAATGAGCTATGAAATGTGTAGGAAAGGAGACAACGGTGAAAAATAAATTAAGATCCCTATAAAAATTTTTATCCGTTATTTCTGTAAAAACTCCGTAAAAATGAGCCTTTCACGGATCCATTCACGAAAATGTAAATAATTCGATAAATTCCGCGATATAAGGTTATTAATTCCGGAAATATGAGCCTTTTACGGAAAAAAGATGGAATATAAAAAACGGATTGACTTTTTTTACAGGGGATATTCTATGCTTTAATCATATGTTAGGTTTACTATAAATACGCTCTGATTTCGCCCTTGTAAAATTTCTCATCAAAGTAAAAAAAAGGTCCAAGAACAAAAACAAATCACATTTATCAAATAAATCAAAAAAATCAAACAAATCAATTCTCGAAAATCTTAAAAACAAATGAACTCATTAACTTCCACTGTTTAAACCTGTTGTTATTGTTGCTTCTAATGCAACAGATAAACCTCCTATAATTAATCCAGCTCCATGCATTATGCATCATAATATAAATGTTATCTGCTATTCAAAAAATTCCTTATTGATTTCACAAATTGTTTGTCTGACGCTTTTAATCCCCTAACGGTCATTAATTTTGATTAATTTATTTATATTTTTTTCTCAAATATTTTCGTATATTTCATTATTCAGTCAAAATACTTTTAAATTGTAGTAGTGCTTTATATTTTTATTTTACTTTTCACTTTATTTTTCCTTTTTATTTTTTTTATTTTGACTTTATTATATTATATTTTATGTTTATTGTACATTCTTGTACGTAAGTACGTTCCTGCTTACCAGGTATCATTTACTAATTAATAAGCTGAAAATTTCTTAATAACTGGACTAAAATGTAAGCGAAAATATTTACATGATACCATGCATACTTTGATATTATCGAATAAAGGTCTATAGTAAGTTTTCTTGATAGATTACATTATTTTCAGTTTTATTCATCTTTCGTAAATTTATATCACGTAATCAAATTTATTATCATAAATATCAAGTAACACGCTTTGAACATAAGAATTTGTTATCATATACTAATAGAAAGCTCGATCTAATTTACAAATTTTGAAATTGGTATATAACTAGTAAAAGTCACATAAGCTTTGAAAATACTACTAATATATAAATTCTTCAGGCATATTGATAAATTTATTGCCGAATATGTTATTAAATTAAAAATTGTATATCTCGTTTGTTCTGTTTTTGATGCTAAGCGGTAGAGTGAGGAGTAAACGGAAGTAACCCTGTAAAAAAAGTCGATCCTTGTTTTACATTCCATCTTTTTTTCCGTAAAAGGCTCATATTTCCGGAATTAATAACCTAATATCACGGAATTTATCGAATCATTTACATTTTCCGCGAATGGATCCGTGAAAGGCTCACTTATACGGATTTTTTTTACGGAGTTTTACAGAAATAACGGATAAAATTTTTATAGGGCAAGAACCTATATCCTATTTAATTGAGGTGAATAGGTGAATGTTCAATATTAATATATTGTTTTTTATAGTTGTAAAGAAGGAAATTCTTTGTGTTTATTATATTATAGGATTGAGAGTATTACAAATAAAGCACAAATGATAAATAAATCCAATTAAAACCGATATACAATAAAGCGACGCAAAGTAATAAAATTGACCCTCATATCCTGAAAAAAAAATTTATATATTATTACTATTCCAAGTAAAAAGTTTTTAAAAATTGAAATTTTTGAAAAAAGCCGAGATTTACAAAATTTTTATTTTACGAGGGACAAAGTTTATGATCATGTGCATGTATAGCCTAATTATAATTTCTTTATTATTATTTTTTTCTTTTTTTTTTTTTTTTTGTGATACCAAACACAACCCCCTTGAAATTGAAATTATCTGCCCATTATATAAATGACAAAAGTGAATGTTACACCAGATTCTTTTATTTCCTCGTTTGACATAATAATAGAATAAAGTTACCCATTAACAGTTAACGTCAACTCACTTTTATTGACGGAAGAGTGTGACACGTGTAACAATTTTCCAATTTTAGTCTACTTGCTAGCTGATCCTAAACTGGCTCTACATTTATATATACCAGGTTATCAATTATCATGATGCTAATTTTTAGCTTTTACAAGCATAATATTTCATAAGGATTTGTTTCAAATTATTAAATAAACCATGAAGGCTTCTCTTGTTATCATTAAAAATTTTTATATTCTTTATTTGGCTGCATGTATTGGTACAGGTATGAGACTTATAAAATATCTTAGTTTTCAATAATTTTAATTAATTTATTTATTTATAAAAATTAAATAAATAAAGAAATTTGGTATTTGATAACTTTACGTAAAATTGGAGATTATAACGAACATGGAGTAGACATAACTATGTCTACTTTGGCACTTATAGACTTTTTGTAAGTAATTTCATATATTATAATTAATTTACGTTTTACGTATTTTAATTTAAATGTATCATCTAACTATTAATGGCTATTTCCTTGGGATTCTTATACCACTAGTATTCAGTAAGTTATAATCTCGATGACAGGCACTTTTATTATTTTAAATAACGAAAAATTCCATTAATTTTATTAGCATGGATTTTACCATATGAAGTCAGTGGAGACGGTGAAGATGCTACTATTTCTTACGGCTTAGGCATTTCTGGGTGAGTATAAATAAATTGATTTTTTGTCATATATATTCCAATTATTAAAAATTAATCACAAATAATAGGTTTTCTGCTTTATCTAGTATATTTTTTAGTTTTATCAGTAAGTATAAATAATAATTTAACTTACTTCTCTTACTATACATGTAATAACTAACCTATAAATATACAGTGGGGGCTAGGTACCGTGTTCCAACTTTAAATCTTGGTGAAATCCCTTTTAATTGTAATTATAATTATTATTTGCCAGAGAATGTTAAAATTGCATGTAAAGCAAGATTTATAAGTTGTACTTTAGGTTTTTCTTTATATGCAACTCCCTTGGTTACTTTATTAATCTTTCTTTTATATAAGCGGTTTTCTAAATTATTTTCTAAATTATTTGACTTAATTGAGAGAATTTCATATAATTTACAAAAATATTTGTTTGTCTTGTGATAATTTGACGTTAAATCTTTGATCATGTTACACAACTGTAAACTTTGGAGTAATTGAAATATTATTTAATAAACATGTACAATACCATCATGGCGGATTTATGCCGTCATGTCAAATTAAATAAATATTTGACAGTGTTTTAGTCATCAAATTTCTATTTAAGTCCCAAAAAGCTCAAAAAAATTTTTTTGTACCCAAATCTTGCGTCTAACCAATTTTCCCATTATCTAACCAAATTTTCCAGTGTTAAAGCCGCATCATTATTTGACATTTTTTTAGGAAAAATTTCTGTAAGTCAATTTTAATTCCCGAGGCCGCAGCATGGGTTTTGCCAAATTTCATAAATCCGCCGCAATGCATAACAACATAGAAATACTGGAGCGAAATTACTAGTTCATTGAAATTTAAACCAACACCATGTATTATTAATAATATTGGTCAAATCTGACTTTATAATAATTTGCCAGATTTGCCAGCAAAGTGGTTTGTCGGTGAAATTATTAGTTTTGTAATCAATATTATCTAAAGAGTGAGAACGTGAATCCCTCTCCCTGTCGATGATTAAATTGATGATTGGATACATCCATAAAATTGTGTCTATGTTCGTAAAACCTTTTTGTTTTTAAAATTCCATAATGTCGGGATAATCCCAAATTTATAATTTCTAACCTAATTAGAGTGAAAAAAGAATATTGAGCCTGTTACTTATAATAAATGAAAATTTTCGATCCATTATGCGCTGAATGTAATGTCTTTTTTTTTCGCCAAGTTAAAAAAAAAAATAATGACCTGTCAGAAAATATCCCAAAAGAAATTTATATTTCATTATCGGCGGAATATACCGAAGTTGTTTTTTTAAATATTTTATGGATATTATACAGTGTTGTATTTATATTGGTTAACGTCACTTCGGTAACCAATATAAATACCACCGTACAACATCTATATTATCGTACGGCTAACGCAGATAAACTATCAATATTCGATATTGTACAATTGATGTATATATTACGTGACACTGGATTAATAATTACCGCTGCGGACTGCGGTATAGCAAAAAAAAATTAAGCGCAAAGCTTAATTTTTTTTGCTCTTTCTCTTTCGTTTCTCATTACCCTTTCGTTTTCCCCTTTCCTTTCGTTTTCCTATTACCCTTTCGTCCCGTTTTCCCCTTTTGCTTTCCCCTTTCACTTTCCTATATGTCGACGATTTTCTTTTCCAAATTGCAAAATCATATTATAAGATTCTGTTTTACGATTAATGAAAAAAAAAAACTTAAATAAAAACTGGTCCAATCCATCTACCATAAGTAACAACCATTTAACTAAGGTATGTCATATTATGAGTTAAATATAGCTATAATCAGAGTTTTTCCTTTTATTTTTTAGTTATTTTATCCATTTTTATTTCTTTTTATTTTTTTTTTTAAAGAAAATTTTGTTCTAACTTCTTAGTTCTTACTAGTAAAGTTGGATATTGAAAGAAGCCCAAATAGCTAAATTGGGGGATTGTTTCGAACGATTTTTTATTGGGTGGCTTAGCATTAATATTTAATGTTACACTAATCTAATTGCCATAAATTTATGAATTCTAGCCGGAATTAAAATCGCACCAAATCACATTTTTTCCGCATGTATTCTTAGAACAATTGTAAATTATATCCCTAAATTGCATAATACAGTCCCTTACTCCCTTGTATAATAAAGTTTAACATATATAAGTGATGAATCAAACCGTTGATATGCAATAATAAAACCAGACCGTAACTCTATAATAACGTGAGCGAAGACCTAGATAAAGTTCAAATGGGCAAACTACAAAAGATGCGTAGGATGAATCAAAAAAAAAAAGTCATAGCAATTTTATGTTCTATATAAAAAATTCTAAATTTGGTTTAGCTAGTACTAATTAAAATACCTTTTTATAGCGAATTTATAATTATAAAATTCGTTATAACTTTTTAATTTTAAAAAAGCTCGCTAGTTATAAGTTCATTCCTTATTGGATAATACTGGTAGGAATTAATTCCTTTTTTAAAACTTGCTGGTATTATCCCAATGTACTGTATAATCATGAAATTTTGTTAACCTTAAAAATTGTTATGTTTCATGTATTTAATTAATTATCAAACGTCAAGTCTATAAACATTCCATAATTAAGAAAGTTTTTCATATGCTAAATTACAAATTTTATTTAATAGATAATTTTAAATAGAAGCCTGCTGTATAATTCAGTTGATGTCCAATCGTACATAATTGTTACTAAAAAGTGAAAATTTTCTGAAACGTTAATTTTTTCCTATAAATCACTCCCGAAGAATGCTCTCAAATTAAAGTTAATAATGAGTCAAGGAAGAAAAAAAGTTCAGCGATGGAATTATTTAATAGTTTATTAAATTATGTATTCGATAAATTACGATAATAAAATAATGCCAGTTAATCAGTATTAATGCGAAAGGAATTGTCGAAAATATTTGATTGCGTAACAAAATTAAATAAGTCGACAACCTCTCTTCTTTTTTAGCATAGTACACAAGTAGTGTTTACAAACAAATGAATATTTAAAGTGTATGTGTTTGAAATTATAAAATAAACCTCATTTACAATCAGTCCTTACCTGTTACTATAGCGAATTTTGATATAACGAATTTCACGATATAAAATCTTTAGTGTGGTACGCATTTAATCATATGAAAAAAAAATTTGTTACACCGAATTTTACTAATAAAATGCAGTATAACGTTGAACGAAGAAAAATTTACCCTATAAAAAATTTTTATCCGAATATTTCCATTATTACTCCGTGTCTTCCGTAAAAATTCCGTGAAAATGATACATTCATGGATATCCGTGTTAGCGACCATGATTTAAGGCCATAAATTCCATGAAAATGATACATTCATGGAAAAAACATCGAAAGATAAAACACGGATCAGATTTTTTACAGGGTTATAAATTCACAGGTGCAAGTGACCCCTTTTATAACGAATTTCTTTTATTTTTGCAAGATAAATTTTAATATAAAGGGCAGTTTGATGTTTGTTTTATGGAATTTGAATTTTTCTCAAATAAGCAATTTTACCACTTTTAATTTATTTATCAAAAGATGGATGATTTATGTTTCGAAGTTTCCTTTGCCATGTTCTACAAATGTTTTGATTTTCCTCTATTTTACTGCATTATACCAAAATTTTCGCTATACCAAATGATTCGATATCAGTTATAGCATTAACAAACTTTCTCATAACGAAAGCCTAATCGGCCCTACTTGAGGGCCGACTACTGAATAACGAGATTAAATTGTAGTATGACTATGAGTTGACTATAGATGCATTGGAACTGAACAAACGGTGTTAAACCCTCATATTATATTATGTTTATTTTTGTTTTATTATGAAGAGACTTGCTGGTCAAGTGAAGAAGTGAAAGTAAGAAATTAAGAAGTGATAATGATAATGTAAGAAGAGTATTATCAGAGATTTAACTTTTTATTTATTAGTGTAAATGAATCAATATATTCGTTATATATTATCAAAATTAATTAACAAAGGGTTATATTTGAATGTTTAATAACAGCGCAACGTACAGCATATGACTTATATATTTTTTTCAGAGTAAAATACATGCTGCTATAAATGCAATTACTTGTCATTCGTTTTACGTGAATTTATTGAGTTTTGAATAATTCCGAAAGTTTTTATCTTATCACAAATTTATATCCTATAAAGTATAGAAAATATGACATGGAATTAAATCACCACCAAGATGATACTACAACAAACTAAGGATGGTTATCGGTCTTACGGTCCCAGAACTTGTAGGACTGGACCTGGCGCAGTTGGTGGCGCAGTTGGTGACGGTCTTATGATTTTAAAATTTTTATTTGCAAAAAAAAAAGAAAAAAGACCGATCGTCTTACAGCTGATTTCATAATGTACGGGACACTTGGAAAATGGCAAATTTTTGCCGAGAGTTGTCAAGTTGTCGGTAGCCAATCAGCCAATCAATTACACTTGGAATCCAAAAAAGGGTGTAACGTGATATTAGCTAAATCATGTGTTTCGTTATTTTTTCAATTTGCCGACAGGCGACAACCGGCAACTCTCGGCGTAAAAATTGCCAAGTGTCCTGTACATTATGAAATCAGCTGTAAAAGACCGACGGTCATATTGTATGTGATACAGGACTGAAAGACCGCAGTCCTACACCAAGATGGACCGGTCCGTCTTTAGGACCACGGTCTTTTAGGACCGATTACCATCTTTACAACAAATTTTATAATATACAGGACGTTCGGTCATCGCGGAATAATTAGGTAAAAACTTACATTATCAGATTCGGAGAGCACGGTGATTGTAGTTATTGAGTTATGCAATGTTGCGATATTTTGCAATTTACTGTAAAATGCAAAGCTAAATGTTTAATTAAACATTTCGGTTATAATTTTCCCTTTATGCTTAATCTCGCTATCGTTAGTATGTATTTCATTTACAGTAATTTGTTACTTGATACCGGTAATTGATAATGATATAATGCATTCATAATGCATTCATATTTTTGTGCTTTATTTAAACCCTCTATTGTGCTTATTGCAGTGAAAATGAATACATGGAATTAAATTTTTTTTTTAAAAAAAAAATATTCCAATTTGTTTGTTGCAAAATGAATTTGGTTGTAAAGAAATGTTCAGAACGATTAAGTATCAGGTACATTTAATATGATATTTTGATAACATTAATAAAAAAATAATTTCGAATTAATAGCCAAAGCTACATATATAATACTCATGAGGCTAAACTGCGCTTCTACTTTCAAACTCAGAATAAAAGTAAGTCTATTTTTTGTGTCGCGTTTTTGTGTATTAATATGTTTAAACTTTACACTTTTTTATATTCATTTTCACTTATTAACAATGACCTCTTCAGTAGAAAAGGGTTCTCAGTTCGAAAGTTACGTTTATAATAAATTAAAATCAACGAAATTATGTGTTTCTCGTACTAGTAGGTGAGTTATATTATATCTCTTAAGTAGATTGATGGCCATATATACCTGAAGTTACGCTGCCACTAGGTAATAAGGCGGCAGAGAACTGGAAGCGAATCGTGGCCCTATAGATTACATGTCGCCTTATTACTCGAAAGCCTTTATAGTTGTGGTGAATAGGGTGTATGGTTTGTAGTAACTCGAGACCGGCCTCAGGTTAATGCATCCTCATGGTAATGATGTTTACTTATTTTTATTTTGCTTGTTATAGGGGTTCGTGTGGAGATAGAGAATGGATACACCCACTCCAGAACTACTTCACGCAAGTAGTTCGCAATATAGAGAGAATGCTGTTGAGAACATGTTGGAGACTATTTTGAGGAAGTTAGAAAAGGCAGAAGAGGACAGAAGGGAGAAGAAAATAAAATATACAAAAAGATTAATCGGCTAGACAGATGGATAAAGGAGCAGGACAGACGGATTTACAATCAAAATATTATCTGTTTTTTTTAGGTGTAATAACATCATGTATAATATTTTCATTCTGGATAGGTATTCTTATTAATAATCAATCACTTTTAAGTTTAAATTATTGAGTCCAAGTTTAATATGAAATTTTTATAATAATAATAAAATCTTCATTGATCAACAAGTTGAAAATTTCTTTAAATCTAAATATCCTTTATTCGCCATTAATGTTAAAACATAATTTTACAAATTATCGAATATCTTCTTTTAATATTGAGTTATTGACACGACTTCATTTTCATTACCTATTAAAATTTATATAATAAGCTTATCTATTGAAGCTTCTATAAAGTTATATGAGCCAATCGCAAGTCAATTATGTTTATTGATCTAACTCGTATATAACCACATAAAAAGGAATTTCTCGTTAAATATTAATATTTTATCATCAAAATTCGTGGTATTTTACAGATCGTCGAATTTCTACAGGATCCTATATGGCCGTGCGATAATGTAATAACAGCCCTGTTCAAAATCGTTCGGTTGCATTTTTTGATTAGTCAGGCAATCTTATTGGTAGAAAAAGTTCGATCCAAAAAACCTAAATAAATATTGGACTAAAAGATCGGTCGCGCAAACAAATGCAAGCAGATCCGGCCAATCAAATTAAACCATAACCGACCAAAAAATACGACCGAACGATTTTGAACAGGGCTAACATAGGTCAGCGCAAAAGTTTGATATTAAAATAATTAAAATTAATTTGTCAAATCACAATATTAACTATCACGGATGAGTTTTAGAGATAATTGGTTCTTTTGTTTTTTTTTTGTTAAAATAAATGTGTTACCAAATCCATTAAACCACCCCAATATTTATTTATTTATTTTATTTTATTTCAAAAAGGCAGGTATACTGCTGAAACAGATACATATTTACAATGGTGATGAATACATAACTAACTACGTATACATATTCAACTAGTTACACATCCCATACGAGACCCACCTTTCGACTCCAATATTTATCGTTACCCAAAAAGAAATTAGATAATTAATAAATGACTATAAATTTATTAATGTCGTAATTCATATGATAATCTTTGAAAATAAAATTATACTGATATTAGTGCGTGGGAAGTAAAATTTTACTTTTTATATAGAGTTTTTTATATCGTTATATCGAATATCGGCAAATTACCTTTATTTACAGGGATTTTATATTGGAACAATACAACTAATTTTGCAAAATTTATCGCTACTTTAAATAATTCCAAAATAACAACCAAAAACGATAAGATCACTAATACAGACTTCATATTATCCAAGGGATTTCTAATTCATCTTGGTCCTCAGAATGAAGATTTGGATTACTATATAACTCATGTTCGTCTATGAATATAAAAATTCGATTAGAATATTAACCACAAATATTATAAATACTATATAATCATTTTCATACCTTTAATATCTACGTTTTTTGTTTGTTGTATTGTTTCTCTTTTATAGTCCACTTGAATATCTAAAATAAAAACGCCATAAATAAGGAGGATATTGAAAATAACAAACGCATAATCCTGGTTGACTTACCTTCATTTGAATATATTTGTGGTACCTTAGATGAACCTAAATTAATTAAAACAATTAATTTATTATCGAACAACAAAATCATTTTAATTAACAACACTATTACCTTTAAAGATACTACTTGATTGCATCATTTTTACAATATTATCATCGACTAAAAATAATCAATTAATTATAAAAATTCCAATTGTATAATTATAAAAAATTTTAATTAATACTTACTATTATTAGAATTGCTGAAATTATAAGATTGATTATGAAATTCTTTAAATTAATATATTGAAAAAAAATATCAATCATTTTCTTCAAGTAAAAAAAAAAAAATACTAAGATTCAATTAAATAGCATACCTTCTTGTTCCTCTATTTTATTTAAACGATATAATAATTTGAATATTTAATATAATTATAGAAATCAAGTTTTATATATAACTTAATAATACATTCAATACATACCTTCCGTTCCATTTCTTGGTTCAGGAAAATCCTCAAATGCATAAACTTTACTTGTAAATAATTTATAATCAGTTTCATTCAAATTGCTTATCTCGCTAATTTCTAATATATCATTTGTTTTTGGTTGAAAAACTTTAAGTTTTTTAATAAATTTCTTAATCATGCCTTCATTCTTACTATTATTACTATTTGAATCGTTCGATATATTTTGACAATGTTTTCTCATTTCAAAGATTTTATTATTAAGTACTCCAATATTAGGCCGCCTTTTTGGATCAGCATCCCAACATTGCATCATTAATTTTTTGTATTCTAAAGGGATTCCCGATTCAATTTTTGGTCTTATCCCATTAATTATATTCATGGCAAGGAAAAGTTCGTCTTCCTGATAAATGAAAGGTGGTTTTCCAAATGAAATTTCCCACATAAGAATACCAATACTATAAATATCAGATGCAAAAGTAATTTCTTTACCGGAGATAATTTCGGGTGCTATATAAGGAAGATTTCCATATATACTATTTGATGGCCTATCAGCTGGTCCGCGAAATCCAAGATCAGTGATATAAAATTGTTTGTTTCTTTGATTGAACAATACATTTCCAGAATGTAAATTTTTGTGGATTACTCCATTCTTATGAATTTTGGAGAGAGCAAACGTAAGATCATCAGTTATATGAATCCTCTCTCTCCACGTAATCTCGTTATGCTTCCGTTTTAAATATTCTCTTAAATTCATGTGCGATTTATTCATTACGAGCATATAATTTCCATCTGATGGATCTTTTGTTAAACCATAACATGTTAATATCTCTCCATATTTACTACATATATTTAAGTAGGATTTTGCCTAAAAGAAACACAAATTCATTTTTATTATTAAATTATTTTATATATAAGAAAAATATAATTTTATTTTTTTAAAAAAATATATATATACCTCATCAATCCAATTTTTATTGGCTTTTTCAACATTTTCTAATTTCTTAAGTACCACGTCCGGGCTATATCCGATTCTTTTTAATTGATTTTCTTTAGAATCCCATTCATCATAATATCCATCAATCCAAATTGCTTTATAAATTTTAGAACAATCAGTTAAATAATTAATACTTCGTAAATTATTGTATGGGATCCATTCTATTATATTATCTGGTTTAAGTGTTTCCATTTGGCATTCACGTATTAAATTATCGATATTATCATTTTCAGATGTCCAGTTTGAGAATTGTGCTATTAAATAATTTCGAACGCAATATTCACAATATAATGTGGCTAGACATTTTCCTTGACAAATTTCACAAGTTCTTCTTGTTCCTTTATTTTCTCGAACTTTATATTTATCGATTTTTTTATTTATTAATTTTATTGCATGTGATCTTTCATCGCTCGTAAAAGTTTGATCGGCAAGTATTGTTTGTTTAATAGATTCATATTGTTTTTCTTTGTTATTTTGAGTATTTTCTGCTAATTTCTCCGCTCTATGAATTTCGGAATAGATAAATTCATGAGCCATAATAATAATAATAAAAAATGATAAAAAAAAATATTTTTGTTTCTATCGGATTTTTAATTCCGGGATTTTTATACGGGTCCGGAGAGATAAAATTTTGTATTGTAACATCCATTTTTAGCGTATATATTTTTTTTTTTGTTTATCGACGCAGCACAAATTTCAGTGACGTGACGGCCGTGACGCGTGCACTTCACCACGTGATCCAACATTTGATATGCGTTCAAAGAACTGACATATATATATATATATTTACATATATAGCTTTAATAACTCCTTTTTTTTACTTTTCAGGTCCAATGTGCACAAATTGAGTTAGATTTTTACATTTTTGCAGTACAAACAACTTGGCGCAACTGATATATATATACATACATATACATATATAGATTTAATAGCTATTTTTTTTACTCTTCGTTCCAATGTGCACAAATTGAGTTAGATTTTTACATGCTTGCGGTACAAACAACTTGGCGCTACTGACGTATATATAAATATATATACATATATGGATTTAATAGCTATTTTTTTTTTTACTCTTTGTTCCAATGTGCACAAATTGAGTTAGATTTTAGTATAAACAACTTGGCGCAACTGACATATATATATATGTATATATACATATATGGATTAAATAGCTCTTTTTTTTTACTCTTCGCTTCAATGTGCACAAATTAAGTTAGATTTTTACATGCTTTGCAGTACAAACAACTTGGCGCAACTGATTTGTATTTATATATATACATATATGGATTTAATAGCTATTTTTTTTTATTATTTGTTCCAATGTGCACAAATTGAGTTAGATATTTACATGCTTGCAATACAAACAACTTGGCACAACTGACATATATACATATATATATATACATATAATTTAATCAGTAGCTATTTTTCACCCACTCAGGTTGATCATTAAAGCTTATATCCTTATTATTTATCACAAGTGTATATGTTATAACCTTATATGGGCGGCCCATGGGCAGCTCACTCGGACATCCAATGTCCTGCTGTTTCCCATAGGCTACATAACTTGGGCCGAACTTTACAACACTGCCCAATATTGAAAAAATTTATGTGAAAATAAGCACTCGGACATCTGATGTCCTTATTAATAGGATTATTACTTATTAGGTTGCCTATAGCTAAAATTTGGGCCAAATAATGTAATGCCGGCCCACCAGAATTTGGACATATAATGTCCTTATTAATTAGGATTCCAGGACACAAATTATTAAATAAGCAACAACTTGGGCCAAATGTAACACTGGTCACAAGAATGCTCTACAAATTAGATTTAGCTTTTTATATTTAAAATAAAATGTATTGTAATTGCAAAATTCTATTTCTATCAATTATTAACAATTACTAAGTTTTTATTTCAAAAAATTCAATTTTAGTATCACATGATCGTACACATAATACAAAATATATTTTTAAATAATTTTTTTTTATCTTTTTTTTATAATTATTTATTCTAATATAAATTATAAAAATTTTTTTGATATAAACCTAAATTTATAAAATAAATTTTTTATTTAAATAAATATTATTACAAGCTAATAAATAATTCAATTATTTATAATTTTCAATTTTTTCGGTTTCTTTCAAAATAGACAAAAGTTTAAATATGCCAAATTTTGTATATTCGGATTTCAGAATCTCATGCTAACAGGGATATCAAATTCCAGATTTCAGAATCGAAACCTAATAATATATATCAGATGTCCTAGTTCTGGTGAGCCAGCATTAAATTTGGTCTGAATTGTAGCTTATTGGAGATAGATCTAATAATAAGACACCGTGTATGATTAATAAGAACATCATATGTTCAAATTCTGGGACATCAGATGTCCGAGTGAGCTGCCCATTGGCCGCCCATAACATATACACTTGTGACATATAACCTTTAGTCGGCACCTGAGTGTGATGCACCTTTTTGTTCCAATGTGCACAAATTGAGTTAGATTTTTACATGCTTGCAGTACAAACAACTTGGCGCAACTGACATATATGTATATGTATATACATATATGGATTTAATAGCTATTTTTTTTACTCTTCGTTCCAATGTGCACAAATTGAGTTAGCTCGAATTTGGATTTTTATATTGTTTGCAGTGCAAACAATTTGGAGCAACTGACATATATATATATGTATATACATATATGGATTTAATAGCTATCGTTCCAATGTACGCAAATTGAGTTAGCTCGAATTTGGATTTTTACATATATATATACAGGATTTAACAACTATTTTTTTTAACGTTACGGTATTTTTTTCATTACAGTATTTTTCTTTACGTTACAGTATTCTTTTTATTACAGTATTTTTTTTATTTCCAATAAAAACAAAATGCAAAGCACCAGAGGTTATGATTTGATTAAGGAAGTTATCTACGAGAACAATATAAAATATTACGAATACAAAAATTTTTACAATATTGAAAAAATTAACGAAAACACCTATCTCGCCAATTGGAATTATTCAGAGCAATATGTTATATTAAAGTCCTTTAACCTTAACAATGCCAGTGCAAATAAAGAAGAGATTATTAATGAGGTAATTACATACAAAGTTAATAACTGTGATACATCATCATAATAACATCAAATAATAATTAAACTTATCTATATTTTATTTATAATTTAGCTTAAATTTCATAATGAAGTTAATTTTCATACAAATATGATTAAACTATTCGGAATTACCGATAAAGGTATACATTATTCAAATCCATAGATTTTTTTTTTTAAAAAATATATTAATACAATAAATTAATTATTATTTCCTTTACGATTTCAGCAAATCAAAATGATCAAATGAGGGAATATTTATTGATAATGGAATACGCTAACGGTGGTTCCCTTCGAAATTATTTGAAAGAAACCCTTAATAATCTTACCTGGAAAGACAAATACGAATTGGCATACCAATTGGCATGCGCTGTGTTATTACTTCACAATAAAGGAATTCCGCATTATAATTTGGTAATTTATTTATTTCGTTAAATTTTTAAGATAAATAAACCTTAATTAAAAATTCTTCTTTTTTTAGTACCCTGACAATATTTTTATTCATCAGAACACTATCAAATTAGCCAACTTTGGATTATTAAGCAGAACCAAAAGAGAATCTAAGAGGCAATTGGAATCGTTCGATTATATGCCTTATTTTGATCCAAATAAGTACTCACCAAATGAAAGGAATGATACATACAGTATTGGAGTGATTCTTTTATGGGAGTTGTCAAGCGGTCAACCATCACTTACTAAAGACAAATTATGTGACGATAATTTAATTAAGCAAGGTTATAAAGAACCAATGTTTTTAGATACCCCTGTCGAATATTCTAATCTGTATATTGGTAAGAATAATTTTTAATATTATAGTTTATCGTATTGTCAGTTATCATACAAAAATTAAATTTTCATTCTATATTATGATTAGAATGTTTGAATAACGGACCAAACCATAGACCAACAATTATTCATGTGGTCGATAGATTAAAAGAAATTATTGCAAGGACGAATTATTATGAAACAGAATATGAAATGTGTTCTCATAACATCCAACATTTTAATAATATTGATATAAAGGAAATAGATCCTACAACCCAAGATATATTTGATGATTTAAGTTCTTTAATTGATGGATTGTTTGATATTTACTTTGAGAAAATGAATGAAGGGAATGAGAATGATGTATTAAAAAAGTATGTTTTTGATTATTTTGTTCATTATAAAATTAATCCAAAAGAAGCCTACCATTGGCTTTTAAACAATCAAGATAATTCAGAATTTATTTGTTTACTTGGATATTTTAATTATCATGGAATTGGGACTGATATTAATAAGCAGAAGGCATTTGAATTAAACAAAAAAGCAGCAATATTAGGAAATGATATGGCTTTATTTCATCTTTATCACTCGTACTATTATGGAGAAGGTTGTAATAGTAATTATAATATTGCAGTTAGAATATCTAGAAAATTAGCAGAAAAAGGATATTCTAATGGATTAAATTGGTTAGGACATTGTTATAGTTTTGGAGTTTTAACTAGGATTAATAATCAAATGGCATTTGATTTATTTCAAAGGGCAGCAGATTTAGGAAATATTAAAGCTATGTATAACCTTGCTGTGATGTATATTTATACAGAAATTAATGATAATTCTAAAGCTTTTGAATTATCTAAAAAAACAGCTGAAAGAGGGTATACAGGTGGAATAATGTTGTTAGGAAAATGTTATCAACATGGAATTGGAGTTAATGTTGATATGCAAAAGGCATTTGAATACTATCAAATGGCAGCAAATTTAGGAAATGCTATAGCTCAAGAAGGATTAAAAGAACTTTTAGGAGAATAATTTATACTATATATAGTTGAATATTTTATGTAGCTTATTTATAAACAATAACGTATTTGTAAATGTTATTAAATTATTTATCATAATAAAAATTTGTTATTATTAAATATCTATAAAAAATTTATTCAATTTTTTTTTTTTTTTTATTCCATGTTATTTCCGTTAAATGTATCATATTCACGGAGTTTTTACAGAAATTACGGATAAAATTTTTTATAGGTAATAAATTAAGCAAATCGTCTGAATCTTGGTTAGATTTAAGAAATTTATCTGATTGATAAAAGTAAATATTGATGTAAGGTGACGACCAAAAAAATTTACTATTAACTGTACGCATGATTTTTTCAGGACTGGAATTATAATTTTGGCCGGTAAAAAATTGATCTACATGATTTCGCTGATTTTTCGTTAAAAAGAATTTTTTTTCGCTAGTCATTCAATTCTTTAATTTTCTAAAACTTTTTATGAATGAGCAAAATGTAAAATTCTAATGTGTAATATTGATGCGTTAAGGTAACATATATATTGCAATCAAAAATTTTGAATTAATGTAATGTTATAATACATCCTTGATTGCACGCACTATTTGATATATAAAATAGGTTGGGCTTATAGAAAGAATATTGCTACGAAATAACCCATTAAAATATGATTTATTATCCGAAAAATGAAATAAAAGAGATACATAGAGAAGTCTAAATAATTATCGGAAATATTTACTAATAGTAAATATTAATTTGATGAATATCTCATTCGTACATATTTAAAACGCATTGTCACAAACATTTCTTTATTGGCATATGAAATAACATATACTTTTGTAATCGTCAACTGAAATACTATCTGCCCAAAAAATTAATATTATTTAATACTAATCTGTTACAAGTGCGTGTTTATATATAAAATGCATAACAGATAACAATGTAAAAATTATATATTTGAGCGAATGTATCATGTATCACGTGATAGCATTTCTGTTATTTAATTTGTGAAACTAATTCACCAAAAATTTTACCCGGTTATCACACCACGTATTATAATCTGTCTTTAAAATGATTTGATAACTCGTTATATGCTGAATATAGTCGGTTAAAGTATACTTTAGTAAAATACCCAATTCATTTCTAAAGAAATTTCAAGGACAAGATGGAAGAAACTACATAAAAAAGGGTGTTCTTAATATTGTTTCGAGCGCGTAAGTTAACCATTTTCCGGGAAAGTTCTTCTACTGTACCAAAAAAAATAAATAAAAAAGACAACGAAGTAAAGATAAAAAAAAATGACGAAAATGAAACAAAAAAATAAGAGACAACATAAAAAACACAAATAATAAAGTAAAAATCAAAAACTTTTAAAAAAATATTATAGAATTCCTATCGGTAAGGTAAGGTACAATTACCATCATAGAACCATAGAAGTAAGTTGCCGATTTTCAACTTACTACAATGGTGAAGAAAATTCAAAATTCATAGATTCATGTCAACAAATTAAAAATTTCACCAGGGCGCCATCGGCCATTCTATTATATGAAAAATCAATAGATGATAATATTCGGTTAACTTCAAGTTCTCGTAAATTATTCAATTCAATATTTTTTTTACAATAAACAGTTTCAATTTTAAACGATTAGAAATTACTGTATATATAATTTGTAATATTGATATATTTTTAAATATATGTTGAGATTTTTTTATTTAAATATTATTTTATATATAACCCTATAACCCTTTTATGGAATTATATATATATATATTACCAAATTTGAGTTTCTTTATCATTTTTCTTCAGCTAAAACAAAAATGTTCGGAAATTGTCGTCGAAAATGTCCGGATCCCCCATAGGGCATAATGTCTCAACTTACGGAATTTTCCGAACATTTTCCGGACATTCTTTTTTTTTTAGAAGCTTGTATTGGATTAATTAAATATTTTAAATTGCTGATTTTTCTCGCAACGAAACAAAAACAATTTTAAGAGCTATTTATTGTTCTTCAGTTATTATCAATAATCATAATATTTTTGTGCGACACACAAGGTTTTCCTTTTATTACACAGACGACGACATATCATAACACCAAGGCATTTATTGTTTTATTTCCTCTTTTAGTAGAATAAATCGTTCTTTATCTGTATTTTTTATAAAAAAAAAAAATTCATAATAAAAAATATTATATAAAGAAGAGCGAAATTTGTATCATAATTATATTTTAACCATGAAAAATTCTACTATTACGAAAATTTTTTTTGTTCTTTACTATATTGCATGTATTGGTACAGGTATGAGACTTGTAATGTTTTTTCCTAATCGTTAAATTTAGGTTTATTCATTTTATATTTGTAATATTACTAATATATAATATATATATATATATACATAGAAATTTGGCATATAGTACCTTTATTTAATGTTTTTGAAGATCCACTCAAATTCCTAATTATAACTTCGGACGCTATGTAAATATTATTTTTTACGCTTTACGTTTTCTTGTAACATGAATGCGTTAATTATAAATATGATTAATTATAGTTACTTTACTGGAAATATTTTCATAATAATACTCAGTAAGTTATAATCCTATTGATACTTCATTACTTAGTAGTTTTTATATAATGAAAATCTATACTTTTTGGTACTAGTATATCGCACATATGATGATACTCTTAAAAAGTTAACCATTTATACTTCGTAAGTATACTGTAAATAAAATTGTTGCTTTCCTTGTCATCATATTTTATTAAAAAATTAATTATGTATAGTAGTTTGTTTAGTGGTATATTTAATATTTCAGGTAAGTTAATAAGAGAGTTAAAGTATTATTAAATACCCTATAAAAAATTTTCTAGGAAAAACTCCAATTAAAGATCATTTTTCTTGTTTTTATTCCAAAAAATTTTTTATTAATGGGTATTATTAAGTACATGCAATGGTTAACCTGTATATTGTATATACACACATTTAGGACTAAGATACTTAATTCCAATACTTACTCGGGAAATAATTCCTTTTAATTGCGATTTTAAATATAATGCGTCAAAAAATATTAAAATTGCGTGCAAAAGAAGATTTATAAGTTATATATTAGATTTTTCATTATATGCATTTGCTTTATTAATCATTTTTTTAAATTATTTGTTTCCAAAATTATTTGAAGTAATTAAGAGAATTTCTGATAGTTTACAAAAAAATATGTTCGTCTTGTAATTAATTATTATGGAAGGTTTAGCATAATAATGCTATTCAAGGTTATAAATAAAATCTTGTTTTTCAATTTTATGTAAATATTAATCATATTTTTAATAAGCATCCAATAAAACCTAAATTTAAATATTTATTAGAAATATATCTTAAAAGATTAATTTAATACGATTTGTTATATCCAATTTCTGTTTCAAACCTTTCGTAATCGTATGTAAATTTGATACGTGAGAAATCTCAGTAATAAATTGAAATATTTACATCTTAAACTTGGATGTCGAAACCTACATATATCGAAATATATTCGGGATTTGATATATGCTGAAATATAGCCAAAATTCTTGGTCATATTTGTGTCACATCTTTCACATGACGTTACACGGGGCCTGACATCACAGTAGTGTTTTGATCCGGATAAAATCTTAAATATTTTAAATGAGATTATTGCCGAAAAAAGATTGTAAATCTCAGTTCTGAATAGACTATAATTTCGACCAGAATATTTAATATATTATGAATCAAAAAATTGGTAATTCTGATAGTTCTATCCTGAATTAACCGAAACGGATACCGGATAAAAACCGGATAAAACCGCTTCGGATCCAAACACTACATCACAGGACCAAATTGACCAATAGAATTTAAGCAATTATTAATATGCAGAATGGTTCCGAAAAGTTTCGGCGCTCTAGTTTAATTATTCTATATTATCAATAATAATAAAATATATTTATTTATGATCTTTTTATTTGTACACTTTAATACATAAATGACGAAACTTTGTTACACTAGGATCTTATTATTTTATCTTCTTTTTTTGTAAAATAATAAAAGATGACAATGAAGAACAGAATGGTATTGACACATGATACCAATTTTAATCTATTTACTAGCCTAAATACAATACCTTACTGCGGGAAATTTGTTTTAAAGAAAAAAAGAAAAGTACATAATATTTATTACCCTATAAAAAATTTTTCAGAAAAATGATCATTTATCGGAATTTTTTCCAGAATTTTTTTATAAGATTAAAATTTGTATCAAATCCAGTTATTAAGTAAACCATAAAATATTTATATTCTTTATTTGATTGTATGTATTGGTACAGGTATGTGGTAACTTTACGTAAAATTTATAATGACCATGGCGTGTTGATCTTACAATATATACAGGCTCTTTGTAAGTAATTTCATATAACATTTTACATAGTAGTACTTTAATTTAAATGTGTTTGTTCTATTTACAAATAATAAGGAAAAGCCAGGCACGTAAGTTAACCTAAGCAAGTTTCTCCTCTATGTTTTCCCTAGTCCTTCTGTCACTACAAAATAAAAAATATAAAAAATAAATAAAAATTTAAAATTTTATCAGGTTGCCATTTTATTACATTCTTGAATATGGGAAATCAATAGATGATAAATATTAGCTTTAATGTTTTAATATACTGTTTTTAGTTGCCTTGTATACCTTACCATATTAGAAAATGATGTTAAGGCGTTGTGCGTCACATAGACACATACAAAGAAATCTCATGTTATACAAATGACGACATGACACCAATTGTTTTATTTCCATAGTAATAATAAAAATAAAATCGTTCTTTATTTAAAAAAAATCGAAAATTCACAAGAAAAAATATTATATAAAGAAGAGCAAGATTTTGTATTATAATCAGACTTTAACCATGAAAGTTTCTATTATTATTATTAAAATTATTTTTGTTCTTTACTTCATTGCATGTATTGGCACAGGTATGAGATTTGTACCGTTTTTTCTTAATTATCAAATTTAGATTTATTTATATTTATGAAAAAAAAAATATATATATATAGAAATTTGGTATTTGGTATCTTTACATAAAATTGGAGGTATTATTATATATTCAGACATTCTGTAAGTAATTTCGTGTATTATTATTATTTACATTTTACGATTTTTTAATTTAAATGTATTATTTATATTTAATCATAGTTATTTTATTGGAAATATTTTCCTAATAATATTTGGTAAGTTATAAACTTGTTGAATATTGATACTTTCATTATTAGTTTCTATATAATTAAAATTCTATTTATCTTTTAGTACTATATACCAAATATGACAGTGATGGTGATGATACCCTCTATAATTTATTCATATATACTCTGTAAGTATAAATAAAATTGTTTGCATTCTTTGTCATATCAATTTAATTTATTAAAAAATTAATTATACATGACAGTATTAGTATTTTGGCTAGTTTTATATTCAATTTTTTTGGTAAGTTCAAATTATTTATTATTAGTATATATTATTAAATACATGCAATGACTAATCTACTGTATATATGTACATTTATTTAGGACTAAGATATTTTATTCCAAATTTTATTCGTGAAGAAGTTCCTTTTAATTGCAATTTTAGCTATAATGTATCAGAAAATATTAAAATTGCGTGCAGAAGAAGATTTATAAGTTACACTTTGGGTTTTTCGTTATACGCATTTTCTTTATTAATTCCTTTATATTTTTTGATTTCAAACGTAACTAAGAGAATTTCCAATAGTTTACAAAGAAATTTGTTCGTCTTATAATTAATTATTATAAAATTTTTGACATAATGTTAATTCTACGTCGGGATCATTAATCATATGTTAAATAAGCAGCAAATAAACCTAAGAATATCCACCTTAAAAGATTAGTCAATATAGAAAATTCGATTTTCGTAATCGTATCAAAATTTTGATGCTGATAGTAAATTTGAAATGTATTACATAATTAGTTGCTAGTATCGCATATTATACTAAACATTTACATATTAAAGTATGACATCTCTATCCCTTCTGCATGTTGTACTTGCGTATAAAATTAACATTTTGGTCCGTATATCATAAAATGACGAAAATTTTGTTACACCGAAATCTTATTATTTTATTTCCTTTTTTGGCAAAATGATAAGGTAAAGTCGCCGTTTATCATGTGAAATTAAAGTTTAGGCGTGAGACACCAATTTTACCAACCTGATTCTAAACTCGCTCCTCAAATATAGTATATACCATGTTAAGAATGGCATGATGTTTTCATACCTCAAAGTTTTTTTTTTTTTTAAAAGAAAAAAAATTACTTAGTATTTGTTGATTAAACCATGAAAGCTTATATTATTATTATTAAAATTTTTTATGTTCTTTATTTAATTGCATGTATTTGTGCAGGTATGAGACTTGTAAATTATCTTTCTTAATAATTTATTTTATATTAAATATATTTTATTTGTAAAATAAAGAAATTTGGTATTTGATAACTTTACGTAAAATTGGAGATTATAATGACCATGACATAAAGATATGTATGTTTCTTACGATATATACAAGCTCTTTGTAAGTATTTTCATATATTATTATTTTACACTTTACATAATACTTTAATTTAAATGTGTCAACTAAATTAATTTAATAATTGGCCATAGCTATTTTTTGTGGATTCTTTCATCACTAAGTTACAGTAAGTTGGACATATACTTTATTATTAGATTTAGATATTAATTAAAATTACATTAATTTTTTAGTATTAATTTATCCATATAATGTCAATGAAGAAAATATTTATGTCTTTTTTATCTCTATGTGAGTATAAATAAAATTGATTTTTTGTCATATCTATTTAATCTTATTAAAAATTAGTTATAAATAATAGAACTCCTGTTACATCTAATGTTATTATTAGTTTATTATGTAAGTATAATAATAATTTTTAAACTATTTCCCTTACTATACGTATATTAATAACTAATACATATACATATACACATTTGATAGTTGGGTTAAGATATAGAGTTCCAGATTTAAATCTTGGTAAAATACCTTTTAATTGTAATTATGATTATGATTTGCCAGAGAATATTAAAATTGTATGTAAAGCAAAATTTATAAGTTGTACTTTAGGTTTTTTTATATATACTTCTCCACTGGTTTCTTTATTAATCATTCTTTTAAATTATTTGGTTTCTGAAATAACTTACTTCATTAAGGAAAATTCTCATTATTTACAAAAAAATTTGTTTGTCTTGTAATAAATTAACATCATATACATGTATTAGTCTTTATTATATATAAAATAACCTCTTTATAATCACTATTACATCAGTCCCCGTATTACTATAATAAATATATGCGTTTTATGGTGTCGCTAGGGAAATCTGTATATCACGTGATTAAATTAGGTACGCATTTTATTCTTGCGGGAAAAATTATAAAAATTTGTGAAAAATTACCTTAAATATATATAATTACAATATTGAAAATATTGAAATTCCGTAATGTCAGTAATGTCAGGATAATCCCAAATCTCTAACCTAATTGAAAATGTTAACAAGAAAAAGGTCAAATACTCAACTCGTTGATGTTTTCTCTAGTTCCTCCGTTATTAGTCCTCAACTATAAACAAATATAAAAAATAATAAAATAACAAAAATAACGAAAATGAAAATAATAAATACATTTAAAATTTTACCAGAACGCCATTATATTATATTCTTGAATATGAGAAATCAACAATATTTTTTTGCAATAAACATTTTCAATGTTAAATATAATTTGTAATGTTGATATGTCTTAAAATGGGATCTCCCAAAAATCCTGACAACCATAATATCGACAGTCCATAACCCCGGCATCAAAAATCCCGATAAATACGAAATCCTGATTCGAATTTGAGATTAGTTAATTTTTATCTAATTTTAGAGATCAATAATCTAGTAATTTACTGTACATATTCCTTTCAATTAAAAAAAAAAAAAATTTTTTCATTAATTAATATAGTAGCATTAGTTAAACCATACAAATAATTTGCATTAATATTAACAAAAAATTACATTAATCAAATAGTTAATTAAGACTAGGACATCCCCTGCGTACATATCCGTCGATCTGCGGAATTAACAAAATTCGTCTAAATTAAGGAATTTGACAATAATTTAATAAAAATTAGGTAAATTAAGTTTTGCAAAAATGATCACACTTGTACTACATGATCATATGACAGATATCAAGAAATTACTTCAACAAAAAGTTGCGTTAAAAAAATTTTTTTCTTTCGTAAACTCCCTATTAAACTCCCCATCAACTCCCCCATCAACTTTTCAACCAGTTTTTACATCAAGTAAGTTGAGAATTTTTGCAAGTATATTAGTAATTATTTTACATTAGACACAACTTGGAACTGTTATTTTATTTTATTTTTTATAGTTTATAAAAAAAATTTATTTAGAAAGCAAAATTATTCAAAAAAATCTTTCAATAAAGATATAACTCTAAATATTAATAACAATGATTTAGCGAAATTAAATTATGTATTGATTAGTTGTTTAATTATAATCTATTTGATATTTATTATTAATTATTTTTCAGTTAATTTTTTTTCGTTAAATCATTAAATATTCTGTATTTTTGTAAAGTTTTTCTTTCTTTTTTTAATAAACTAACTTTATAATATTTTTTTCCCTTTTTTTCTAGAAACTCCTTCTACTGGTTTCGGGTTAAAGAGGTAAATATTTTGGGAGAGGTCTTAAAGGTTTTTTTTTATATATTTTTAAAATTTTTTCTTACGTAGGAACGGGTTTTGATCGATTTTAATCGGTACTGCGCCACATAATTGATGATCGGCAAATTCCGCAAATCGGCGGATATGACCATGCGTACTATCAAAAAATGTCACGAAATAGTGTGGCGCACAGTTCCCAGAATATTTAGTGAAAGACTGAAAGTGGAGGTGTGTAACGCCGGTGATGAAAATATCACGTGATTTTTCGTGAAAGGAGACCGGTTACTGCGCTACAGCATTTAAAATTATACGCTTAATGCTTAGTTGGAAATTTTTTTTTTTTTGATTTTTTTTTAAAAAAAAACTACTGGATTTTTGACTGTCAAGATTTTTAACTGTCAGGATTTATCGCTATTGGAATTTTGTTTCAACCGGGATTTGGATCTTGGTGTCGGAATTATTTTTTATCCCATGTTTACTGATTGGTCGCCAGTGATTTTTTTGATGATATATTCATGCCTGTAATTTTTCTGATGATATTTTCATGCTCACGTATTTTTATAGTTTATTTATACCTCTCNGCTCATTCACAATAAATAAAGGAATAATAGAAATCAAATTAAAGCCAGAAGATGGATAAACTTTGTCTATTTTAAATCCATCTAAATAAGCTTCAGTGATATTGGGAGTTATTACTATTTTATCCCATGTTTACTAATTGGTCGCCAGTGATTTTTTTGATGATATATTCATGCCTGTAATTTTTCTGATGATATTTTCATGCTCACGTATTTTTATAGTTTATTTATACCTCTCCCACTCTCTCCCATGCCATCACTGGACGTTAGTCTCCATGAGATAAAAGAGTTATTTCACGTGTCGCATAAATATCGTGATTTTCACGGCGCAGCCGTGAAAATCATTGATATTAATTGATATTGATGTCGAGTTTCTTTTTTTTTTTTTTTGCTTTAGCTAGAATAATTACGTCATTTTTTGTTTTTCAAAATGTCTATCCTTACAATAGTTGGATTAATTAAATAATTTAAGCTGTTGATTTTTCTCAAAATGAAACATTTTAAGAGCTACTATTCTTATTATTTCTTATTATCAATAATCGATATGTTAATAATTTTTTGTGCGACAAACTGCGACAAATGGCTTTCCATTTACACAGACGACGACATATCGTCACACAAGATCTTTTATTGTTTTATTTTCTCTTTTAGTAGAATAATGAAATTAAAATCCGTTCTTTATCTGTATTTTTTTAAAAAAGAAACTTCACAAGAAAAAATATTTTTATTACATGGTATGAGACTTGTAATGTATTTCCTAATTGTTATATTTAGATTTATTTATTTATATTTGTAAAAAAAACAGAAATTTGGTATTTGATATCTTTATAATATATATATATATATTGTATATATATTGTATATACACACATTTAGGAGGTAGATATCTTCCTTTTAATTGTGAATTTGAATATGATTTACAAGAGAATATTAAAACTACGTGTAAAAGAAGATTTATAAGTTATACTTTAGGTTTTTCTTTATACGAATTTCCTTTATTAATCATTATTAGAGAATTTCTAGAATTTCTGATAATTTACAAAAAAATTTGTTCGTCTTGTAATAAATCATTGTACTGTACATAACGCTATAAACTTGGATGAATTTGTCTTTTATTCAATTTTTATCGAGAAATATTTTAACGAATATATAATAAATTAATTCTTAATATTAAATTGTTGTAATGAAATATTTCATTTTAACATACTCTAATTATAATTACATTTTCATTGTTCACAATATACTGTATGGCGTGTATTCCAAAAAATTTAAACGCTACCAGCATATAGATGAAGTAATGACAGAAGCAATCCATTAAGTATTCATCATCATATTTCAGATGGCGTAACTGTAGAGCTAAGACCTCAATTTAACTCACCACTAACGTTAGAACACATTGGAAGAAGCTGCACCAAATTGCTAACCGGACTATTATTATTGTAAATATAGGAAATTAGAAAATAAATTCGTTACATTTTTATGTTTTCTCACTTTAATTTCGCAAACTAAAAAATGTTTGAATTCCAGAAAATACACGTCAACTCACTAACCGGTAATGTTAACCAAAGGTAAATTTTTTTTTTTAGTAAACAAGTAACTGATAAACATCTTTATTCAGCGAATATCATGCATGGCGTATCGACGTATCAACCTAAATTAATCAGATTGCAAAATATTACATCATAATTCCTGCAGAATTTTCCTGCATAGACGGGCATTAAATTAAAAAATATCTATTGTAATAATTTAATGTGGAAGCCAATTAACTAAAGGAATTTTATTTTCCACGTTGTGACATTTTAATTTTTAAACAATTTCGAATACAAAGAAAGAAATTATATTTTAAGAACGATAAAAAGCTATTTTTGGTTCAATAAAATAATTTCATGACCGAAAGCAAATTTGCATGAATGATACCAGGTATGGTACATTTCCTCTTGAAGTATATCTTCGTAGACTTAGCATACGGACATACGGATATGCAGAAAATACAGATATGTACAGATAAATAATCCCCCTAAACTTTATTAATTTGTACTTTTTTAAAATTTTGATTTTAAAAAAATTTTAAAAGTTCAGTTATTTCCTCTTGAAGTATATCTTCGTAGGCTGGACATGCGGACATACAGACATGCAGAAAATACAGATGTACAGATATGTACAGATAAATAATTCCCATAATAAAATTTTGATTTTAAAAAATTTTAAAAGTTCAGTATTTCCTCTTGAAGTATATCTCCGTAGGCTGGACATGCGGACATACAAACATGCAGAAAATACAGATGTACGGATATGTACAGATAAATAATCACCATAAACTTTATTAATTTGTACTTGATTTTAAAAGATTTTAAAAGTTCAGTTTTTCCTCTTGAAGTAAGTATCTCTTCATAGACTGGACATGCGGACATACAAACATGCAGAAAATACAGATGTACAGATATATGTACTACTTTTTAATATTTTGATTTAAAAGTTATTACATAATACCTTTGCTTTCGTGGTAATATTATAATTGATTATTTTTCAATGATTTTTTATAAAGGAAAAAAAAAAAGTTATTACATAATACAATTAGAAATCCCTTTGTTTAGTTACACACTACATTTCTAATTTTTTCATGGTAATGGGATACAAAGTAAATTTAGAAACATTTATAAAAAAAGCTGCTTTTTTTTCGTTATTTGCAAAAAAAAATTTTTTTTTTTTTTTTTTCTTAAAACTTTTTCATCTCTTTCATCTCTTTCATATTAAAAAAAAAATGGAAAAAAAATTTTGGCCAGATATAATATATGATTTAAAATTATTATTGGAAACTGGAGGTAATCAAGATGTATTGATACAAGCAGGAAAAAATTCGGATTATAAAGAATTATATGCACATTCACTTATACTCGGTTGTCGATCACAATATTTTCGTGACGCATTTTCTATTAATTCAATTGAAAAAATCGATGGAAAATATATTATAAAAAGACCTGATATTTCTCCAAGATCTTTTAGTAATATTTTATGGTATGTAATAATTTGAATAATATTGATATTAATATTTATTTTTTTTTCGATTTTAAATTTTAAATTTTAATTTTTTTTTTTTATTTTCTCGTTTCATTCTTCCTCTCATAAAATAGTTACTTTTACGGAGGAACTGTGATTCTTGATGAAGAAGATGGTGTTGAAGTTTTGAATTTATATATGGCATCAAATGAATTGGAATTACATAAATTAAAGGATCACGTGGGAGATTTTTTGAAAAAACATCAAAGATATTTCTTTCAAAAGCATCCTATAGATATGATCGATATAATATTTACTCATGATATATTTGCTGATTTACGAGAATTTTGTTTAAAAACATTATGTGCGGAACCTCATATATTATTAGGTACGGATAAATTCAAATCCCTTTCAGAAGATGTATTAATACAATTATTAAAAAGAGAAGATTTATTCATACGTGAAATATCTATATGGGATGATATACTTGTATGGGGATTTGCAAAAAATCCATCTTTAGATAATGATGTTAATAAATGGTCAAGGGATGATATAGATTTGATGAAAAATACAATGGAAAAATTTATACCTTTAATTCAATTTCATGATATTTCGGGTGAAGATTTTTTTAATAAAGTTTTACCTTATGAAGATTTGATACCAAAAGAAATTAAACAAGAAGCTCTCAGAGCTCATATGTTACCAGGAACAAGATCTTCTATGGCGTCCGTTCCAAATTTAACTGCTCAAGTTAACGGTCCAATTCGTCGTGCTACTTTACCAAAGATTGATTCCAAAATAATAACCACTCAACATGTATTATCATTTTCAAGTTGGATTGATGGATTTGAATATAAGAATGCTAAAATAATTCCTTATGATTTTAATTTATTATTACGTGGTAGTCGTGATGGTATGGATCCACAAACTTTTCATAGATTATGTGATAACAAAGGTCCAACTCTTATTGTTATTAAAATAAGAAATTCTAAACGAATTGTTGGAGGTTATAATCCTCTAGACTGGGATTCTAATGGTAGAAGTAAAACTTCTCCCGATGGTTTCATATTTTCTTTTGATGAACTTGAAACTCCTAACATTGGCCGTGTAAAACCCAATGAATGTTCTGTACGTTGCTATAAAGAATGGGGTGCTAGTTTTGGTAATTATGAAGGTGGTAATGATTTAGCTATGAAAAATAAGGCTGAATGGAAATCTAAGCCTGTTTCTTATCCAGATATCAAAATCCCCAAAAAATTCAGTTGTAGTGAATATGAAGTTTTTCAAATTAAAAAGAAGCGTAATTTTTAGACATTTTATATTATAACTGAACTTTATTTATTTATTTCTGTACAAGTAAAAAATAAAAAATAAAATTTTTGACTTTTTCTTTTTTTTATTATTTAAAATTGCGCATTAACTACGCCAACTACGCCTCAATTTAAATTTATGTCACGTGTGCACAGATAATATTGTAACGACATTGTATACTAAAGCTACATACCACGAGTCATTTTTACAAACTGTCTTATTTTCTCGGCCTCAAATTATAACGGTTTACAGGTACATTCTCAACATTCTTTTTCTTTTTATCACGAGATTTTTTCTTCTCTTCAACAGTTTGTTGTGCGTCGTCCAGAGTTAACTTTTCTGTCAATTCCGAAATATCGCAATCATTATCAACAGATTTTTCTACTTTCTCAACATTCTTTTTCTCTTTTTTACCACGAGATTTTTTCTTCGTCCCTTGGTTCTCTTCATCAACTTCTTGTACATCTTCCTTTCCTTTATCGCAATCATTATCAGCAGATTCTTCCATTTCATTCTTTACCTTCTCAACATTCCTTTTCTCTTTTTTACCACGAGATTTTTTCTTCGTTCCTTGGTTCTCTTCATCAACTTCTTGTACGTCATCCTTTTCTTTATCGCTATTATTATCAGCAGATTCTTCCATTTCATTCTTTACCTTCTCAACATTCTTTTTCTCTTTTCTACCACGAGATTTTTTCTTCGCTCCTTGGTTCTCTTCAATAACTTCTTGTGTATCATTCGGAATTGACTTTCCTTTATCGCTATCATTATCAGCAGGTTCTTCCATTTCATTCTTTACCTTCTCAACATTTTTCTTTTCCTTTTTACCACGAGATTTTTTCTTCGTTCCTTGGCTCTCTTCAACAACTTCTTGTGCATCACTCAGGTCTAACTTTCCTGTCCATTCCGAAATATCGCAATCATCATCATCAGGTTCTTGGTTCATGTCTTTATTTTTTCCAGGATGAGCAGGATGAAGCTTGACTTGTTGAACGGTTTTCTGGACCGTATCATCAACTTCTTTTATTATTTGAGCCTCATCAAAGATCTCATTTGGCTCTTCCTTGGCAAGAATATCTCTTGCTAGGAGCCATTGTGTTGGACGATAATGTAAATGTAACGCAGCCAACGGTATAGGATTTCCAGTCGCTGTTTCATTTTTATCAAAATCTTTGGCGTTGAAGAAGTAAACTGATACGGCACCATACCCAAATTTACTCTGGTCTGGCTTCTTCTCATTACTCAAGTCATCGTCATTATCATTCTTAATATCTTCCTTCGTATCATTTCTTTTACTCAAAAAGTTGTTTGCACTATCATTATTTTGAGTTTCACCTTTTTCAATACTTTCGTCATCATTTTCCATCCATTTAGAAAGATCAAACATTAAAGCAGTTTTCTTTCTTTTTTCACCAATGAATCCATCTTTCTTAATTTTAACAGCTTTATTAATTAATCTTAAAGAACGATCCAATTGACCATCAACATAAATTTTTGTTCGAAAAGATATGGCGGAAGATTGTTCTCCCATAGTAAATAATTCTTTTTTAGCTCCAAATAATATTTCATAATTTTTATCTAATTGATCTACCGCTGCATAATACGTTTGATCACTATATAGTTTACAGTAATTAAGATTAACGACTTTGGTAATGATATAATAAATAATCTCTCGAATAAACAAACAATATATAATACTTCACCTTTCAACCTTTTCACCAGTTTTTTGGTCGAGTACATACGAAACACCTGTCGTAGTCTAATAATATTCAAAAATATTATAAAAAATAAATAAAAAAAAAAATTATAAATTTAAATTTGAAAAATATTAATATTGAATAAATATGTACAGTTCTTTTATCAACAGACTCGTTATACTCTTTAAGTAACTTTCCGTCTACCAATAATTCTAATGAAAATCCTCCTAATAACATTTTTCCTTATTATTATTATTTTTATTTTTCGTTCGTGTTATAAAAAAAAAAAAATTATTTTTATAAAAAGTATTTTTGAAAAAAAATAAAAGAAGAAGTTTGAAAGTTTGGAAAAAATCACTTTAATTTCTCTTTTTATTCTGATAAAGAGCTTAAAATATAAGGGACGTGGAAATGACGTGATTTAATTGTGGATCGTCTACGAAATAGAGTGATGATGTTGCTCATTTTGGCAATAAAAGTCTCACTAAATGTACTGCGGTACATTATTTAAATCTGGTATAGCTGCGCTTAAAATCTTAGCTCGTCATGTGGTTACACACAATCAGCCCAACATTCAAAGTACCTATTCGATTGTACATTGTGTACATTGTACAGTATAAAGAAAATATTTGCTTATATAATTACACAACTTTTTATTTATCGTTTCAAAATAATCCAAATCCAGTAATGTAAATCATTTTTATTCGAATAAAAAATTTGTTGTTATGTTGTTATACAAATTATTCATTTTTAATCAAAATTCTCCGTTTACAAAAAAAAAAAAAGAAAAAAAAGAAAAAAAGAAAAGAAAAAAAAATGGTAGAACCAACATTGTGTTTAGAAATTTTAAAGAATTTTGAAAATTTATTTGAAACAAAAAAGGATTATGATGTTATCATACGAGCTGGTGAAGGACAAAACCAAAAAGAAATTTACGCTCATTCCACTATACTTTGTTGTCAATCGAATTTTTTTGATATGGAATTTAAGAATGGAAATTATAATTTTAGGATACCAAATATTTCTCCACATATCTTTGAAGTCGTACTCAGGTAAGCATATAAATAATAAAATATTTTTTAAAAAAATAATTATTTAATAAAGATAACAAAATTTAAATAAACACGTTTATTTATTTACTTATTTAATTATATATATATATATATTTTAGATATTTATATTGTGGACAAATGGATTTGAGCAGCAAGGACGGACCGGATATTTTAAAATTATTAGTTGCCGCGGATGAACTGGGTTTAAATACACTTTGTGAATATATTCAAGAATATTTAAATGAACATCAAGAATTGTTATTTTATGATCAAAAAGAAATCTTAAAAAAGGATCCGGTTGGTATTCTTGAAGTTATTTTTCAATATGAATCTCTTGCAAGATTAAAAGAACATTTTTTAAAAGTAATTTGTCAAGAACCAGACATTATATTTGGAATGAAGAATATTTCGAAAATACCACCACACATATTAGAATCATTACTTATACGTGAAGATCTTGCCTTAGATGAGATTGATGCGTGGGATAAATTGATTTTGTGGGCTCATGAACAACAACCAACCGTTAATGGTGATCCTTCCAAGTGGACAAGTGATGAGGCAGCACTAATGGAAAGGACAGTATCAAGGTTTATTCCATTAATTAGATTTCATGACATTAATTCAGAAGAATATTGCCAAAAAATATTACCTTATCAAGGTTTACTACCGGAAAGATTAAGTCAGGATATTTGGCAATTTCATTATGCTGCAGATATAAAACCAATGGGAACATTACAATCAAGATCCTTTTGTACAATTGATTCTATTCTTGTAAAGACAGATCATCTACCATTATTTTCAAGTTGGATCGGTGATGCAGACGTACTCTTAACAAAAATTCCATACAAATTTAATCTTATTTTACGTGGAAGTAGAGATGGATTTAATGCTAATTCATTTCATGAAAAATGTGATGGTAAAGGTCCAACAATTATAGTTGTTAAAATTAAAGGGAGTAATCGAATAATTGGAGGATATAACCCACTTGATTGGAATGGAAATGGGGATAAAACTACAACGGAGAGTTTTATATATTCTTTTGGGAATTATAATATTATTACTACAGGTAGAATAGGTAGAGTATTACAACCAGAATATGCTGTACGTTGTTATAGTAATTATGGACCACTTTTTGGATCTTATAACCTTGGTAGCAATGATATAATGATGACTGAACATGGTGAATGGAGTTCTGTAACAAATTCTTATCCTAATCTTAACATTCCAAGAAATTTTGAAATTGATGATTATGAAGTTTTTCAGGTAGCTTTAAAATTTTTTAATTAATAATTATTTATTAAAGTTTTTGTTTCATATTATGTATGTTTAAATTGTTGGATTTTTATATAAAATAAATAAATAAATTTTATTAAATTTATAAATTATTGAAATCAGTGATGGTTATTTAATTTACAGTTTAAAGACAGTTTAGTTTTTAAAAAAATATATAATAATATTAGTTGCTATATTTTCCTTTACCTCTAATAATATGCTATTTTTATTACAAATGCAATATTTAAAATCCAATATTACTCAGCAAAATAAAAATACATGTTTATTGTTTCCTATATATAAAGTATTGTAAATAATATAGATTTCTTACTTTTCACAATATGAGTTATGAGTTATTACAATGTACTCATATTTTAGTGCAGGTTTACAATCTGACTAAACTCGACCTGATTCCCTTAGGGGGTTGAATGTTTTTCTGTTCATAAATAATGTTTTAAAGTAGTTTGTTTTGTAATTATTGTCTTTATGAACTCATAAAATATAGATGGATTATGATGGTAAGTTTTACATACAATTAAAGGGAATTTAATATATTTCAATAAATATCGATATAATAATATATAATATACAGTATATATTATTTCCTGAAAGATTAATTGCTGAAATAACTTACAAGCCAGATACATCAATAATGAAAATCCAATAAAGGAAATCTTTATATGACTGGAAATGCTTTGGAGTGTCTGTCACAATGCTGGTTGAATTCAGCCTTTAGGTTTTAATTCTCTACTATTAATTTACCAGGTGGATTCATCTCCAAATGCCACACAGCAATTTATATTATCTTGGGCTTTTTTTTCATAAATAGAAAATTAAAGTATCTAATCTAATTATATTAATTTGCTTCGCTACTTTTGATTAAACTAATGTTATTTGTAGCTCAGCTATAATATTTTCATATAATTCCCTCTTCTAATGAAAGGGAGTAATTTTATACAATATATTAATATAGTACATAATTTATTTATATAATAGAAAAATCTTTTATTTTTGCCAAAAAAAAGAACGAAATAATTTTTCTTATTATTTATGGTAAAATAATTTGTGTATTTTCCTAATTAATTTAACTAGACAATTGATATTTTATTGATATGATATTTATATTATCATAACATTATTATTAAAAAATAGTATGTAATACCAGCTAATATTGCTTGATAAAATCATTACTAAAAAAGCCTCTCAATTTAATTTTATATTTCTTGAACACACTCCATCTTCACTAATTGAACTATTATTATTGATTTTATATTAAATACCAATAAAATGATTGATTATTTTACATAGAATCTTGGAGTTTGAACTAACTATTAGAATATCTCAAAATTAATTTATTTTTTCGTCTGCCTTTATTTAAAGTTTTTAAATTATAATATGATAACATCAATTGTGTAATTTTATAATAAATGGATAATATTTCTTCGTCCGTAGACATAGTAGATAGATGATTGCGGTTTTTCTAGTGAATAAGTTATGTCAAAGATTACAAACAAGCTAAATAACTTCATTTTTATAAATTAGTTTGTAGTAAATGCCAGATATTTTCATTTTTGTGTAATATTTACTTATTCCAGGATTAAAGTATCAATATTATATTTGTATAAGGGAGCTGTGTAGAAGTTATTATAGTTATTATGTAATGCTTGTAGATCTTGAATCACATATTTATATATTTATATATATGGAAACTTTGAATCTCGAGTCCTTTTAAATTTAAATTGATTAAAAAAATCATATTTTTTTTAACTATAGTCCCTATCGAGGTTTCTTCATTGAAAAATCATACTGTAGCAATCTTTTAACCTGATTAAAAATAAATAAAATAAATGTATTAAAGATTCTTCTTAAAAAGAGAATATAAATTACTATGCATATAAATTTTTGAGTAATAGAAATTATATTTCATGTATTTGTTCATATTTTCTAATAAATTATATTATTTTGTTATATACTATAGATTTTATATTTTATATAAAAATAATAAAATATCATAAACTAATTAAAATATCATAAGCTGTTTATATATTTTTTGAAAATATCATAAATTATATATCTGTTTTGGAAATATCCTCCACAAATATACTTTTAGTACTATATTAATTATTTTAATGGGTTAATTATTACATTTCTTAATGGAGAATTCAATAAAATGAAAATGATTTTAATTATTTAATTGGCAAAGAATTCATTCTTTAAATCAGGACAACTATAAAATTTAATAATTTGGTTTGTTGTTTATTGTAATATATTTAGAAACTGTTACAAGTAGGAATAATAATATAGTAATTGAAAAGTTGAAACTTGATATTTTTAAATTAATTATTATTTTATAAATAATATCATTTTAATTTTACGATTTTTTTATTTTACGATCTTTTTATTTGAAATTGTTTTCTTTTTTCCTTAAAAAAAAAAAAAAAAAAATTTGATGAACGTAATTTTATTTTTAAATAATAACTTTATCACATTTTTCCTTATATAATACTACAATTAGTTGCAAATAAATAAACAAAACTAAATCTACTAAAAATATGAAGATTTTAATTATCTACTTGATAAACTACTTGATAAACTTCATAGTCATCAACTTCAAATTTTCTTGGAATATTGATATTTGGATAAGCATTCGTAGCAGAAGTCCACTTCCCATATGCATTCATAGTTAAATCATTGCTACCATTATCGTAATTACCGAAGAGAGGTCCCCACGAAGGATCACAAACAATAGCATTTGACGTTTTAATCACTCTACCAATCTTACCTGCATTAACATCATCACAACTTTCAAATAAAAATATAAAACTATCTGGTGTACTTTTAAGAGAGAGTCCTTCCCAATCAAGTGGATTATACCCTCCAACTATTTTATGCGTTTCTTTAATTTTAGCGACCACGATTGTTGGTCCTTTATTATCACATTTTAAATGAAAAGTATCAGCATCAAACCCATCCCTGCTACCTCGTAAAATAAGATTAAAATTTTGGGACATTCTTTTTAAGACTTTGTCTTTTTTATCCATCCAACGTGCAAATAATGCCAGATATTTTGCATTAATAATATTGGAATCAAGTTCATTAGCATTGCACAAGATTCTTGATGGTAATGAACCTATTTGTCTTAAATCACCAACCAAATAAAATCGCAAAATTTCTAGTCTCAATCTTTCTGGCAATAAATACTGATAAGGTAACACCTTGTTATAAAATTCCTTTGAACTAATATCATGAAATCTAATTAACGGAATAAATCTAGATAATGTTTTTGCCATTAATGTTAATTCCTCGTTAGTCCATTTGTGAGGATCTTCTTTAACGGTAGGTTGTTGTGCATGAGTCCATGTAATCAAATTATTCCATACTTCAATTTCATCTAATGCAAGGTCATCTCGTAAAAGTAATGTTTCTAATATCTGTGCCGGTAAAGCTGAAATTTTATCGGTTCCAAATAAAATGTCTGATTCTTGACAGATTATTTCTAAAAAATAGTCTTTTAATTTTGTAAAAGTTTCATGTTGAAAAATAATTTCAAGTATTGCAATAGGGTCATTCTTTAAGAATTTGTATTGAAACTTTATAAAAAAGTCCTGAACATATTCACCAAGTGAATGTAAATCCAATTCATCTGTAGCAACCAATAAATTTAAAATATATGTCCCAGACATTGTGTTCAATTCTATACTTCCACAATATAAATATCTAAAAAAGAAAAAAAAAAATTAAGTAAATGGAATATTCGTATCAAATATATAATATATATATATATTTTTTTCTAATTATTTTTCGTCATATGTTACCTGAGAATAGCTTCAAGAATATATGGAGAAATATTTGGTTTCTTAAAAAAAAATTTTCCATTCCTTTTCTCAGCCCAACTAGAAGAAAAAGCTGTATCAAAATAATTTGACTGACAACGAAGTACAGTAGAATGAGCAAAAAGTTCTCTTTGGTTAAGTCCTTCACCAGCCTGAATAATAACATCATAATTCTTCTTTGATGATAATAAATTTTCAAAATTTTTCAAAATTCCTGAATATAATCTTGAATCCATTTTTTTTTGTTGTATTATTAAAAAAATATTGTAAGAATTCGAGAAAGAGAGTAATCGAATATTTTTCAGTTATTAATTTATAGTTAAATAAATGATCGACATACTATAATTGGAAATTTGTGTGTGTATTTCCATTACGTCGGCTGATTATGCGTAACCACATGACGTAAATTTTTGCAAATGGATCACGTGATAAATTCACATACGTATCCACATACTGTATATACAACGAGGTGTGAGAGGTGACTGATTTGTTGTATAAATTCTACAAACCATTATTTCCGCATTACTGATTAATTGGTTATTAGATGGAGAAGAAAATTTTAACATTGGCGTTAATAATTGAATGAATATACGATTCAAGTTATTTACCAAGTCATTACATATAGTCAAGCATTTCCGATTCAGATTAGTTCAGAATCAACAAAAATAGAAAAGTAAATAATTTATGTCCCTATAAAAAAAAAAATTCTGGAAAAACTCCGATAAATGATCATTATTCCGAAGAAACTCAGGCACGTGATCATTTTTCTGAAAAAATTTTTATAGGGTATATGAGGGAAGTAAAATCTTAATTAGTAATAAATGAACTTGTCACGGATTTTAATATTGTATTTGTCGGAATACTGTAAATTTTATGATAATCAAAAGATCATTAATTAACATATGATTTACGGCGAGTATCTTCTATATTTTTTCGACACGTACTGGTTGATTTACGCAGCGGATTCTTTTTATTAATAAATTCAAATATTAGAAAGTTGTAACGTTTATAGCTAGATCATTAGAAAATTTCTAGTGTCAACCATTCTCTTAGTAATAACCATTTCTTCTAATACATTGATTTTTTATAGCAGGTACCTACAAATTTAAGGTAACCTGCCCTGCAAAAAAAGTCGATCTGTTTTTTATATTCCATCTTTTCCGTAATAGGATCATGTTTCCGGAATTAATAACCTTATATCACGGAATTTATCGAATTATTTTCATTTTCCATAAATGGATCCGGGAAAGGCTCATTTTTACAGAAATAACTAATAAATGTTTTTATAGGGCTGCTGCAAGTACTGCCGAAAGTTATAGAAAGTACGCAGCGACGGTCTTTAACCAGGATGGCTTAACATAAAATTTTTACACCATCAAAAGTCCTTCGAAGTGTAACGGAGATAGCAATACTGAAGATCCGCATACAACAATTATCGTCAATATAAATAATGCAGAATTTGAAGAGATATAATTTCTTCATTGTTATTTAATAATGTTAAACATTTGTATGAAATAAAAAAAAAATGAACGGTTGATTTATTAAACATGTATATTTATTGTTATCAGCATTTTGACTTCTAGTTAATAATTCGGACGATCATGTGTCAATTGTGTCATGTGTAGCACGACTAACACGTGGATATAATTGATTTTCAGGTTAATAACTTAGTACTTCGTGAATCTCTAAAAATCCGTAAATTAAAGTAGATAATACAGCTTTTAGTTTAATCAAAGCGAAATTGTTAAAATTTTATGTGTAGTTTTACCGCTGAATCCATAGGTGCTTACGTAAAACATATAAACGAACATATAAAAAAAATATTTTTTCCGGCAAAAAAGTGAACACACATTTCAAGAAGAACATCTATGATTTTTAGCGAATTAGAGTTATTTTAGAAAAATTTTTATAGTACGATATTTTTGTATACGATGTCATTTTGTACTTAGCATAAACAGTAAAAAACCCGAATATTAAATATAAATACCGCACATGGTTGCTGAATTTACGAATCAAAAATATTTTACTTTTCAGTCATTATGAAGCGGTATCATTGGATCCAATGATTAAAGATGAAGTACAGTACAATGATTATAAAGAAACTATTGTTAACGGCATTCAAACATGAATAATTTAATACTAGTTTGAAGAAGTAATCTCATATTGTATAAAATTAATTCACAAAATACTAAGCCTCTTACTTTTTAATCACCTGAAAAACTTCATAATCATCAATTACAAAATTTCTCGGGATGTTAATATTAGGATATGAATTTGTTACAGAACTCCATTTACCATCTCTAGTTACCATTATATCATTACTACCACGGTTATAAGATCCAAAAAGTGGACCATAATCAATAAGACAACGTACAGCATGCGATTCACGAATTACTCTACCTATTCTACCAGTACAAATATTATTATAATCTTCGAATATAAATATGAAACTATCTGGCGTACTTTTATCGCCATTTCCATTCCAATCAAGTGGGTTATATCCTCCAACTACTTTATTTGATCCCTTAATTTTTGCAACAACAATAGTTGCTCCTTTATCATTACATTTAGCATGAAAACTTGCAGCTGTATCACCATCTCTATTAGCACGGAAAATAAGATTAAATTTATAAGTCTCTTTCACGGCTTCTTTTTTGTCTATCCAACCTGTAAATAATGCTATATATTCTTTATTTATAATAACAGAATCAATAGTACCTAAAAAAGACCTTGATGGTAATAATCCTATCTGTTTTATATCTGAAGTCAAGTAAAACTTCATAATTTCAAGTCTTAATTTTTTTGGAAACAAATCTTCATAAGGTATTACTTTCTCATAATATGCTTTGGAGGTTATATCGTGAAATCTGATTAATGGGATAAGCTTCAAGAGTGTTCTTTCCATTAAAGCTAATTCATTTTTGGTCCATTCAAAAGGATTCTTATCAACGGTAGGTTGTTGTGCATGAGCCCATTTAGTTAAGTTGTCCCATATTTCAATTTCGTCTAATACAAGATCTTCTCGTTTAAGCAATGATTCCAATATCTGTGCAGGTAGTGACAATATTTTATCAGTCCCAAATAAAATCTTTGGCTCATGACAAATAATTTCTAAAAGGCTATCCTTTAAATTTGTAAAGGTTTTATGTTGAAAAACAAGTTCAAGAACTCCAAGAGGGTCGGTATTTTGCAAATATTCAATTAAAAATTCTTGAATAAATTCATTAAGAATATTTAATCCAAGTTCTTCTGTAGCAACTAATAATTTTAAAATATCTGAACCTTTCTCGATGCTTAAGTCTAATTGTCCACAATATAAATATCTATATATTTATTTATTATTTATAATTTATTGTTAAGTAAAGAATTTATGAAAATAAATAGATAATTTTAACCAAAATTTTAATACCTTATAATAATTTCAAGAATATGTTGTGAAATATTTGGTTTCTTAAATATAAATTTTCCATCCCTTTTTTCAGCCCAATTATCAGAAAATGCTAATTTGACTGACAACAAAGTACGACTGAATGAGCATAAATTTCTTTATTTTCTTCACCAGCTTGTATTATAACATCATAATTCTTTTTTGAATTATATAAATTTTCAAAGTTGTATAAAATTGGTACCCCTATAAAAAAAGAAAATTCGGAATTTGTCTTGAAAAGTATGGAAAATGTCCAGAAATTTTCCGTGCGTCCGGAAAACATTCAGAAACGGTCACGTTTTGGAACACTTTCCGGACGCACAAATTCCAGACATTTTCTTGACACTCCAGAATTTGTCCAGAATTTGTCCAGAATCGAGCGTCCGGAAAATGTTCCAAAACATGACCGTTTCCGAATGTTTTCCGGACGCACGAAAAATTTCCGGACATTTTCCATACTTTTCAGGACAAATTCCGAATTTTCTTTTTTTATAGGGTACACATAGTTTCTGCAGCATTTTGTAAAGAAAGAAATTTAAAAAAAAAGATTCACGGCTAATGAATTTGTATGTGTACTAACGTCACGCACGTTACATGATGATAAACATTGACGCAAATTCACAAGATAATTACTTTATTTATTTTATTTATTTTATGGTTAGTTAGGAGGATTACATTGAAACTTTTCTAGACTAAAAAAAAATTTATAAAAAAACACAATATAGAAACTTCACCCAATAATAATCGAGCCCTAACTAGTAGAATTAAAATTATAACTGACTAGAAGCCCGACCGAATCAAGACAGTAAATAATTAAACTATAAACAAGAACAATTCTAGCACGTAGGTGAACTAAACCATAAAAGTAACAGAACGTTGAGGAAAAGAAAAAGTGGAAACCTCTGCAGAAAAACCATCATTTAACTGCTGAAACATCGAACCGCTATGTAAAAAATTAGAAGAGGCAAGAATAATAAAAATTAAATCCGCCCAATTATTTATAATAATTGCGAAAGGATACCGTTTGAGGACAAATATAACCTCGTAAAGATGGAGAATGATGGGGACATTTAAACATCTGGAAGAGGAACGTTTGTATCATTTGAAACTATTCTTGGTTATACCGTGTTGGGTTATATATATATATATTCCATTGTTTCCAAGCCCGAGATCGAACTTTCCAAATATTACTTTGATAGAGTGGTTAGATAATTCCATAAATTTAAGTAACGCCATGACTGTGGATTTGTGAGTATTGAAATGAAAGGTATAAATCCTCCGAAACGTATGAACGTAAAAGCAGGAGAGCATTATCAGTTATCGGTGTATTATCATTAATGGACCAGCAAAAAATATTTGAGTATTTAATCGTGTCAGTGATGTAAAGGTTAAGTTTGTCCGCTTCTTTGTTTAGAATTCCTTGTGCAATCGTCGCCAAATTTCTAAAGGTATCTTTAATATGAGGGAGGAGCTCACAACACTTCCAAATGTGTTCATTAATTTCCGCGGTGGGTGGCATGGCAAAGTAAGCAAGTCGTATTATCTTTAATGAGATCCGGAAAGTTCCTGTTTAATATGTCAAGGGTCGGTAAAGTGTTTGTAGAAACTTTGATTTTCCAACTAGTATCTTTGGAGTGAGTATCACAGGTGGTATTGTTACGTGAATTATGGTGAAAAAATTTGGAAGAAACAACCCAATTGAACAAATGATTTTTAGTGAAATTTCTGATGTCAGATAAGTCCTGATGGTTGAGATGGTTATCGAGTCGTTTGTAGTCGATAATTTTACCAATACATTTCCGGATATCTTTGTCAAGGGGTAAATTTTGGTCCCAAAGGAGCGTAACAGTTTGTGAGGGAACGTGAGTATCTATATATCTACCATCTTTAGCGAGTTGGTCCGCTTTATCATCATTGTTAGTATCATTGGAGTAACGCAAGATAATTAGTACGTACTACATCTTTACATTTGGCCAGCCTAAATGGATTCTGATATAATAATGAACAGAATTATATTTGAATATAATATCATCAACGAAATAATAAATAATGTTTAGGAAGTATATTTTACTAAAGTACCATGCATTATCATATTCAGATAATATAAAAGAAATGAATCTTACTAAATAACGATAAATGCAAATAAAGTTTTTAGTTTTATTATGAACATTATTTACTTTACACGTACTCAAATCTGTAACTTAGACAAATAAACTATGGAATAATAGGTTGATAATTTATTTATTAAAACCAGTTTATATTCCATAATAAAATTAATACAAATTGCGAAAAAAGGTAATTTAATTATTTTTAACCACCTGAAAAACTTCATAATCATCAATTTCAAAATTTCTTGGGATGTTAAGATTAGGATATGAATTTGTTACAGAACTCCATTTACCATCATTAGTTACCATTATATCATTGCTACCATTATTACTATTACCAAAAAGTGGTCCATNTTGTAAGAATTCGAGAAAGAGAGTAATCGAATATTTTTCAGTTATTAATTTATAGTTAAATAAATGATCGACATACTATAATTGGAAATTTGTGTGTGTATTTCCATTACGTCGGCTGATTATGCGTAACCACATGACGTAAATTTTTGCAAATGGATCACGTGATAAATTCACATACGTATCCACATACTGTATATACAACGAGGTGTGAGAGGTGACTGATTTGTTGTATAAATTCTACAAACCATTATTTCCGCATTACTGATTAATTGGTTATTAGATGGAGAAGAAAATTTTAACATTGGCGTTAATAATTGAATGAATATACGATTCAAGTTATTTACCAAGTCATTACATATAGTCAAGCATTTCCGATTCAGATTAGTTCAGAATCAACAAAAATAGAAAAGTAAATAATTTATGTCCCTATAAAAAAAAAAATTCTGGAAAAACTCCGATAAATGATCATTATTCCGAAGAAACTCAGGCACGTGATCATTTTTCTGAAAAAATTTTTATAGGGTATATGAGGGAAGTAAAATCTTAATTAGTAATAAATGAACTTGTCACGGATTTTAATATTGTATTTGTCGGAATACTGTAAATTTTATGATAATCAAAAGATCATTAATTAACATATGATTTACGGCGAGTATCTTCTATATTTTTTCGACACGTACTGGTTGATTTACGCAGCGGATTCTTTTTATTAATAAATTCAAATATTAGAAAGTTGTAACGTTTATAGCTAGATCATTAGAAAATTTCTAGTGTCAACCATTCTCTTAGTAATAACCATTTCTTCTAATACATTGATTTTTTATAGCAGGTACCTACAAATTTAAGGTAACCTGCCCTGCAAAAAAAGTCGATCTGTTTTTTATATTCCATCTTTTCCGTAATAGGATCATGTTTCCGGAATTAATAACCTTATATCACGGAATTTATCGAATTATTTTCATTTTCCATAAATGGATCCGGGAAAGGCTCATTTTTACAGAAATAACTAATAAATGTTTTTATAGGGCTGCTGCAAGTACTGCCGAAAGTTATAGAAAGTACGCAGCGACGGTCTTTAACCAGGATGGCTTAACATAAAATTTTTACACCATCAAAAGTCCTTCGAAGTGTAACGGAGATAGCAATACTGAAGATCCGCATACAACAATTATCGTCAATATAAATAATGCAGAATTTGAAGAGATATAATTTCTTCATTGTTATTTAATAATGTTAAACATTTGTATGAAATAAAAAAAAAATGAACGGTTGATTTATTAAACATGTATATTTATTGTTATCAGCATTTTGACTTCTAGTTAATAATTCGGACGATCATGTGTCAATTGTGTCATGTGTAGCACGACTAACACGTGGATATAATTGATTTTCAGGTTAATAACTTAGTACTTCGTGAATCTCTAAAAATCCGTAAATTAAAGTAGATAATACAGCTTTTAGTTTAATCAAAGCGAAATTGTTAAAATTTTATGTGTAGTTTTACCGCTGAATCCATAGGTGCTTACGTAAAACATATAAACGAACATATAAAAAAAATATTTTTTCCGGCAAAAAAGTGAACACACATTTCAAGAAGAACATCTATGATTTTTAGCGAATTAGAGTTATTTTAGAAAAATTTTTATAGTACGATATTTTTGTATACGATGTCATTTTGTACTTAGCATAAACAGTAAAAAACCCGAATATTAAATATAAATACCGCACATGGTTGCTGAATTTACGAATCAAAAATATTTTACTTTTCAGTCATTATGAAGCGGTATCATTGGATCCAATGATTAAAGATGAAGTACAGTACAATGATTATAAAGAAACTATTGTTAACGGCATTCAAACATGAATAATTTAATACTAGTTTGAAGAAGTAATCTCATATTGTATAAAATTAATTCACAAAATACTAAGCCTCTTACTTTTTAATCACCTGAAAAACTTCATAATCATCAATTACAAAATTTCTCGGAATGTTAATATTAGGATATGAATTTGTTACAGAACTCCATTTACCATCTCTAGTTACCATTATATCATTACTACCACGGTTATAAGATCCAAAAAGTGGACCATAATCAGTAAGACAACGTACAGCATGTGATTCACGAATTACTCTACCTATTCTACCAGTACAAATATTATTATAATCTTCGAATATAAATAAGAAACTATCTGGCGTACTTTTATCGCCATTTCCATTCCAATCAAGTGGGTTATATCCTCCAACTACTTTATTTGATCCCTTAATTTTTGCAACAACAATAGTTGCTCCTTTATCATTACATTTGGCATGGAAATCTGCAGCTGTATTACCATCTATACTAGCACGAAAGATAACATTAAATTTGTATGGAATTTTTTGTAAAATTTCGTCTTTTTTATATATCCAACTTGCAAATTGAGCTAGATGTTCATCATTTACAAGAACGGACGACCTGGATGGTGATTTCATTTGTTTTCCTGGGGCCAAATAAGACTTTAAGATTTCATTTCTTAATTTTTTTGGCAACAAATCTTCATAGGGCATTACTTCTTCATAATATTCTTCAGAGGGTATATCGTAAAACTTAACTAATGAAATAAATTTTAAGATTGTCCTTTCCATCAAAGTTAATTCATCCTTAGTCCACTTAGAAGGATCTTTATTAACAGTAGGTTGTTGTGCGTGAACCCATTTGATCAAGTTATTCCATACTTCAATTGCATCAAGTGCAAGATCATCTCGTCTAAGCAATGTTTCTAATATATGTTCAGGTAGTGCCAATATCTTATCAGTTCCAAATAAAATCATCGGTTCCTGACAAATTGTTTTCAAACAGTAGTCGTTCAATACAGCAAAGGTTTCGTGTTGAAAAACAAATTCAAGAAACTTGAGAGAATCATTTTGTAAGAAATCTTTTAAATTTTTAATTAAAAATTCTTTAATATATTCGCTAAGTGTGTTTATTCCAAATTCATCCGCTGCAGCTAATAATTTTAAAATATCTAATCCACTTCGGATGGTTAAATCTATTTGTCCACAATATAAATATCTAAAAAAAAAAATAATAATGATTTAAGATATAAATAAGAAAAATTTATAGTTATAGGAAGTAACGTTTATTATACCTGATAATAATTTTAAGAATACGATACGAAACGTTTGGTTTCTTAAATATAAATTTTCCATTTTCTTTTTCAGCCCAATTATCAGAAAATGCCGTATCAAAATAACTTGACTGACAACAAAGTACAAGTGAATGAGCATAGATCACTTTATTTTCTTCACTAGTTTGTATGATAACATCGTAATTCTTTTTTGAATTGTATAAAATTTCAAAATTATTTAAGATCGACAAATATAATTTCTGTTGCATTTTCTTTTTATTTCGCGATTTAAAATAAAATATCAAAAGAAAAAAAAAATTTCGTGTGAAATAAATAAATTTAAACGTTCTTTAAATATGTTTTCGAAAGAAATTTCTTTGTATATACCGGAATGCGGAATTTTTTTCCGGTACCACCGAATATTGCTATTTTTAGGTCTAACCCAAAAACTGTACTTCTAATTCGTTCGCTGATCAATACAAAGAATCGATTTAATATTTATTTGGTTAATACTTTATCCTTATTATTAAAAATGAAATAAGCAATAACGACGCTTGCAATTTCTTATTAAACCAATCACTACTTGGAATTTCAGCTATAAACATGATTTAATCTAAAAATATCGCTTTATTTGATACCGATAAGGTTATATCAAACACGACAGATCCATTAAAGATAAAATGAAGGAAGGTTACTATGGGGATACTTTAGTCAACCGTTTACGGTAGTATTATACATCATTATTGCTTTATTAAGAAAATAACATTACGACGTATAATTGTCTTATATATTAATTTTTTCGGAAGAATTCGCTTAATCAAATTGAATATCTGTAAAATAAGATTAAAGGTATCCACTTTTTCACTAATATCACAGGGTTTAGCTTCTTTTAATGCAGAACATTTTTTAATAAAAAAATTAACAAAACAATTGTAACATTATTTTTAATCAAGAAATCTTTGTTATTCATAGTATGATATGTAATGGTAAATAAAATTATTCAACGATTTCGTTAGTTTGTAAGTTCCGTATTTCGTGGATAATTTTTTTAAAGAATTTTTCAAAAATATTTCATCACTTCAACACAAAATGAATTAAGGAAGATAAGAAAACCTATGTCATTATTCTCTATTATCAACATTATACGCGAATATTTTTTAAAGTAAGAAATATTAAAAATTTCTCTTCCTTTTTGACGAAATTTTAATAAATTTGGCGTTAATAACGTAATAACGTTAACGGTATTGTGATACTGTTCACATTTATAGTTGTCTTATTCAACATTCAACTTCCCTAAATATTGAAGTATATATATAACTGATAATGTTAATGACATGATACTAATTGACCGTCTATATTAATTTCGCAATTCAAGTACTCTGATAAATTTTTTAATATCATATATAATATATATATGTGTGTGCTATTTTAGCTGTAGTCTGCTGCTAATAACAGGAAAGGTGTGTTTACACTGAAGGTGAACGTTGCAACAGGATTAAATGAGTCTGAATTAATATATTAAAAAAAAATCATACAAAGCCATATTTATTCAATTTTATTTTTGATTATATCACTGATCAAAACCTAAGAGGTGAAAGAATGAAAAACGAAAAAAAGAAAAAAAATAGAAAAATCATTAAAAATAAAAAATCATGCTTATCGTAGGACCGCGGGCAGCGTCAATCTGGTTCCGATCACCGATCTAGATCTAAGCCTAAAAGTCGAAATAAATAATAATGATAACATACCTTTACATATATAAGTTAATAATAATAATAATAATAAATATAAATTTCATAAAAAAAATATTAGTATAGATTATTATAACTGAAGAGAAAAAAAGCAGAATGAAAAATATTAAAATTTCAGTTTTAAAAAAAACTTGAAAAGAAAAATTATTAAAATATAACTACTAAGAAACAGCCATTAAATAATATTAAAAATGATCCAGTCTAACAAAAAGAGACTGTAAAAATATTATTAAAAAAAAATCCGTTCTAAAAAAAGACTGAAAAAAAAAATATTATTAAAAACAAAAAGATTCAGTCTAAAAAAAGAGATCAAAAAAAAAAAGATTTTAATTGATCTGCTGCGGCCGATCGCATGACCGAAAATGAAAGCATGATTAGTAAGACAAATTTAAGCTTTTTTTCGTTAATAGCTAAAAAAAATATCCGATTGAAAATTTCATTAACCAAAACTATATTAGCGATGAAAATCTCTCAGATTAACGTAAGTCACTTAACAGCCAATCAAATTATTCATTACGGAATAGATCAAGGATCACAAGTCGCACAATTCAAAAGGTATCCGATCAAAATCTCGACAGTCACTTGAATGACTAACACAAGATCGACAACAAAACCATTCAAAATTATTTATACAATTACACCCGAATTCTTTAGTTATATAAATAATGATGATTTATGACATCACCCTGACTAATAAATCCAAGTCTGAAACAAATGTATCGTTTAAAATATAAATTTGAGGAAAAGAATGGATAAAACCCTTAAAATTCTCTCAGAACCACTATATAAGAAACTCAAAAAAGTTTGGGAGGGAGATATCTTAAAGTTAATATCAACTTTGGAAGATATAAGTAGTTTGTAAGACTGAAAAAAAAAGAGATGTCCAAGCAAAATCAATACTTAGAAACATATTTGAAATTTCTATACGATGTGAAATCACCATAGTTTGAACGACATTTATGAAGTTTGAAATGTTTTGTATCTTCAAAGAAAATATATTCAACTCAAACGACTACATAATAACCGAGTTTATTCAGTTTACTAGAACATTGTGATCATGAATTGGCCAAAAAATTTATGTAAGTAGTTTTTAGTTGGATGAATTTAATTCTGATTAATGGAAATTATATTGTTGTATATTTTTGACAGAAACTTACTACGAACCTGGACAGTATCACAATTCGGGCCAGGTTAGGGTAAATTACAAATTTAGTAATATGATGACCGAAAAATCTTTTTTCTAGAGTAACAAGTGGAAAAAAAATATTAAACTCACAATACACAAGGAACCTTTATATATATTAGTATTTGGATATTAGATAATAGAACTTTCCTTGATGTAGGACATGAACTATCCGGAGAGCTATATTCATCAAAGTCATCGGGTCTTTAGTTAGAAGAATGTAAAAGAATTATATTTAGAAAGCGGTAACCAAGAATCGCATTGAAAAGATATGATTAAACAATCCAAGTATAAGAATTTTAATATTTATATCAATAATTTCGCCATTACTTTTTGGATAATTGTTGCTGATTTTAAAGATTTATTTCAATAAATGAACGCTGATAAACCGAGAATAAGACAGTAGTTCTAACTTTAATTTTACAATTATGGTGCAAATTTTCCCATAGTGCTTTATTGGCTAATTGACTGCGGGTCATATAATCAAGCATCAATTACTTTGTTGTCTAAATGTTATATTAGAAATGACTTATTAGTTTTCTACATTTTCGTGCAACATTCTTTAACCGAATAGTCAAGAAAAACGTAAATTTTATTTTAAATTAAATAGTACATTTGATATCTAAAATCATTCTTTAATGTTTGACTTTTTTTTAAAAAAAAAGGTAACAACATTAATTTAACTATAATATTGGAAATAGCCCAATTGTTGAACGAAACAATTGTATATATTCAAGGTTTTTGATTTTAAAGTGAACTTCACACAAAAAATCAAACTGGGACTGAGTCAGGTTTGTATAAAGAATCCGATTAAAGGGTTTTTTTTTTTTGAAAAGTTCGTTAAAATGCGACAAATATTATGAAATCCCAAAACGAGTTACAAGGCCACAGCACGTTAAAATACTAAGCAAACTACATAGTATGCTTTATTTTATGCAGATCATAACGTTTATTTATTTATTTTTTTTTTATTTGTAACGCATTTCTTTATCAAATTTTAGGATAACCTATTTAATTACAAGAAATACCTAGATGCATTCGTACAAATACGATATGACCCTATAACAAATCGATCTAAACTAATAGGCTATCTAGGACCCTCGCATTCTATTCAAATAAAAACTATCTAAACTATCTATAAGCAAGATCACAAGCATTCTCCGTTATACGGAAATGTGTTCTAATCTAAATAAAAGTTCTTCGATTATTCAGGAATAGCCCACCTCTCTTCCAACGTCAAATACCTGCAACTTAACTTTTAGTATGTCCTCCTAAAACACTAAACTAAACGTAACTCCAGTTTGAACACGAAGCATAATGCAAGTCGTCCGATGTAGCGGCGCGGTTGGTTCAGCGGTGCCCTAGTCCAATTTCTCATGAGATTTATAAGGAAACCTTTTATTTGTTTCTCAAAACTTTTGTTCGTGCTTGAGAACAAGGCTCGTCCAATCCAATCTGAGTGCGGAAAAATAACCTTCATGATCACATGATTTGCGTAATTTGCTGGGCCGAAAACGCCAGAATCATATTAGAACCAGTTACTATACTGGTATGTCCAATTTATTTACACAACCTTTATAACCTTTAGCCCGATTGCATAACTTCAACAATTCAACAAGTATTATTATTAAAAAACGAAAGATTTATTACTTATATTAAGCAATGGTTTCAAATTTTTATCTAGTGGATTATGAAAAACTTTTTGAAACAGAATTAGGTTATGATGTCATCATTTACTCTGGAGAAGAATCGAATGTAAAAGAAATTCATGCTCACTCAAATATTTTATGTATTAGGTCTAATTATTTTCGTTCTGCATTCTCTAATGAATGGGCAGAAAAAGAAGATGGTAAATTCATTTTAAGAAAATCAAATGTTTCACGTCATTTGTTTCAGATAATTATTATATAGTGTAATGGTTTAAAGTCTCAATTTTTTAAAAGTATATTCATAACAATTATTCAAATATTTAGATTTATTTATTGTGGAAATATTGAATTGAAAAACTTACAAGGTCCTGATGTATTAAAATTTTGATAGCAGTTGATGAACTTAATATTCAACAATTGGTTTCTTATATTCAAGAATATTTGATTGAACATTAAACTGAATTTTTGTATCGAAATTTAACTGGACTAGTATTCTTGAAACTATTTATCAACATGAAACATTTACGGATTTATGGAATTTTTGTCTTGAAAAAATTGCTCCATTATTAGAAATGTTGATAAAACGGGATGATTTAAATATGGAAGAAATTGAGATTTGGGAAGTTTTATTAAATGGTGTTTTGCTCAACAAAATATGATAAATGATCCAACTAAATGGAGTAAAGAAGATATTACAAAAATTGAAAGGTCACTACACAGGAGGTTTGTTCCTTTGATTAGATTCTATGATATTAACCCTGTAGATTTCTTTTATAAATTTATTGTTATAAAGAAATATTGCCTTCATAATCTTTTTAGAATTTCATATAGTTTCTAATATGAAACCTAAAACTAATGTAGCACCTTCAAGAAAGCTAAACTTAAAATTTAAACTTGATTCAACCTTAATTGAATCAAATCATATCCCACTGTTTACTTCATGGATTGATAGAAAAGATTCTTATAAATAAATGATATCCCTTATGAATTTAAGTTATTATATCGTTCAAGTAGGGATGTCAATTCTCAACGAGATTTTCTTTAAATTTATGCTCATAGGGCTTGTTAATTTGAATTAAAAAATTACAGGTCCCGATGTGCAAAGATGTATGATTGGGTATCAGGACATTTTACCGAAAGCCGTTTCGCCGAAACCCATTTCGCTGAAGCCATTTCGTTATATTTGTGAATGATGGAGCTTAAGCAACTAATTCCCGCCCATATGCTCATTAACAAGTGATTCTATATCAGACTGCTTGTAATAATTAGAATTCAATTATTGATTATTTTTCCATTTATTTCTTAAAAAATAAACTGGGAATAATATCATGATAATGAGAATTATTAATTTGATAAATTTAGAAATATGCAGTTTTGTTTAAATAAATAATAAGAGTAATGAAAAGAATTTATTATTAATTTGTTATTTGATAGTATATTGCTGGATTATTTAAAAAGAAAAGCAAGGAATGTTAAATGAAAAAAAATAAAAAATGTTAAAAGATCTGATATTATTAAATGTAATATTGATTTATTATTTAGTATAAAAATATATTAATTATGGAGTCCATAAAGTTTAATACTTTAATTATAATATTATTCTTGTTCAAATTCCTATATTTTCCTAATCTAATTAAAGATACCATAGTAAAAAATTTAATAAAATCATTAAATAAACAATCACGCATTGTGCAATCTAATTATGGAAAGAAATTACTTATATTATAAATTTTATATATTTTCATAAATAGGTGACTTGGCCGAGCGGTCTAAGGCGCCGCAGTCAAGTTGCGGTCTCGAAAAGAGGCGTGAGTTCGAATCTCACAGTCATCAATCACGATTTGTTTCTTTTTTTTTTCTTTTTGTAATAGAATAATATATATAATGGACGAGAAGACACACACACGGGAAAGAACAAGGAATAGGGAATGAGAAAGAGCGAGATAGAAGGAAAAAGGAAGAAAGTATTAACGTTTAATAGTAAAAGACAAAAACATGTATTTTGAAATTTTGAATGAACGATTTTATAAAATAATAAGTATGCAAGTAGCTAAGACAATGAGTCATAATTTGTAGTTGACGTTATTTATTCGTTAATAAAATAAGATCAAGTTTTGTAATTACTGCGTAAAATTAATTGGATACCAATGAAAGAACTTTATCAACTCATATGACATAAGTAAATTCTTGAACAATTTTTTACAGTGCTAATATTTTAGTATCTAATTCTACTTGCAAATATTATTTTAGGACGCTCCCATTATTGCGGTAAATAGACATATTGTTCGTGCACATGCACAGACAGCACAGTATCGTGATAAACCAGCAACATCACTACTGAGTAAAAATAATTTAATACATATTGAAATTTATGGATTACAGTAACAAAATACTGATCATATGGTCAGAGAATAATCATTGAAAGATATATGGATTTAGAAAGTTTAATAAAATGATGTTATTTTACTAAGTATGAAACATGATCTGAAAGTCAATTTCACAAAATTCTTATTAAAAGATATAATTCACAGATCCTTAGAACTAAATTTATTAAATTCCTGTCTCATGGATTAGTCAAAAAATTTTTAAATTATAATAATTAGAAAATTAGAACCCATGTTAACTTATCATTTCATAGATACTATTATATAAAATATTTTATCCAAATATTTCTATTGTATTTATGCATTAACAAAATAACAAAATTTAAAATTTAACGTTAGTCAAACCATATAAAAAATATTATCCGTTATAACTGTAAAAATTCCGTAAAAATGAGTCCATTCACAGAAAATGTAAATAATTCGATTAATTCCGCGGTAAAGGTTATTAATTCCGGAAATATGAGTCTTTTACGGAAAAAAGATGGAATATAAAAAACGGATTGACTTTTTTACAGGGATGACACACCTTCAAAGGTTTTAATGTAGTAAAAATTTTCCTATTATTAAAGTTGAACAGTAATAAATCAAATTGTATTAAGAATCTTTAGTGAATTTTTCCTTACTATTAACAATAGTACTTTTCTCATCAAAAAATTGAAAATTTCAGCAAAGAATAAACCTAAATGTAAATTAAGTAAGTTGACCATAATTTCTTGCTATTTATTATGTTTCAATAACAATGAAAGACCATAATATTGTGCATAGTCAATACAGCTTTTAATTTTAATAGAATACTGACCAAATATAAAGCATCAATATAATTATAAAGAAATCTACTTTCAAATATTTTATGTATTTAGGTCTTACTATTTTATTCAAGATTCTTTATTATCATAAAATGACCTAATTCATTTTATGTCATTCTTAGACCCTATAAAAATATTTTGGAAAAACTCCGGTTTTCTCCGAAGAAACTCAGACACGTGATCATTTTCTAAAACATTTTTATAGAGAGACAATGTCGGTTAACCAATATCTTAAATCTCAAGAATCCAAATTTAGAAATATAACTTGGGTTTTATAGAAAAAATAATCTATTTGTTTTTTGACTATTTCTATTTGTACACTAGTGTGCGAAACACGGATCACGTGTTTATCATACTTCCGGTGATCTACATAAAAATATCCTTTTATGGAATTTTGTGTAACGAATTTTCATTTTTACTGAGAATCAAAATTGCCTTTTTTGGTTGTGTAACGTTACTCCAGTATCCAAAAATGGAAATTCAGGTAAATTTTGGCTGGAATTATAAATTTGGCCGAAATTATAGGGCGCGACATATAATATGAGGTTTTTCTTACTGAAAAAATTCTAAGTCCCTAGAATAAATAGTAAAAATGGAAAACTAGAAGGGTGTGACATGGGTGACAAATTAAAGTCACGTGACCCGTGTTTCGCACACTAGTGTATTTTAAGAAATTTTCTTATTAAAATTACTAAATATTAATAAAAATTTATCAATTTTTAATAAAACATTAACAGTTAATCTTCGAAATATTTTAAAAATCTTTAGATATTTTTAATTAGTTCTTAACTTTTGCGACTTATTAATAAAAAAAAATAATTTTTTTAAAAAAAAGATAGTAGTGTTGGTATAATGAGTGTCAGGATTTTTAAATTTTCGGTTTTGGGATTCTGATTTTACGGAAAATCATTGTTATGTTACACGAAAAAAAATTTTATCCGTTCCAAAACAATGATTATAATGATCCGTTATTAAAACATTGAATTTTCGTTTTAATGAAATAATTCGGTATCAATGCCGTTTATTTAATTCGTGATCCGTATAACAAGTAGTGAAAGTCACTATTCAAATTCGGGGAAAATAAAAAAAATCGTTTTTTGCGATTTTCTCGTGATTCAGTAATTCAATTTCGATGAACATTTTTTTTTCGTGTAGCTCTTCACACCCTCTGCAAAATAAAAAAAAGTTCGTCGAAATTGGACCAATAGATCGTAAGATAATACAAAACTGATTTTTTTCGGAACGTGGCTAGATTCCTCACGATATTCTCCGAAAAAATCGGTTTGCAATTATCTCACGATCTGTTGGTCCAATTTTAATGATCTTTTTTTTATTTTGCAGAGGGCGTGGAAAGCTACACGATAAAAAATTGTTCATCGAAATTGGATTATTGGGTCACGAGATAATCGCAAAAATACATTTTTTTTTTATTTTCCCCGAATTTGAATAGTGATTTTCACTACTTGTTATACGAATTAACTTTAAATTTATCATAAAAGGCTTTTCGGAGTGAGAAATTTTTTTTTTTTATTTAAACTACTAGNGTGTATCAGGTCTCAATATTTTCGTTCCGCATTTTCTAATGAATGGGCTGAGAAAAGAGACGGAAAATTTATTTTAAGAAAACCAAATATTTCGCCTTACTTATTTAATATCATTCTCAGGTAATTACCATATTATTTTTCCTTAACATTTATTACTTAATATTATATTAATTAATAATAATTAATTATCTTTAACGTTAGATTTATTTATTGTGGAAATATTGAATTAAAGAATTTACAAGGTCCAGAAGTATTGAAACTTTTAATAGCAGTTGATGAACTTAATATTCAACAATTGATTACTTATATTCAAGAATATTTGATTGAACATCAAACCGAATTTTTGTATCAAAATCCAACTGGTATTCTTGAAACTGTTTATCAACATGAAACATTTACGGATTTATGGGAATTTTGTCTTGAAAAAATTTGCGAAGAACCTAAAATTTTATTCTATTCAGATAAATTTACTAATTTAAAGGCTTCATTATTGGAATTATTGATTAAACGGGATGATTTAAATATGGAAGAAATTGAGATTTGGGAAGGTTTATTAAAATGGTGTTTTTTTCAACAAAACGTGATAAATGATCCAACGAAATGGAGTAAAGACGATATTGCAAATATTGAGAAGCCATTACATAGGTTTATTCATCTAATCAGATTTTATGATATTAAGCCTGCAGATTTCTTTTATAAAGTTTATTGTTATAAAGAAATTTTACCTCAAGATTTAATTCATAATCTTTTAGAATTTCATATAGTTCCTAATACGAAAATTAAAACTAATGTAGCATCCTCAAGAAAGCCAAACTTAAAATTTAAACTTGATTCAACCTTAATTGAATCAAAACACATTCCTCTATTTTCTTCATGGATTGATAAAAAAGGTTCATCACATTATAATACTAATAAAATTCCTTATGAATTTAAATTATTATATCGTTCAGATAGAGATGGATTTAATGCTACATCATTTCATAGAAATTGTGACAGTAAAGGAGCTACTATTTGGATAGCAAAAATTAAAGGTACAACACAATTAATTGGAGGCTATAATCCTCTTGACTGGGGTGGAGATTGTGGTTGGAAAGGCACTACAAATAGTTTTTTATTTCATATTATGGATGAAAAAAATGTTTCTAGCGCAAAAGTAAGTTATGTTAACAATAACAATGCAAGATATGCTATTTATTGCAATAGTGATCGAGGACCGCATATGGGTAATTTTTATTGTGATGGTATCAATCATTGGATTGTTTATGAAAATTCTGATGTTAATTTGACTTATCCTAATATAAGCATTCCAGCAAGTTTCACGGTGGAGAATTATGAAGTATTTCAAGTAATTAAGAAATAGTTAATGCATAAAATAATGCAAACATGCATATTAGGAAATGTTTATTTAGTATAAATCAATTCCCAGGTTATTAAATGCTAAATATATTGTTATTACCCTAGATAAAAGACCTAAGAATTTTGTTAACATGATACTAAGATTGCAAGAATATCTGATGTTGCAATAAAATACGGATTTTTATTCAAATGAACTTGTATTTATTTTAATTTCTCATCAAATGACAGAATTTTAAATCTTTATAATCAACTGACTAATAAACAGTAAGTAAATTTTGAAAAAAAATTGTAAAAACGCAGAGTTTATTATAAATTTACAATTTAAAAAGTAGACCTTTGTTGACACCAATTAATAGAAAAGATTTAAATATGAAATGATATGGAATATTCATTTCATAATAATCAATAAAATAGGTTTCAAAATTGAAAGATGATTACTAGCACATGAGTTTATTTAATTTTAAACATTTAAATATGCACGTCTCTTTTATAAGGAAATATAATTCAGCGTAATTAAATAAATCCATATTGCTTTCCTACTTCATGGATTGGAAGAGAATCTTTAATATAATAAATTATCTTATAATTTTGGATTATATACTATTTCATGCAAAGGGGGATGCTTGCTTTCATACTATTTAGTTAAATTATTCATAAATTTTTATAGTTTCATATGATGTTTCACTATACATTTAGCACCGGTTTATTGTATACCCGACCCGATATCCAAATGTCTATAAATGCCGTAACTTAGTTAGTAAATTTATTAATTGTGGGCGTAGTATTATATTTAGAATTAGCGTATAAATTTTAGTAGTTTAAAATTGTATGAGAAATGACGTAAAACTAGAGATCAAGTGATTTGTGTGAATAAGTTATATTTAGAATTGAAAAAGGGAACTAAGATCGAGAACTTGATATAATAAGAAAGGGTTTTGAAGATCAAAAAGAGAAAATTTTACGAAGTTTCTGATTTTGAGGTTTTGAAAATAATATTTTGATTTGAAATATGGTTTTGAGAAAAAGGTTTGTTAGGACTAAAAATTGTAATTGTGAAAATTGAAATTGTTATAGAAATTGTTTCTTTTAGAACATTTATCATATCCAGTAAATAGTTTTTGTATAAATTTATCCCAAACGGGCTCATTGGCTCAAAATTAGCTCAAATTTATGCAAAAAATAATCCAAATTTAAGCCAATCTAGAGCCAATTATATATGGATGAGCCCATTTGGTACAAATTTATACAAAAACTATTTACTGGGATACTAAGATCTTTTAATATAAAAGGGGTAATATTCAACTTAGTGAAAAAGGATACAAATTTTAGAAGTTTTAATTTGACCAAGCATATTATTGTATTTATTTATATTATTTTATTAATAAAGAAATATTTTGTTAAGACTAAGGTAGCAACGTGATTATCACGGGCTTAGGTCTTACACTATCAATGGATTGGCAATATGCATGACTTTTCTTAATAAAATTGTATTACATTGCAAACAATTTTTTTTTTCTCCCAAACATTTTATAACAATGTCTTCAAAATTTTTGGCAGAATTATCAAGTGATTATGAAAAGCTTTTTGAAACTGAATTAGGATACGATGTTATTATTTATGCAGGAGATGAACCAAATATTAAAGAGATTCATGCTCATTCAAACATTTTATGTATCAGGTCTCAATATTTTCGTTCCGCATTTTCTAATGAATGGGCTGAGAAAAGAGACGGAAAATTTATTTTAAGAAAACCAAATATTTCGCCTCACTTATTTAATATCATTCTCAGGTAATTTATCATGCAATAAAAAAAATTTTTTTTTTGACATTTAATTAATATTTAATAATTGTCCTTAACGTTAGATTTATTTATTGTGGAAATATTGAATTAAAGAATTTACAAGGTCCGGAAGTATTGAAACTTTTAATAGCAGTGGATGAACTTAATATTCAACAATTGATTACTTATATTCAAGAATATTTGATTAAACATCAAACTGAATTTTTGCATCAAAATCCAACTGGTATTCTTGAACCTGTTTATCGACACGAAACATTTACGGATTTATGTGATTTTTATCTTGAAAAAATTTGTGAAGAACCCAAAATTTTATTTGATTCAGATAAATTTATTGATTTAAAGGCTCCATTATTAGAAATGTTGATTAAACGGGATGATTTAAATATGGAAGAAATTGAGATTTGGGAAGGTTTATTAAAATGGTGTTTTTCTCAACAAAACGTGATAAATGACCCAACGAAATGGAGTAGAGATGATATTACAAATATTGAGAAGTCATTACATAGGTCTATTCCTCTAATTAGATTTTATGATATTAACCCTTAAGATTTCTTTTATAAAGTTTATTGTTATAAAGAAATCTTGCCTCAAGATTTAATTCATAATCTTTTAGAATTTCATATAGTTCCTGATATGAAACCTAAAACTAATGTAATGTCTTCAAGAAGACCAAAACTTGATTCAACCTTGATTGAATCAAGACACATTTCCCTATTTTCTTCATGGATTGATAAAAAAGGTTCATCACATTATAATAATAAAATTCCTTATGAATTTAAATTATTATATCGTTCAGATAGAGATGGATTTAATGCCGCATCATTCCATAGAAATTGTGACAATAAAGGAGCTACTATTTGGGTAGCAAAAATTAAAGGTACAGCACAATTAATTGGAGGCTATAATCCGCTTGACTGGGGTGGAGATTGTTGGAAAAGCATTATAGATAGTTTTTTATTTCATATTACAGATGAAAAAAATATTTCTACTGCAAAATTAGGTTATGTTAATAATAGCAATGCAACTTATGCTATTCGTTGCCGTAGTGATAAAGGACCACATATGGGTAATTTTTATTGTGACGGCACTAATAGTTGAATTGTTTTATAACCATGAAAATGTTAATTTTGCTTATCCTAAAATAGGCATTCCAGAAAGGTTCATGGTAGAGAATTATGAAGTATTTCAAGTAATTAAAAAATAATAATTTATGCATTAATAATGTAAAGAGGTATATGAATCATTATCCAGTTCATTAATCGTTGAATATAAGTTTATTGTTTTATTATCCTAGACAAAAGATCTAAAAATTTTAATTTTAATATTATACAAAAGTTGAAAAGGTATCAGGTATTGCAATCTTTATCCAATTATGTTTATTAAAATTTGTATCATTTGTTTTAATTTCTCATCAAATTAATAAACCATTAAGTAAATTTTTTTAAAAAAAACGCAGAACTATTAACTCTAATAAATTTACAATATAAAAACCACTGCTGATGCTAATTATCAGAAAAAGATTTGAATTTGAAATTGATATGAAATGTTTCATTCATAATAAGATTTCAAAAATTGAAAGATGATTAGCAAATTTATTTCTTAATTTAATTTTAAACATTTAAACATGCACGTCTCTTTTATAAGGATTTAGCGTTAATTAAATAAATCCATATTGCTTTTCTACTTCATGGATTGATAAAGAGAATCTTTAATATAATAAATTCTTTTATAATTTTAGATTATAATATCATACTATCTCATGCAAATAGGGATGCTTAATTTCATACTATTAGTTTATTTAAAATTATTCATAAATTTTTATAGTTTCATATAATGCAGATTATAATTTGTTTCACTATACATTTAGCACCGGTTTATTGTATACCCGATACCCGAATATCTATGGATTGGCAATATGCATGGCTTTATTGATATAAATATAATTAAATTGTATTACATTGCAAACAATTTTTTTTTTTTCATCCTAAATATTTTAAAACGATGTCTTCAAAATTTTGGGCAGAATTATCAAGTGATTATGAAAAGCTTTTTGAAACTGAATTAGGATACGATGTTATTATTTATGCAGGGGATGAACTAAATATTAAAGAGATACATGCTCATTCAAGCATTTTATGTATCAGGTCTCAATATTTTCGATCTGCATTTTCTAATGAATGGGCTGAGAAAAAGGACGGAAAATTTATTTTAAGAAAACCAAATATTTCTCCTCATTTATTTAATATCATTCTCAGGTAATTATATAAAACATTAAAAATGTAATATTCCTTTGCATTTATTTAATATTAAATTTATTTATAATATTTTACTATTAGATTTATTTATTGTGGAAATATTGAATTGAAAAATTTACAAGGTCCTGAAGTATTAAAACTTTTGATAGCAGTTGATGAACTTAATATTCAACAATTGATTACTTATATTCAAGAATATTTAATTGAACATCAAACTGAATTTTTGTATCAAAATCCAACTGGTATTCTTGAAACTGTTTATCAACATGAAACATTTACGGATTTATGGGATTTTTGTCTTGAAAAAATCTGTGAAGAACCTAAAATTTTATTTAATTCAGATAAATTTATTGATTTAAAAGCTCCATTATTGGAAATGTTGATTAAACGGGATGATTTAAATATGGAAGAAATTAAGATTTGGGAAGGTTTATTAAAATGGTGTTTTTATCAACAAAACGTGATAAATGATCCAACGAAATGGAGTAAAGAAGATATTATAAAAATTGAAAGGTCATTACAAAGGTTTATCCCTTTGATTAGATTTTATGATATTAACCCTGCAGATTTCTTTTATAAAGTTTATTGTTATAAAGAAATCTTGCCTCAAGATTTAATTCATAAACTTTTAGAATTTCATATAGTTCCTGATATGAAACCTAAAACTAATGTAATGTCTTCAAGAAGACCAAAACTTGATTCAACCTTGATTGAATCAAATCATATTCCACTATTTGCTTCATGGATTGATAGAAAAGATTCTTCCTATGATAAATATGATAACCCTTATGAATTTAAATTATTATATAATTCTGATAGGGATGGATTTAATGCTTCATCATTTCATAGAAATTGTGATAATAAAGGAGCTACTATTTGGATAGCAAAAATTCAAGGTACAAAACAATTAGTTGGAGGTTATAATCCACTTGATTGGTGTGGAAGTAATATTTGGAAAAACACTACAGATAGTTTTCTATTTTATCTTAAAGATGAAAAAGATATTTCTAATGCAAAATTAAGTTATGTTAATAATGCAAATTATGCTATTTATTGCCATGATACTCAAGGACCGCATATGGGCGACTTTCTCTGTAGTGGAGCTAATAATTGGTATTTTTATAGTATTAATGTTGGTATAATCTATCCTAAGATAGATATTCCAGAAAACTTTATGGTTGAGAATTATGAAGTATTCCAAGTAATTAAAAAATAGTTAAACCGTTATATATTTATCCTTTTAGGGGGTCTTTATAATATGAATAGAATATGATTTATAAATTTATAAAAAGGTTTATTATGAATTAACGCAAATACTGATTTTCACTATTTCTAAGTTTATCTTTATTATCGGATAAGTTTTTAATTTAAATTATAATTAGTATAATTTTTTTATATGAAATACTATACGTTATTTTACAAGGGTTATAACTACAGTATATGGATATTTAGTATAATAATAATAAGAAAATTGGTTACTTGATTTCATGTCTTAAGCAACAAAAAATCTTTATTCAAATGAGTTTAATCTTTTCTTTTGCATCAAATTAAATGGAAAAAAAAATATTAAATCTTAAAAATCAACAATAAAATTAACGTCAACTGAACCTATTAGCTGTACTATTACCTTTTATATTTATTTTTATAATTTCTAATTATTATGTACTAAATCGTTAAATCTTTATGACAGAAATAAATAGATATCATTTGAATAGGTTTATTGCACATATCGTCCAATTTTATGGCAAAACACCCTAATAAAGTTGTTTTAATCTACTATGTCATACAAGCCATATGTGAATTTATGGTGCAGATATATTTAAGAAAGTACCATGTAATGAAAGTTCTGTAGTTACATATTAATTACTATTAATATATGAATGAAATTGTATTGGATTCACTTTAAAATGATTGAAGTTTAATAGTTATCATTTTATCATTATATATATATATATATATACCATTAAAAAATACCAGAATTTTTTGAGTTGATATAAAATATTGATCAATCAGCATAAAAAAAAAACATCATAACATGGCTTTATTATTAACTAATGTAGTCTATTCCTAATTTTTTATTGAATAAATCATAGACTTTATTTATTAAATATATTGAGCATTTTCTTGGACGTAACGTTCTATAACACGAGACTCAAATGTTACAGTATGTTTTTCTGGATGATGTGCAAATACATTAGCCTCCAAAACTTCGTCAGCTTCATCAGGATTATTAAAGAATTTCCTATATGTCAAGTAGTCAAGCATTTTATTATTATATAATAAAGCCTCGATTACATTCTTTCCTGCTTTATGATATACCTGATTTTTATTTAATTTTGCATTACAAAATTTACGAAAAACTCGATTTAATTTATGTTGCTTAATATCTGCAGAAAAAAAAAAAAAAAAAANAGAGTTAATAAGAAATAGTAATTTATAAATTTATTTAATATAAATTATTATTAAATTTACCTTCAAAAGATGCATTAAATTTATCTGCTACATTACTCAAATCCCTAATATTACCACCAACTAATTCATATAATTTTTCTGCTTCTGTAGTATCAATCCTGCCTTCTTTTATGGTTTTAATCCCGCGCTTATTAACTAAATAATTCATTGATTCTTCTTTACTAAGTTCACCAATTTCCATTACTAGTTTTTTTGCATGTGGCCAAATATGTTTATTTGCTAAAAAAAGTAAAAATATTAATTTTTCTATAAATTTGCCTGTAATAAAGAAATTGAATTAAAAAAACTTTATAGACACTTACAATACATTTTGTTAAAAGTACTATTTTTACCGCTAACAAATACCGTAATATATTTTTTGTCATCAGCGCTTTTCTTAGCATCATTCTGAAGTAAATCAAGGATTTTTGAATGCTTTGCAACTAAGTGATCCACATTATCGTAAATAATGACTGGAGGTTTGCCATGTTTCCTTTTGTACACTTCAGCACCATATTTAATGGCTTCTAAATATTGTTTTAATTCTGGTTCTTTAGATCCTTCTACGAAAAGAAAAAAATAAGGATCAAAATTATATTTTATTAAATAATGAATAATAAAAATTTTAATACTAGATTTACCTAAGAATGATCGTGCTATTCGGTTTGTAAAAGTAAATTTATTAGGTGACATATTAAGAGCTTTTGCAAAAGCTTCATTTAAATCATAAACACTAGCAGGAATTTCAACATATATAACACCTTGCCCAACTTCTTTTGATGCAGTTTTAACTAAAGTTGATTTACCAATTCCATTTATACCATAAATGATATGATAAAAAGATTGATCTTCATGAGGGTTAAAAATATTTTTAAGTTGATCAATCATCTCAGATCGAGATAAATATTTTGAATGTGAAATCTCTACTTTAGGTTGATTACCATTTTCAAAAGTCTTAATAATGTGATATTTAGTACATTTATTTTGACAAAAGGTATAAATAATATCTACCAACATAAGACTACTGAAAAAAGTTATAAAGGGGTATGCGGTAAAAATCTATTAATAAAATAATAAAAAAATGTATTTAATAATTTAACTAAAAATATATATATAAAAAGACAGAAATATGCTCATACTGGATTAATCCCCTCCTGAAGAGAAGATGAAGAAGTAGAAACAGACTTTGTAAATGATTTTAATTGTGATAAACGAAGAAAATGAGAATTGGATTTTCCTAAGGCAATTTTTGGTGGTTGAAGAAATGAGATTTGACGAGATGGTAGAATATTTCTATGAAAATAATGAGCTCTAAAAAAAGACATTTTTATTTATTAAGTAAATTGAGCAATAATTTGATAAAGAAAAGGAATTAAGACATTCTAAATTAAAGATACATCATATAACGATCTTATACAATACGTTATTGGAATTTTTTTTTTTTTTATCTAATAATAGAATTTATTTATTATTATGTTATTATGTCCAAACAGATTAATAATTATTTCTATAAAGTAATGTAATGACATTATTTTTGTCAATTGTCGGTTACGCCAATTTTTACCGATAATTTTAACCATAATACATATAGATTGTTCAAAAATAATTGGGTAATTTTAGATAAACATTATTGCCACAAGCTATACCCAGTATGATATAATTATATATGTATATAAATAAATATATATACCATTTTAATTTTTCATACACGTGACTGACTGTAACTTATGATACCTTTACCTTTTTATTTGTATTTATATTTCTTGATTAGTATATATATAAAAAGAAAATTATAACCATGATTAACTGAAGGTTTAACTCTTAACTATCCATAAGACTTTATATTAAAAAGGAATAAATTTAGGATCAATAGTTTAATGTTATCAACAATTATAAACTGCATTTTAGTCATTATCTTAATATAGTTGAAAGATAAATGCATTTTTAGGTATAATATAGAAAACTTTGCGTATTTTATGAAAATATTGTATGATAGAAGAAATGGAAAAGGCAAAATTCCTAAGTAAAAATATTCAATATTGTGGATGAAATAAAATTGCTAAAGTTATGACTAATTTTTTGTAAGATAAATGATTTTCCAATATAATTTTTTTTTTATCTCATCATCTCATAGTATATTAATTCAACAACGGATTTATTTGGATTATTTCATTAACAATTGGTTTCATAAGTTCAAGTCAATAAATGACTTATAACATATTAAATGTAACGAGTTTTATATATAACCAGCCATGGAAAATATATTTTTGTCTTAATACACAATACGAAATTTCTTAATAAAATTTCGAGTTATAATGCATTAAATTCAATAAACTGAAATTTAATTTCATGATCAACGTACAGTACTATGTGAATTTATTTAATTATTGCATTGTACTTTATAATTTTACAAATAAAAAAAAAAATTTGATTGGATATTTATTATGAAACCGCTTTTCAAATTTTCTGATCATAATAGTTTGAGTAATATATGTGGTTAATTACTAAAGTACTTTTGATATCTTACTCCTAACAGCCGTGAAAAAAAAAATACGGTTCGATCAATTAACAATAAAAATTTCTTAGAATATTATATCAAACTTTATTATGCTTAATTTACCGAAAATTTTATAATAGCGAATATAATAATATAAGCATTCATCAATCTTTGATATATAATTCTATAAAATTGGACACTTTATTTTATTTATTTTTCTTTGAGTTATTTCTTGGCTTTCACATATTTGATTGATACAATACAAAGGACTAGTATTTTAGAAAAGTTTATGTTAACAAAAAAATCATGTAAAGTATTTTAATGTAAAATATAAATTTATGATCATACATTTCATTATTAAAGTATATAAAAAATTTTAATTTTGTTAATAACTAATAAGGATATGAATACATACTGTAGTCTAATAATAATAATCTTCATCTTCAAAATTCGTAGCTTTAAATTTCTTAATAACGCCTAATTTAATATATTTATTAATTATTTCAATATTTTCATCAGAATCTAAACTAATTCCGTCATATTTAATAACTACTAATGAAAATGATTTTTGCGGTTCACGATCTGTCCATTTCATAAAAGCAGACTCTAATTCTTCTGGTACCAATTTAAATCGTTCTGTAAATTCATGAAATAATATCAATTCGTAAGTATTTTGTGAATATTTCGCAAATGCTTCCAATGCTTCTTTTATACTCAAGAATTCCCATCCGCACCAAATTTTAATACTTTCTAAATTTTTGCAACTATGAAAAATTATTTTTAATGTTTCCAATTTCTTAATTCCAACAGAAATTTTTTTAAGATTTGGACAGAACTTAGCAATAGCTAAATTTAATGAATTATCATCACATCCTTTCGTCTCACTTATATAAATTTCTTTTAAATTTTTCCCATTGTTTTCTAAGAATTTTATTAGTAACCCATTTTTTGGATATGCATCTGGAATTGTTAAAACTTGTAAATGTGGAAAATTAACATATTGTAACTTTTCAAAATCAACAAAATATTCATCACAATCAAATGATAATTTAAGCTCTTGTAAATTTGATAAATTGGCGATAAGTGATAATGAAAAATGATTATCTCCATAAACATCCAATTTAATTAAAGTATTAGGAATTTTTGACATTAATGATGAAAAAATCGATAATCCATCAACTGTCAGATCATAACAAAGCCTTATAATAAACCATTTCAAATTTCTCTGAACAGAAATTAAATCTGCTATTCCACTCGAAATAATTCTTTCAAAACCTATAGTAAGTGTTTGTATATTATAACATGTTTGAGATAGTTGATGAAATAATTCGGTAGAATTATCTGAATCACAGCATAATTCTGTGAGATTTTTTAAACAATCTTTTGCTCCAATAAGATATACTGGGTTAAAAGTCATATTTGGATATGAATAAAAAGTTAAGCTTCTTAAAGAAGGGATTTCTTTCATGAACATTTGAAATATTTCCTGCGCCACTATAAGTGTACAATTTTTAAGACTTTGTGGTGAAATAATTTGTTGATTTACAAGAAGCCTTTCAATTTTGTAACGAGCTCGATTAACCGATAGAACTTTACAAAATGATGCATAATTGAAAGTGGGAGTTTTTAAAGTTGGAGTTGAAATAATAATTCCATTATTATATAAAATTTCTTTTGACTCATTTGGAAGGCAAGCAATTAAAGTACTAAAGTTCGAAATGCTATAATTCCAAATATTTCTCCAAAGGATTCTCACAGAAACATCACACCAATAACGATTAACTAATAAGCATGAATGTAAAGTAAATCTGTCATCTTCTATATGTTCAAAAATCTCGTTCAAGCAATCATCAGGAAGCTGAAACATTGTTTTTAAATATAATGAAAGAGTTTTAAAATTTTTAATTTAAAACGAAAATGTCATTGTGTCAGCTGTGTTACAAACATAAAGGTCATGCGGTTCATAATTATCATTTGATGATTGATTAATAAGCATGATATGAATCATCTGCAGTGTAACGTTTGAACTTACCTAGTGAATCTATTAATTGTGGAGCGCAGTATTATATTTAGTTTAAATGTAAGTATTTTTATTTACTGCGGTCCGGAATAATCTTAAACTATCAACAAATGAGGTTCATAAGGGGATTAAGGTGGTCCGCGATGACGTTAAACTAGTGGCAATTTATTGGTTATGCTGTTTTATTATTTTTTGGGGTTATACGGGATCATTAATGGTAATCATGACCGATGGGAAGTAGTTGTCATTTACTATCCTATATTTCATAGAAGGATTCAAGGTTCGATATTTTATTTTAGAAACTATTATTCTGATTGGTATTTTAATGGAAGTCTTTATTTAGAATTTAGTATAACATCAGAAAGTATAAATATATCTTAAATTTTTTAGTCTCTGGATAACGATAAGAAATTAATTAGATTTTTGCCCAGTGCATTTAATTAGTCGATTCTTTTAACCTTTTTCTTATGATGAAAAAGAGCAAACTTAATTATTACAATTAAGGGTTTTATTGGGTTATGAATAAGGGTGAACTATTGTAGTTTATTTTTAGGGTTTAGTTTGATTCACAGATAGAATTAGTAGGGTTATGGTTTAATATTTAGTTATATCATGAAGCTCGGGATATATTAATATTTTATTTTATTTATTAAAGGTTTATTTTGTGGTATTATGGTGGGAAACATCCTTTTGGATGGGCCATCGTGATACAAGCATACATCAAATCTTTGATACAATATAATCTGGTTACTATAAGTGAACAATTTTCAACGCGCCCTTTCTGTAGTCTAATTTTTTGACGATTTGAATTTTATTTGGGACCTTATGGATGACAAACGAAGGGTAGGTTTATGTTTAATCGTTGGATTTTGTGGACGTTAAAGTAGGGAAGAAGCTTCGAAAAATCTTGCCATATAGGGACGTTTAAAGTACCGGAGGAGCTCTCACCGTCAAAATTTCGCCATAATGTGTAAAGTAGTTTATAATAGGTATAGATTTAGCATTATAGTGAACGAGTATTTGTTTTGTAGATTTAGAGATGCGTTGTAATAGGATAGGTAGTTTTTATTTTTATTTTTGAACATACATACAGTACATGTGCATTTTAATGGTAGGTAATGGTACCACAACTTCATCGGATGGGATGAAGGTTTTGGTATGGAGGGAGGTATTAGGCTTTTTGATTGATACTAAACTGTAGATCTGTTTTTTGATGTTTGTATGTTCTTTATCATATAAATAAAAGAACGGTTCGTTTTACCAAAAAAAAAAATAAAAATAAAAATAAAAAAAAAAATAAAGAGAACAATTTTTATTTTTTTATTAACGTTAAATTTATTCATTAATTTAATTTAAAATTTTAAACGAAAGAAATTTTTAATAAATAATATAACATTATTTTTTTTTAATTTAAAAATCAGTCGCCAAATTAGTTAAAACAATGATGTATTATCAATGTAATATAATTTATCATATTTAAAATTCGTAATATTATTTCGTTATAATATGGAAGAGCTGTCATAATCAATTTTCTAAGTCCAATTCATAATAAATCCCTTCTTCTAGAGCGAAGCGTAAGATTTTTTCCTATTATGAGCTAATGTGAAAATAATTATTATCATGCGAAATTTCATTTCATATTAAAATTCATAGCAAGGTCTAGAAATCGCCATTCAGATATCATTATTTTCGCCTCAGACTTTCCTAAACTATTGAAATAAAAAATTATTTCTGCAGTTCGAACAATTAAATCAGAATTTCTGAATTTCTACAAGAGATATTTTAAATAACTTAGTCATGGAGTAAGATTATGATTTATATCTAGTTTACCATTACATGCGTACAGCATTGGAAATTTTCATATACTGTATTTAACCATATGTTAAACTTTATTAATAATTACATGTACATACATTTATAAATGAACTTTTTAATTTTATTAATAAGAAATACAAGAACAGTACATAGTCTAAATATTAAGAAATGATATCACATTCTTCATCATTGAAATCTGTAACCTTGAATTTCTTAACAATGCCTAATTTAATATATTTATTAATTATTTCAATATTTTTATCATTTGTATTTAAACTATATATATTATAATTAACAACAACCAATGAAAGTGATTTTTGTGGTTTACGATCTGTCCATTTTATAAAAAATGACTCTAATTCTTCCGGATGCAAAGGCGATTCAAATAGTTCTTTAGATTGATAATATAATATCAATTCATAAGTATTTTGTGAGTAATTCGCAAACGCTTCTAATGCTTCTTTTTCAGTCAAGAAGTATTTCCCACCACACCAAATTTTAATACTTTCTAAATCCTTGCAATTATTAAAAATTATTTTTAATGTTTCCAATTCATAATAATAAATTCCAACAGAAATTTTTTTAAGATTTGGACAGAACTTAGCAATAGCTAAATTTAATGAATTATCACAATTAAATTTATTCTCACCTATATAAATTTCTTTTAAATTTTTCCCATTGTTTTCTAAGAATTTTATTAATAACCCATTTATTGGATATTTTTCTGGAATTTTTAAAATTTGTAATTGTGGAAAAATAGTATATTGTAACTTTTCAAAATTAACAAAATATTTATTATTATCAAATGATAATTTAAGTTTTTGTAAATTTGATAAATTGGCAATAAATGGTAATGAAAAATAATTATTTCTTCCATAAACATTTAATTTAATTAAAGTATTAGGAATTTTTGACATTAATGATGAAAAAATTATATTTGTCTGTTCATCAACTCTCAGACCATGACATAGCATTATATCAAAACTTTTCAAATTTCTCTGAACAGAAATTAAATCTGCTATTCCATCTGTGATAGTTCTTTCAAATCCTATAGTAAGAGATTGTATATTATAACATGTTTGAGATAGTTGATAAAATATTTCGGTGGAAATATCTGAACTACAGCATAATTCTGTGAGATTTTTTAAACAATCTTTTGCTCCAATAAAATATATGTTAAAAGTCATGTCTGGATATGAGTAAAAAGATAAACTTCTTAAAGAAGAGATTTCTTTCATAAACATTTGAAAAATTTCCTGCGCCACTACAGGTGTATAGTTTTTAAGACTTTGTGGTGAAATATTTTGTTGATTTTCAAGAAGCTTTTCAATTTTGTAATAAACTCTATTAACTGATAAAACTTTGCAAAATGATGCGTAATTAAAAGTGGGAGTTTTTAAAGTTGGGGTTGAAATAAAAATTCCATTATTATATAAAATTTCTTTTGATGTGATTGGAAGGCAAGCAATTAAAGTACTGAAATTCGAAGTATTATAATTCCGAACATTCCTCCAAAAAATTCTCACAGAAACACCACACCAATAACGATTAACTAACATGCATGAATGTAAAGTAAATTTTTCATTCTCTAAATGTTCAAAAATCTCGTTCAAGCAATCAGCGGGAAGTTGAAACATTGTTTTAAAAATACAATAATAAGGGTTTTAAAATTAAAATTTTAATTTAAATACAATAATAAGGGTTTTAAAATTAAAATTTTAATTTTATAGGGAAGTTCGTTATTTATAATTGCGCTGATCGTGTTACAAACATAAAGGTCACCCCCGAAAAATACATAAAAAGGTCCCCTATTTTATAGGGTCATTTCTGTAAAACTCCGTAACTTTTCATGAAAATCTTGCCTTGTTTAGATAGTGCCGGCCTAAATTTTATGTCCTTTTTGATGCCGACCGGCATTATCATAATTCCGGCCCTGAAACGTTGCTTATTTTAGGCCAAAATCTTGCCGATCATCTATATGTATTTTTCGGGGCTAAAATTATCTACAAGCACGTGATACAGGATATAACGTGATTAATCGATTTTTGATCTACGACCATGTGTTTTTGTAAACGCAAAATTTACATTGATAATTTAAGTCAAATTTGATGATCACTTACGTAACGTGTTAAACCAATTAATCCGCAAAAATTCGCAATAAAAAGGAAACGTGTTAACGCGTTTATGATTACAAATCAATTTCTTCATTTCTTTACGCGATTTCTTCGTATCTTTTTACAAAAAATGCAACAACAATTATATTTACCAGTTATAAACAGTCTTGAAAATTTATTCAAGTCAAAAAAAGATTATGATGTCATTATACAAGCTGGTGAAGATAATGATCAAAAAGAAATTTTTGCTCATTCAAACATTCTTCGTTATCAATCAGATTATTTTGATACGGCTTTTTCTGATAACAGGGTTAAAAGAAAAGATGGAAAATACTTTTTTGAGAAACCAAATATTTCGCCTTATATTTTTGAAATTATTATAAGGTATTAAAAAAAATTACTTTATATAAATTTTATATATTGATGAACCTAAAACTTATTATATTTAATAATTTAAATCGATATTTCAGACATTTATATTGTGGACAATTGAATTTAAACGTCATGAATGGACCGGATATATTAAAATTATTGGTCGCTACAGAAGAACTTGGGTTGGATAGAGTACTCTCTGAATATATACAAGAATTTTTGATCGAAGATCAGAATAAATTCTCACAAGATGATTGCATTGAACTTCTTAAAATTGTTTTTCAACATGGGACTTTTACTATATTGGAAGATTATTGTTTAAAAACGATTTGTCAAGTACCAGCTATTTTATTCGGAACTGATAAAATATTGTCACTACCCGCACAAATATTGGAATTATTGCTCAAACGAGACGATCTTGCGCTAGATGAAATTGAACTATGGAATAATTTGGTTAGGTGGGCTCACGCACAACAACCTACTGTTAATAAAGACCCTTCTAAATGGACTAAGGATGAATTAATTTTGATGGAGAAGATGCTATTGAACTTTATCCCTTTAATTAGGTTCCATAATATATCTTCTGAGGAATATTACAACAAAATATTACCGTATGATGATTTGTTACCAAAAAAGCTAAGAAACGAGATCTTAAAGTCTTACTTGGTCACAAATGTAGAACAGATAGGATTGTTACCATCAAGATTCTCTTTTGACGTTAATGTTAATTCTGTTCTTATAAACGCAACACATTTATCATTATTTACGGGATGGATAGACAAAGATGACGAAGCATTACAAATTATTCCTTACAAATTTAATCTTATCTTTCGTGCTAGTAGAGATGGTTATAAAGCCTCAGTATTTCATGAAAAATGTAATAACGAAGGATCAATTATTATACTCGGTAAAATTAGAGGGACAAATCAAATAGTCGGTGGATATAAACCATTTTATTGGGAAGGACCTGGTGTCTACAAATATACTCGAGATAGTTTTGTATTTTTCTTTAATGATTATAGATATATTGACACAGGTAAAATTGGAAAATTGATTGATGAAGATCTTACTTTAATTTGTAATGGCAGATGGATGCCAATTTTCGGGAAAGACCTAGCAATGCAACTTAATGGTTACAAATGGACTTCTTCTCCATATGCTTATCCTAATCTCAATATTCCAAATAATTTCGAGATTGATGATTATGAAGTTTTCCAGGTAATTAAAAATAATTAAATTTATTAAATTTAATTATTTATATATGTATATCTGATTTCACAATGCGTATCCCGATCGAGATTTCTGAAAATATAGTATGATTGTTTGTCGATTACCTTAAAGTCGGATTTAAATGAAAAATGGATCGTCATTTCACTTTGGCCTGAAGTTCTATTATGTTGCTAGGAAATTAAAAAATTATTGATTGTAATGACAAATTGTAATAGTTAAAAAATTAGATATTGTTAGGATCTAATAAAATTACCGATAGTAATGACAAACCGTAAGCATGTGATAAGTTCGATCTCTTTGATATAAGATTTTCTTGTATTATAAACTAAGTACTATCGCTATATCGCTAGTAATGTATAGAAAGCTTAGTTTTTTATATTTCATAGTAACAAAAATGAGGTTACGATAACTAAAAAATTAAAAATTTATTGGCCTTAAAACTGACACATTTTTCTTGATAAGTAATTTAATTAAAATCTCTTAGTCTAATATATTCGTGTATTTAGATAATAAAAACTTTTGAGTATTATATCAATACTGTACGTTTTATTTTATTGAATTTAATTATAATAGTAAAAAGTAATTCTACGAATAAAAGTAACGTAACAAGAAAAATAAATTTATTAAATTTAAAATTTCGATCCTTTCCCGCTATCTCTATTTATTATAAATTATAAATACATTTTAATTTTACACGTTAAGATTCTATTAATTTTATTGGAAATATCAACGAACGAACGAAGCAAAAATTTTCGATTCTTCACAGGTAAAAGCAATTGAAATGAATCAGCTTAGTCGGTCTGGAATAATAGAAAATATCTTAACCGTACGAATCAATGGCCTTTCACAATTCCTTCTCAATTATTTAATTGACTTTTCGCAGCCTATAAATCCATAATACAGCTACTTTGTTCTTTACTCCAGTTGATTTTATATTTTGAACTTTTTGTAATTAAAAATAAGCAATTAAGTATTTATTTATTTAAGAAAAATATAAACTTTCATCTCGATCTGTGTCACAATTTCAATTACAACGTTAAAAACTTGTGAAAACTTAGACGAGCTCATCTTAAATTAATGAGAGTGGATTGTGAGTCCCATCCATTGATATTAATCCTGGCGGTAAATTTAGTGTAATGTTGTTGCTCTTTATGAGTGTCAAATAGTGATTTAAGACCAATAAAATTGCTTATTTTTATTTTTTGCTGTTTCATCCCTCTTACTTAATCTTCATAAAATATCGCCGATTATGTGTATTCTCTTTCCATTAGTTAAATTAAAATTCATTTTCTGATAATGTTTTTACTCCAAATAGGATTGGTTCAATTATACATGAACTAGTACGTGTTTGAGATTGGTAGCAATTAAAAGTTATAATAATATAATATATTAATTATGAGTGATCATTTATATAAGTCTAAATTATTAAAATTTTTAGGGATTCCATCTTAATGAGTAATAATTACTTGTATTTTGGAGGTATTTGAGCAATTAACTTGTGATATTTGTGCTTTATAATTAAATTATTGTAAGGTATAAATAAAAATTAATTAAACACTGTATTTTTTGAACAGTTAGAACATATTATTTAAAGTCTCTTGATATTTTTGATATGTTAATAATTTAGGGGAAAATGTGAAGTGAGTAGATGTCAAAGATAATACAAATTAAATTTATATTAATATTTTAAAGAGATAAAATTAAAATAAAGAAAATGAAGAAGAATTGATGATAATATAGATAATATATAAAGAAGAATTGATAATAATAATTATATAGTAATAAATTTTTTAAAGAGTGAAATAGATTAGAGAGATATGAAGGAAGAGAAGGGAGATGTTTGAGAATGAAAAAGAGTGTGGTAATTATGAATTTCAATGAAATAAAAATTAAAACAATTATGTTATTGAGGATATTGGTATTTATGAGAAGATGATAAAAAGAGTATTGACTCTGTTGTAGTTTGTGTTAATTACGGGAACATTTGCAGCCATCTTATGTATATTAATTTATTATTGTAAATGTTTTTTATGATCAAATCTAAGATTTAAAAAAATATCAAATGGACTAGAATGTAAAAGAGTAATGGTAGATGATGAAGTAATGGTAGATATTGAAAGGTTTCAATTGGTTGATGATGGTTATCTATAATATGTAAAATTATAAATTTATGAAATGAAAAATTATGAAATAAGCTGAAAACCATCATGTATTTATTTAAGATTTATGAAAAAAATAATTTTAATGTTAATTTGTGAGGATTATTAGGACTATTATATATGTCATAACAAGATATTTTATTAATTAAAAATTGAAAATTTTATTAAGAATAATATTAGTATAATTTAAGTATAGATAATATGGGAACATTAACGTTCATGAAATTTCTGGTATAGGTCATATGGTTTGGTATTGAATCATTATATTATTAGGAAAGGAAGATGTAAAAGGTGCCATTCCACTGTCTTAAACCCATTATAATGTTTTTAAGAAGTCTGCCAAACTCTAAAGGCATTTATTTATGATTAGAATGCGTGAGCTCTCCTATTTCTTTCCATGTATTTTTGCATAATACATAAGGTTAAAAGGTGAAATAGGGTAAATTTGTTGATGAAATCATATATATATTATATATTTATATATGAAATAGTTTTAGAGTTATAAATATCGTTATAGTTAGAATGTAAATTTTTTAAAAAATTATTTTCATCTGTGTATTTGTTATATAATAATTGTTTTAATTAATTGATAAGGAATAAAAAAAAAGGTTTTCAGCATCTGAGAAAAGAATTTGAAGCGGCTTAAGTATGAAATCTTAGTAAGTAAATACTTTACCAAAAAAAGAGATTGTTTCATTCGTTAATTAAGTATATTATAATTGATGTATTGATTTCCAAATTTATAAAATTTATAGAAAATTACCATACATATGACGATCTCCCCTGACCTATTCTTTTTTCGTATAATTAATTTATTTTTAATAACGGTCACGACTCACGACATTGTCACGGCTGTAATACTTAATTGAATGGCTGAAAAGTATAGAACCAAGTTTTATGAGCCTTTCTTTCTTGATTCAGTTATCCGATTATTATTCGTCAATCATAACAATATTCGAAATGACATTGAGGACAATTTTTAGTTTCTCAATGAATTTACATTACGAGAAAATTTCTCATGTTCTAACCACAACTAATAAAGTTTATACGCTTAGATTGCATTAATACTATGCTTACGATTACAATATAACACTTACTGTATAACCACAAGTATTGTTAAAAGAACGTGTTGATAAAATTTACACAACAATACGATATTGGAGAGTGGAGATGTAAAACATTTATTACTACGAAGATAATAGATATTTTTCATTGATAACAAAAGAAAAGACTTTATATACCTATACTATCAAGAGTATAAGATAATTTAGTTCACAAATTGGTTAAATCGTTATGTTAAGAAAAAGAAATGATTTATGATTAGAAATACTCTAATAAAAAAATAATCATGAAACCTCAAGTATTAGAGTGTTAATCACGGTGGCGTGACTTGATAAATAATGATTACTAATATCTGTAACGCAATGCATGCAGAAAGATCAATAAAAATATAACTAAAAATAGGCTGGCTGAAATTTTTTTTCAGTTGTCTCTTTTCTTTAATTGTTCCATTAATCTGAATTCAACTAAAGTCTCAATGGATAAAAAGAAACAAATTAAGTCGTCATATAAAATGACAATTTTATTCAATATACCCAGAAATCTGAGGTGTAGAGTGGTTCACACTATTCTAAATTGTTTGTATTTTGAATGATGTAGTAAAGAGGAGCTACAATATATAAAAAAACGATGACTAAAAAAAGAAAACACAAAAAAAATCTAACCAAAAAAAAAAAAAGGTTCTTCTGGAAAGCGATCATCAAGGCGCTCGAGAGAAGGACACCGTTTCTTGCTCTTCAATAACGACTGATCCATTAAGACACAGGACGGGGAAACTGATCGTTTGTTAGGCCTGGATTCAACAATTTCGTATCGTCTGAAGTATCTGAAAAATCATCAATGGATACCTCTAGGCGTGACCTAGGCATGGACTTGATTTTACGTATAGGGCTATTACTTGATGATGTTGACCATAAACCAAGCGAGGAGGGTGAAGGCGGAGCCTTACGTTGTTTTGCTATCAAGAAAGCTATTTGAGTTTTGCGTTTCTCCAGTTTTCGATAACTAGTACTATAAAATTTGCTTCATCTTCTTCTTGTTGACGTATACGAGCACATTCTTTATCTATAACCTTCTTGTACCTTCTTTCGACTTCCCAGTACAAAAAACAACCCGGGCGGACCTGATTTTGATTTTTTGGAACGTATGGAAGATGTTAGTCTTTAAATTTAACATTAGGAGGTAAAGGATTCCAATTTGGTATCGGAATGAGATTAATTATTGGTTTGATCCTTTTTACTTGTAGCGACTGGTGAGGCGTCTGTATTTTCAATAGTAGATAGAACTTGTTGATGGAGATAGAAGTGAAGTTGTGGTTCTTGTACATGTCCTTCTGAGTTTTGGGTGAAAAATAAAAATAAAGCAATTTATATTTTAGGTATAAAATTGGTTTACGAAATTTTTGACACGGGTGAAATAAATGTGATTTCTTTTTTGCTGCGATAATTTGTCTTTGTGTCGTGTTCCGAAAATTCTGTCTACATGGCACTGTCGCTGCTTGGCTTGTTTTTTGCTGACTTTAAAGAGTTTTTACTTGGTATTAATTTCAGGCCGGAATATTGTTTGTTGCACATCCGTTTCAGACCTTGCTGTAAAATGTTCTTACCACCAAACACATCCTCATCTATTTTTTATTTTATACTTATTTGATATATGGTTTAATGGTTTTAACATGAAGTTTAAAGTTGTCAGCATTCTCTCTCTCTCTACTTTATATTTTTGGTATCCCACGTTTTATTTTACTATTTTTCTAATCAAAAAAAAAAAAAAATACACGTGAAAATATGATCTTTCATACTGTTAATCACGTGTTTGTGCCACTTTGTTTATGAATTTATGATCTCTGGCATTGCAATAAAATAGTAATTACTTCCAAGTAAAGTCAATTCAAATTTGGAAAGAAAATTACAGTAAAAGGCGAACTCAAAAAGGATAATGAAATTGAAGAATTAATTAAAAAAAAATCTGAAGGTGACGTTGAAAATATATATTGGTAAAATATTCAATTATTGGTTGTAGATAGTTAATTTTACATAAATAATTTCAAGTTTATTAACAAAATAAATATCTGTCGACCTTGAAAAATCAATATAAGGGATCAGAACTTGTAATTGACCCGTTGCGTTTGAATGTTTATGTCTTTATCCGGAAAATCAAAAAATGAAGTGGAAATAGATCCCAATCGAGATTTCATGATGGTCCAAGTATATTAGAAGAAGCCGATTAATGAAACACTACAGTACCATGTTTTTTGATTTTGTTGTTAAATAATAATTAAATCAAATTTCATTTAAATTCGAATTAATTGAGATAATTAAAGATCATAGGTTTTTGTAGGTTGTATAGCGAATTCCACTATTGTACTTACTCCTTTGATTCGAGATGAATTAGTTATGGCATTTACCATAGTAAGTAACAAGCCATTTTTAAGTTTTAATTGGTTATAATGTTTCATTTTAATAGGTACAAAATTCAATTCAAAATTTACTCTTAAATCTAAAAATTAAAGATGAAACGAAAACTTTGATTTATATAATGTTATCACATATGTTTGTTTTTGAACTATTTTATGTAAGATCATCTTCAAATGGACGACTTCTGATTATTAACATTTTAGAGTGAATCACAATTTTATCATCTCAATCATGTATGAATCCTTTATTTGTAATTAATTATCTATAGATGTTTTGAGCGAATTATATTTCATATACGTACGTTATATTTTTGATCTCCCCTAATAGAAAATATTATTGCACCAAATTCAATCGAAATGAAAGGAATTAGAGACGTGACTTGGTCATTTGAAGTTACTTGATACTATAAGTACGTATATCGATTTATTATGATTGTTATTATATTGAGTTACTGACATCTTTTTTTTCAACACCAACCAATATTATGATTTTTCTACTTCATTAAATACGCTAGATTTCAAATATCGTTCTCAAAGCCACTTCTAAAAAGAAAAAAAATCTCCGAATTGTCACTGGATCAAAATTTAAAGTAAAAAAAGGAGTCCAAAATGAAAAAAGAGCAGTTTCATTAAGAATGTATCAAATCTTTCTAATACCTTTCAAATATTTATATTACAAATCTATATTTTTCAATTGAATTAGAGAATCTTGGGGAAGAATTGGACTATCAATTAAACGATAATCTTCACCAGAAATGATGGAGGTTGCATACTTCTAAGAATATATTTGGTAAAATAATCTTGAAGTACGTAGAGTCATGAAGATTATCCAAATTGTGGAGATTTCCTATCACATATCTTTGACTACTGTACCATCATCATTATCATCCATGATCATCGTCGCCTTCATCATCATTCAACTCAATATAGTACTTTACTGTATAATCTCCTATCTGAATTATTTTTAAGTACTTGAAGTATTTGAAGTCTTGATTTAATTGCTGGCTGTTGTAGTTTTTGTGACGAAATATGTTTTACAACATTCAAAGACAACATTCAAAGAAGTATTTAGTACTAAACGAACATCTGCGAGGGTCATATCCATAATCCATTTGATATACTTTTCTAGAAATGGTAACAGTAAATTAATCGATACTGCATAATAAACTTGCCAATAATAACTAATTATAAAACTTTAGACCGTGTTATTAATATGTTTGTGATAATTTCAGTTTTAATAATCGGAATTAAACTAACATTATACAATATTGTAAGTATGAAAAATAATAAAAGTGATTTATAGCTTATGCAATATATTTAAATCTATTTATTTATTGTTGTTGACTTATCAATTAATATTTGTGATGGAATTCGATAAAAAAGTTGATCGCTCACTTATGTTATAATATACGATTAACAAATTATTCATCTTTATTAAAGCTTTCCAAATTAAAAAAACTGAGATTTCAGATTTTAAACATCACTCGAAATACTTCATATTCTTCTATAGAAAATGCATCCTCAGCTTCTCTAATCGGTTTTTCGTAGGAACTTTTACTACTACGACAATAATTACGAAGTGTTTGAAGATCAAACCCCAATATAATAAGGTCTCCATCACCAAATATTGGACCACAATAATAGTATCTATTATCTATAGCATGATTTTTATTTACTATACGACTTAAAATATAATTTTCATTTCTATTAACGTTATTAAAGGAAAAGATAAAACTATCTTCGGTAGTACCGTAAGTATTATCGGATTTCCATACAATCGGGTTATATCCTCCAAGAATTTCGTCACTACCTACCACTTTAGCAATTGTTACAGTACGAGAGTAATTATCACAAATTTCATGAAATTTTTCAGGATCAAATCCATCACGAGATCCACGAAATAATAATTTAAATTCGATAGAATTAGTTAACTCGTCAACAATTTCCAATTTCTTAATCCATTTTGAGATTGTTTCAGCATGTTGAAATGTAATAATATTAGAATCAATATCTTTTGAATTAACCTCTTTATATATACGAGGTTCTGATTTACTACTTGTCTTAGTATTATTATCTAAAAATTCTCTTAACAATTCTGTGTATAATTCTTTGGGTAAAACTTTTTTGTATGGGAATACTCTATCTAAAAATTCTTTGGAAGTTAAGTTATGAAACCTAATATAAGGTATACATTGTTGTAATGTATTCTTCAGAGTAATAAAATCTTCTTTTGAATAGTTTGTAACGTCAGAGGGGAGTTCTGGATTTTGTGCAAGTCCCCATTTAAGAACATGTTCCCAAATTTGAATTTCGCTCATTTGAAGATTATTTTCTCGAATAACTGAAATCAAAAGGTTTTCTGGGATTAAATTGAAATCTTGCGATTTGAATATCTTTTCTGGCTTTTTGGATATTAATTCATTACAATATCTTTGAAGACCAAAGAAAGAATCATTCTCAAAGCTTGTTCGATATATCAAATTAAAATGCTGTTCCATCCAGTTCATTTCATTTTCAACCAAATGTGATTGTATATAGGTGATTAATTCTTGAAGATTTAATTCATTGGCGGCAACTAATAATTTAATAATATTTGAAGTATCATATTCTTTCAAAGAAAGCTTTCCACCATAAATATATCTAAAATATCGATATGATACTTGTAAAATTAAAATATATTAATAAAAGATCGATAATTTAATTAATCTAACTTTACCTTATAATTATTTCAAAAGTCTCAGGTAAAATATTTGGTAATTTAATATGAGCCAAAGTCCCATTATCTTTCTTTTTATTAGCTGACAAAATTTCTCGCATGTAAGGAGAACGATAATGTAAGATAACCATATGAGCTCGGAAAATTCTTACATTAGGATCGTTACCAACTTCAATAGTAACATCATAATATTCATCATCAGCCAAAATTTCAAGCAAATTTTGTGATAGTTTTGATAAAAATTTATTATCTTCGATAATGTTCGTTACTAATAATCTACCAGCATCAGTACCAGAATTATTATTCCATTTTAGCAAATTGAATCGCTGATTTTGGCCATCATGTTTACTATGAAGAATGATGGGGATCCAGTTATCTTTGCTTTTATCCTATATGAAACGCAAGTTTTAAATAAAGAAATTAAAATCTTTATAAAATTATTTCTCTCTAATATCTCAAATAATTATATATAGCATCACAAAATTTTTACCTTAATATCAAGAACAAAATTTCGATTAGATCTTAAACTAATAGTATTATCCTCATAGTTATAATCCCATTCCTGACTTACTGAAGGTTCAGAGCCACTTGCGCGTTGAATAATTTGTGTACCTTATAGTGAAATTGAAATATTTAATTACTGTGTGAGAAATAAAAAAAAACAATGATATTTTGTGAAATATAATTGCCATTTTGAATGTTTCCTTGATTAAGAGAGAAAAATTGAGTTTAGAAATTAGAGGATTTTGATTTCTAATAATTATATCAAATTGTTGCTTACTTTCAGTAACATCGAGCACAAGACCAGACCTTTTGTTGGTAATTAATCCGCCATCAAAAAACCAGAGTTGGGTGCCGACCTAAATGTAAAGAAGGGTAAATAAATTAATAAAATAATCTTATTCATTAGAATATTAAATGCAAATCCTTACGCTACAATCGTTCTCGTGTTTTTTATGATATTGCATGATATTAGCTTCACTATAAGAACCACCTGCAACTTCAAGAACCATTCCAGAGTGTTGAGATATGATCCAATAATAATTAGCCATACTTTTTTTTTTTAATTAAGTAATAAAAAAGTAATAAAGGTAAGAAAGAGATATCGTGCACAAACGTTGTTCGGAGATCGGAAAATCATTTTAGCATTACACAATTACGCACATGATCACATTGATCACCCTTAAGATTCCGGATTGCAGATCGGACATCCGGGTCTAAATAAAAAATTTTATTAGAAAAAACAGTCTCTGCCAGATAATTGAATTATTAAATATTTTTTGGCCAAAAATGATCTTTTGAATAGTTTGTAAGGTCAGAGGGAAGTTCTAAATTTAGTGCAAGCAAGCCCCCATTTAAATACTGTACATGTTCCCAAATTTCTAAACTCAAAAGTTTTTCTGGAATTGAAATATAATCTAGCGATTTAAATATCTTTTCTGACTTTTTTGATATTAATTAATTATAATATCTTTGAAAATCCAAGAAAGAATCATTTTCAAAGCTCGTCTGAATTATCAAATTAAAATTTTGTTCCATTCAGTTTACTTTACTTTCAATCAAAAAACGATTGTATATAAGTGATTAACAATTCATGAAGGTTTAGTCCACTAGTGGCAACTAACAACTCAATTATATCTGAAGTATCGAACTCTTTAAAAAGAAAGCCTTCCGCAGCCATATCTAAAAATAAGATTTTAGTACTTGCTCATGAGATAAAATAAATTGATTTATAAATAATTTTAAAAATTTCAAATAGAATATTAGTAGTAATTTAATATGAACTAAAAATTTCTCGCAGGTAAGGAGAACGATAATTCATAAAATTCATCATGTGATAATTTTGAAGAATTTTATATATAGGTAATAATGTAATAATGATAGTTTTTTTAAATTTGACTATGGCAAAATAACTGTCCAAATCTCGGACGAAAAAAATTATTTAATATAATTGAAAAATATTCTTTTAAAATTTATTACGTTCATATTTTGAAATATTAAGGGAAGAATCGGAGGATTTTTTTTATTAATTGAATATTAATATATATATATCAAACAGTACACCATCAAAACCTTCCCTATGATCTTTTTGTTTTTCATGATTCAAATACAATATTAAAATAATTGAAAATTACAAATCGTTGGGAAAAAGTTAGTCATTATAACGTACAGTTAACAAATTATTCATCTTTATTAAAATGTAATTAGAAATCATCCAGAAACATGCGGTTAAGATTAATAAAAAAATTCCCAAAGTAAAAAAACTGAGATTTTAAATTTTAAACATCACTCGAAATACTTCATATTCTTCTATAGAAAATATATCTTCAGTTTCTCTAATTGGTTTCTCGTAAGAACTTTTACTACTACGACAATAATTACGAAGTGTTTGATGATCAAATCCCCATATAATAAGGTCTCCATTACCAAATATTAGACCACAATAGCATCTATTATCTATAGCATGTTTTTTATCTATTACACGACTTAAAATATAATTTTCATTTCTATTAGTATTATTAAATGAGAAAATAAAACTATCTACAGTAGTACCATAAATATTATCAGATTTCCATGCAATCGGATTATATCCTCCAAGAATTTCGTTACTACCTGCCACTTTAGCAATCGTTACAGTATGAGATTGACTATCACAAATTTCATGAAATTTTACTGGATAAAATCCGTCGCGAGATCCACGAAATAATAATTTAAATTCGATAGAAGTAGTCAATTCGTCAGTAATTTCTAATCTCTTAATCCATTTTGAGATTTCTTCAGCATGTTGAGATGTAATAATATTAGAATTAATACCTTTTAAAATAACCTCTTCATATATACGAGGTGAAGATTTACTACTTGTCTTTGTATTATTATCTAAAAATTCCCTTAATAATTCTGTGTATAATTCCTTGGGTAGAACTTTTTTATAAGGAAGTACCCTATCTAAAAATTCTTTAGAGGTTAAATTATGAAACCTAATAAAAGGAATACATTGTTGTAAAGTATTCTTTAAATTACTGAAATCTGCTTTTGAATAGTTTGAAACGTCAGAGGGAAGTTCTGGATTTTGTGCAAGTCCCCATTTAAGTACATGTTCCCATATTTGAACTTCGCTCATTATAAGATTATTCTCTTGAATAACTGAAATCAAAAGTTTTTCTGGAATTGAAGTGAAATCAAGCGATTTGAATATCTTATCTGGCTCTTTGAATATTAAAACATTACAATATTTTTGAAGTCTTAAGAAATAATCATTTTCAAAGCTCACTCGATATATTAAATTAAAATGTTGTTCCATCCAGTTCATTTCATTTTCAATTAAAAAGGATTGTATAAAGGTGATTAATTCTTGAAGATTTAATTCATTGGCGGCAACTAATAATTTAATAATATTTGAAGTATCATGTTCTTTCAAAGAAAGCTTTCCACCATAAATATATCTAAAAAAAAATTATAGGATTTGCTTGTAAGACTAATCTTATTGATATAAATAGTTATTCAACTAAATTGATTCTTACCTTAAAATAATTTCAAAAATTTCAGGTAGAATATTGGGTAATTTAATATGAACTAAAGATTCACCATTTTTCTTTTTATTAGCTGACAAAATTTCTCGCAGATAAGTAGAACGACAATTTAAGATAATCATATGAGCCCGAAATATTTTTACATTAGGATCGTTACCAACTTCAATAGTAACATCATAATATTCGTCATCATTCAAAATTTCAAGTAAATTTTGTGATAATTTTGGTAAAAATTTATAATTGTCCATAATGTTTGTTACTAATTTATCAACATTTTCAGCACCTGAAGTATAATTCCATTTTTGCAAAGTAAATTTTTGATTTGGACCACAAAGGTCTTCATACAGGATTAATGGGGTTGCATCTTCTTGTCTTATTTTCTATATAAGCATAAAAAAAAAGAATTATAGTGTTATATCTAATGCTCTGGTTTGAACATGAAAAAAAAACAAATTTATCTTACTGCAACATCAAGTACAAACTTTCGATTAGATCTCAACCTGATACTATTATCCTCATAATTGTAGTCCCACTCCTGATTGTGAACAGGTTCAGGAAAACTTTTATGTTGAATAATCTGTGCACCTTGGTGACAAAATGTAAAATTAATAAATTGAGAAGTTAAAATAACTAGAAAATAAAATATGATTGGCTGCTTACAATTATTGATATTTCCTGGTTGAAGAAAAAATTGGAATTAAAAGATTGATTTCTAATAATTAAACCAAATAATTTACTTACCGTCAAGAACATCGATAACGAGGCCAGATATTTTGTTGATGATAAATCCGCCATCAAAAAACCAGAGTTGAGTATCAACCTAACATAAAGAAAAAGAGAAGTAAAATTTAAAAGTCAATAATAAACTATTTAACTAGAATATTAAATCAAATATTTTTTACACTAGGGTCATCCTCAGATTTCTTGGTATATTGGATGATTTTAGCACAATTATGAACAGAGCCACCTTCAACTTCAAGAACCTTCCCAGAATGTTGAGCTATAATCCAATAATAATTTGTCATTTTTAAAATAATTCGATAAAAAGTTAATTTGAAATACGAAATTGTTTTGCAAATTAGTAAAAGTCAAATGTCTGTTTATAAACATATTCGGCAAACGGAAAATCACTTTAACCAATTGCCACAATCACGAGCTTATTACATTTATACGCCGATCACTTCGACTACAGGAATAATGCATTTTAAGCATCTACTTTTTTGGACTCGTTATGATCATGTCGCCAAAAACTACAATCGTACAGACAGGCGTACACAAATTTGATTTTCCCATACCGTACGACCTAAGTTGAATAAACATTTTAATAAATATTTTTTTTGCAATAAATGATGTAAAAACCACATTAATCATTTTCACATTTTTTTATTGATTAATTGTGTACTCCTTTTTATTATAATAAATTTTTAAGTATGTATCAACGTTGCAAAATCGATAATCGAAGTTTATATAATTCTTATTCGATCAAATCAAATAAGTTTGACATCAAAATTTCGATAATCGGCATCATTATAAAAAAAATTGTACATTATAATTTAAAAAATCATTTTTTGCTTTTTTCACAATAAGTTGCGAAAATTTCCAATTTGAAAAGTTTCATGTCAAATGTTAAATTACTTCTTTTAATATACTAAAATAACAAATCTAAAAATTTATTTCTAGAGAGATTGACTATAAACTTGTGAATTAAAATTATCTGAGGCATCATCACTTATCGCAATGAGAGCTTCATACTTTGAATTTCTCCTAATGGTAGGTGATTTTTATATTTAGGGAGAGTAGCATAGTGTACGCGTCACGGTTAAGCTGACTGCAGGGATTAATGATTTTTTTTTACAGCAGGTCATATCAAAGATGATGCCCAAGAGGTTTCTTCTAGTAGTAGGTGCTTTTTATATTTAGGGAGGGCCGGATGGAGTAATAGCATAGGATGCGCGTTGAAGGGGTTCACGGTTAAGCTGAAAGAATGCTTTACTGCATCCTAGAGATTGCAATTTCTGGAAGGTTGATTTGAATGTTTTTTTTTTAAAGAAATCATCATAACTGTTATATAGGACTGGTAGACTGTCAACGACCTATGAAGCAACGAATTTGATTCAGGGTATTATAATGGTATTTTAAATATTTTAATACCAACTTTAAAAAAAAAAGTTTTTAAACCGAAATTTCTTTCTTTACTTTATTTACCTTTTCGATCTTTTGAACAGAAATATTTTTTTCAATTTTTTGAAAAATTTTAAATTTTTTTTATATATTTCTTTAAACTGAAATTTTTTATTTATTAAAGACAAAGTAAAATTTATAAGGTAAAGAAAGAAGAAAATCAAAAAGTCTTTTTTTTTTTTTGAAAAAAAGAAGATTAAATCTTTATAGTAATTATAGTAATTAAAACATATTGAACATATTGATTTTTTATAAATAAAAATTAATTTTTTAACGCAGTACGAGATAGGAGATAATTTATGCGGCAAAGCCGGCATTGGTCTTAATTTTGTTCGTTCATTAACGTTAACAAATGATAAAAATTATTTTTCATACTAAAAGCATAGCTTTATAAAAAATAGTTCTCTCGTTATTATGATTTGATTTTTTATTAATAAAAAACAATGATTTTGTTGGAGAGAAAAATACAAAATGGAGACGCAATCAGACCTTGTCGATCCGTTTTTTTTTATTCCATCTTTTTTCCGTAAAAGGGTCGTATTTCCGGAATTAATAACCTTATATCACGGAATTTATCGAATTATTTATATTTTCCGTAAATGGATTCGTGAAAGACTCATTTTATGGAGTTTTTACAGAAATAACGGATAAAATTTTTTATAGAGAGATACTTAATCGTTTCGACAAATATCGAAATTTCCGGGTAAATTAATTGAGTGTTACCTAAAGCCATTGCTGATAGTACTTGCATATGTATCCACATGATTGAAAATACAATTCAGCACAAATTGAAATTAAAATAATTAAAGAATGAGTTGGAAATAGTTCTCGTGGAGAGAGGATCGGTGAAGTAAACTTCAAATAGACAATCCCGTTTCAAACCAAAATTAATTATCTAACTACAAAGAAATCGAAGAAAAGATTTAGAAAAAGAGTGAAAAATGTGAAATTTTCAGATAATAGTAACTATCAACACGCAATGCCAAAACGATTTGATGAATGAAAGAAAATGTGTTAAATGAAAAATTTCGTATACAACTAAAAAGTGACAAGATCATATTTCAAAAATAGATGAATTTGTTAACGTTTTATCTGATAATTTTTTTAATATAAATTCTTCATCTTTTCTGATAAATATTTGATCACAAAATAAGGAAAATTCTGAGGGGAATCACATGAATTACAGTTAATGCTTTAAAAATTGTAAAAATCAAAAATTAAGTAGTCACTCTCTTCTAATAATCACCACTGTAGAGAAATTTTTAACATAAATTCATAACAAGTAACCTTTTCTGATATATGTGATTGAATTTTATTTGTAAAGATTTAACAAAAAGATGGAGAATTATTTTTTAATTACTTGAAATACTTCATAATTCTCTACCATAAACCTTTCTGGAATGTCTATTTTAGGATAAGTCAAATTAACATAAGAATGTTTATAAACAATCCAACTATTGGTACCGGTACAATACAAATTACCCATGTGTGGTCCTTGAGCATCTTGGCAATAAATAGCACATCTTGCATTGTTATTGTTAACATAACTAAGTTTTGCAGTAGAAATATTTTTTCCATCTGTAATATTAAACAGAAAACTATCTGTAGTGTTTTTCCAACCACAATTTCCACCCCAATCAAGCGGATTATATCCTCCAATTAATTGTGTTGTACCTTGAATTTTTGCTATCCAAATAGTAGCTCCTTTATTGTCACAATTTCTATGAAATGATGCGGCATCAAATCCATCTCTACTTGAACGATATAATAACTTCAATTCATAAGGAATATCATTTTTTTTATAAGAAGGATCTTTTCTATCAATCCATGAAGCAAATAATGGAATATGATTTGATTCGATCAAAGTTGAATCAAGTTTAAATTTCAAGTTTGACTTTCTTGAAGGTGCTACATTAGTTTTAATTTCCGCATTAGGAACTATATGGAATTCTAAAAGATTATGAATTAAATCTTGGGGTAAAATTTCTTTATAACAATAGACTTTATAAAAGAAATCTGTAGGCTTAATATCATAAAATCTAATTAAAGGAATGAATCTGTGTAATGATCTCTCAATTTTTATAGCATCATCTTTACTCCATTTGGTTGGATCATTTATCATATTTTGTTGAGCAAAACACCATTTTAATAAACCTTCCCAAATCTCAATTTCTTCCATATTTAAATCATCTCGTTTAATCAATAACTCCAATAATGGAGCCTTTAAATTAATAAATTTATCTGAATTAAATAAAATTTCAGGTTCTTCACAAATTTTTTCAAGACAAAAATTCCATAAATCCGTAAATGTTTCATGTTGATAAATAGTTTCAAGAATACCAGTTTGATTTTGATGCAAAAATTCGGTTTGATGTTCAATTAAATATTCTTGAATATAAGAAATCAGTTGTTGAATATTAAGTTCATCTACTGCTATCAAAAGTTTTAATACTTCAGGACCTTGTAAATTTTTTAATTCAATATTTCCACAATAAATAAATCTATAAATTATTATTACGTAACAAATATATAGTGTTAATTAAATATAAATAAAAATTTTCATTGTTAATATTTATACATTACCTGAGAATGATATTAAATAGGCGGGGAGAAATATTCGGCTTCCTTAAAATAAATTTTCCATCTTTTTTCTCAGCCCATTCATTAGAAAACGCAGAACGAAAATATTGAGACCTTATACACAAAATATTTGAATGAGCATGAATTTCTTTAATGTTTGACTCCTCTCCAGCATAAATGATAACATCGTATCCTAATTCTGTTTCAAAAAGTTTTTCATAATCACTTGATAATTCTGCCAAAAATTTTGAAGACATCATTTTACAATGTTTAGAAAAAAAAAAATTAATTAAATATTTTATAATTATAAGTTATTGTGCTTAATATCACATTTTTAACTAATGATAGAAGATGATTGGTAAAGATTTGGCCACGTAGTAGTCAAATCTGTCCAATCAGAATGCTGGAATTGATTAATAATTGTATTATTGTGTGACCCATTGTATGTTTTTTGATTTTTTAAAAATAACGGCAATTATATTTAATATACGGAGCAGTCGGAGCACGATAAGTTTAAATAAAATAAATATAAAGCTTTAATAAATTCTTTTTAATTAAAAAACAAAGTTAAATAAGTGTAACTTACTTTGTAAAATCTATAACTTCTACTGACGTATTGTAAGCATCATCACATTTTGAAAGTTCTTTTGTAAATGGATTAAGTATAAAAAGTCTGTGCTGTGGATGAGTAGTTGATCGGTTATCTTTAATTGATATAAGATTTGCTTTTCTATATTTTTCTGCTTTTTCAAATTGTCTTAATCTCTTCATTATAATCTGACTTAAATAATTTAATCAATTCTTTTATTTCATTAGCACTTGGTCTATTACCTGGATTTGGATTCCAACGCCTTTTCATTAGGTCAATTTAACACTTTGGTACTTCTAGTTCATTTATTTCAGGTCTAATTCCATTACATATCATTGATGCTAAAATACTATCATGAGCGTAATTGGCAAAAGGTTGTTTTGTAGTTGTTATAAAATACATAATTATACAAATCTGCTGCTTGAGTATAAGGCTTTCCTTTCAGTGCTTCGGGTGCTACAAAAGGCATAACTTTGTTTAACATATACTGTATATTACCAGTATGATTTTCAGATTCAATACTATAATAATTATCAAATGACAATATTATATTTCCGGTTACTATTTTATTTTCATGAATTTTTTTAAGACCTTTAATAATTTCTTTAATGCTCTTAATTTTTTCAGACCAAAACCAATTTATAATATCATTATTAATATAATTATTAAAACTTCCACCCTTTGCATATTGAAGAACCATAATATAAACCTTTGTATCTGAGATATCTAAGATATCCCATATATTTTGAGAATATAATCATCTTCATTAATAGAGTACTTTTAATCTATTAAATATAAAAGTTATTATATTGTAAAAGATTAATTAATTTAAGGAAAATTACTTACCTCATTTAAAATTCACTGGTAATATTTTGTGAATTATGCACACATTTTATGGCAACTTCTCTATTAATTATGGCCATCCATCCACATCGCTGAATATAGTATACCAGAATTACTTTTGTTTATTTCTTTAATATTAATAAACTGATTAAATGGTATCCATTCAAATAAATAATACAAATATTTATTATTCAATTGTATTTTCTTGAATAAATTCATCAATTTTCATTTCCACTGGTCCAGCTTGTAAAATTTTGTTTAAATTATTTACTTGACTTGGTTCACACCATTTAAAATCTATGTGTATATACTTTACTACAGTATTTACAATAGCCTTCTTGAAGTATCATAATATAATCTTCCAAATACATTGTTTTATCATCGTTAATAGTATGCAATTTAGCCTGTTAAAATATATTTATATGTGAATTATTATAATAATAAAAAAAAAATATTTTAAAATTAAATTACCGACGATAGAAATTATTAAATTTCATACCACATTTGAGAATTCATTGATATTATTTGGTGAATTATATAAATATTTTAAATCAACTTTCTTATTAGGTACTCTTTTACATTCCTTTTTATAATATGTATCATATTTTAATGGACCATCCATCCATATTGCTGAATATAGTACAATAAAATCATCTCTACATATTTCCTTTATATCTTTAAGCTGATTACATGATATCCATTCAACTATTATATTATCAAATTGATTAAATTTTAGTCGTATTTCTTGAATTAATTCATCGATTTTTTTCGTTTCCACTGGTACAGTTTTTAAAATTATGTCTTATATTATCTATTTGGCATGGTTTACACCATTTCCAATGTCTTAATGTATAAAAATTATCACAGTGTTTACATAAAACATCGTCTTGAGATAGCATGATTTTAAATTTTTTTAAAAATTAATAAAAAAAAAAATTATTTAATGGTGGTGAATTTTAACAATTACGCTAATTTCATGTGATTATACCGATTTTACTAATTTTCACCCAAGATCTGAATCCAATTGATTGAAATCTACGCCATATGAATATATATACGATTAGTAGTAACGTAGATTGGCTAAGTGCGTAACGTAAGGTAGCTAAAATTATGTACACATGTGTAAATACTTGTTATTCCATGGGTATTAATGAATAATCTACGTTACTCCCCTTATTTAATTAAGCATGGGTGTACGTACTCAAATAATTATCTTGAATAATTTATAGTTTGATAAATTCTGAAAGTTACATTTTTTACATTTTTATAATTATATCAATTTTTTTTTTATGGAGTTTTATACAATAATATAGAAATAAAGCATGAAAGATTTATAATTTTATTATTTGAACTATCTTAATACAAAATTAAAAATTAAAAATTCATAATACAAAATAAAAAAATTATGCAAAATAAAAGATGCCTAATTAGCAAAATTGAATTTCTCCCAAAAGAAAATGGATTTGTTCTACTGGTTCTTTATCATTTAAACATGAATCACCTGAAATACCTCATAATCTTTAAATTGAAAGATACCTTGTTTATTTCTTAGTTTAATCTCATAAGAACCCTGCCGATGATATCCAGAATTTTCCAAAGGATGATGAAAATCGGTATATTTTGTTAAATGTGCTGCATTAGGCGTAATCCACAGGTCGGTCGTACCAAAACACGGACCACATTCGTGACAATTATGAACAGAATTCAAAACGTTATATGAACTAATTTTTCCCATATTATTTTCATTATTTTTGTTGAACGAAAATAAAAAGGGATCAGTTTGTTCACCATTAACATTTTTAACATTCAAGACCATTTTTTGTGAAGAAGTAGATGATGATGATCCTACTATAAATTCTTCATCAACATCCATTAATGAAATTTCATCTCCATCATTGAGCAAATATTTTGATGAACCCTTTGATTTAAAGTCACTACTACTTTCATTATTATTTCCCCAAGAAACTGGATTATAGCCACCAATAATTTCATTTTGAAGATTAGTTTTAACTAATATAATGGTAGCGCCTTTATTGTCACAATATTCATGAAACATCTCGACTGAATTACCATTTCTTTTTGTACTATATAAAAGATTAAATTTGAATTCCCATTCAAGATTCATTGATTTCTTATATTTTTTATTTTCGATCCAACATGAAATTATTTCAGCCTGTTCTGATGTAATGAAATCCGAATCAATCATTCGAACTTTTCTTGATGGTGATATAAGGTAATTTGTTGGTAAAGTTCCTTTTAAATAATATTTAAGTAACTTACTAACAAGGTCCTCTGGTAAAACTTTATTAAAATCATGAACACAATCAAAATATTTATTACTTGACATCTGAAAGAATCTAATAAATGGGATAAATGGATTTAAAGTTTTTTTAAAAGATTCAATTTCTTGAACGGACCATTGAGTTATATGTTTTTCATTAAGGTCAGCATTTTTTACAAATGCCCAACCAAGTACAGCATTCCAAACATGAAATTCTTCAACTGATAAATCATCTATTTGTAAAAACTTGATCAATTGCTCTTCAGAAAATTTGTTAAAATGATCCAAATTAAGAAACCATTTCGTATTTTTACAGATCAAATCGATAACTAACGATTGTAGTTGTTGAGATTCTTCGTTATCAAATGCTTCAGTAAAAATATTTTCATAGATCCAACTTGATTGATTTTCGATAAGGTACGCTTGAAGATATTCGACCATGTCAGTTAGTTGGAAACGTTTAGCAGCTTTCATCAAGTTCAACAAAGGTAATGAATTCATGGTTGAAACATTAATTTCATTACTATAGATAAAACTAGGATGGAAAAAGAAATAATAATTATAATTTAATTTAAAAAATGTTAAATTAATATTGAGAGATAATTATTAATAGCTACCTTAAGATTTTATCAAATATTTCAAAAGTATATTCGGGAAATTTAAATTGATAACGATCAAATTTATCAAATTCTTCATTTTCATCCATAGAATGTAATTTATTATGAAAGTAAACTGATCTAACTTTCAAGACAAAAGAATGACCAATCATTCTTTTAGAAGGTTTCCTGCCTACAATAAAAATAACATCATAATCAGCATTATTTTTACGTATTTGGCTTATTTCTTGGATGAATTTTTTATCCGAAGGTAATGGAATCATGTTTATAATGTGTCAAAATTTAAGATAGTGAAGAAAGTGGGTATCTATAAAATTTATGTTCCTTTTTATTTATTTATTTATTTTTTTCCACTGACGGACATGAGAAAAGAAAAAAAGAAAAAATTAAAATAGTATTTATTTACGCAAATTATAATTATTATTATGTCATTCAATTTCACATTTTTTTTTGTAAAAAAAAAAAGTATTATTAATCTAATAATCATCACATTTCTATACAAGTGGCGCAAGTGGCGTGAGAAACAATTTCAAGTTACTATATTACGTAGTGCAAAAAGTCTTATCAATTTAAATTTACCTATGTTTATTTATATATTAACTATTTTTTTTAGAATTTTTACATATAATGACATAATTAAAAAAATCAAAGAATAATGCTAAATTTATTTATACATTATACTTCATGTACTTGTAGATAATATAATTTGTAATACTACTATTTTTATCCATCGCGATTTTCTGTAATTGACGGTTTTTTCATCAGGCGCAAAATTAAGCTTTGAATGATTAATAACAGAATTAACGTATGCAATGTTTTCAAACGTTTTTCGTCATCTTTCTTGACTACTATAGAATTATTAATAGGTAATTTTTAGAACTCAAAAAAAGGATTTTAACCATCTTTTAAATTATGATCTTGATTTACAGTTTAAGGAAATGATGTATGTAAATTATAAACAAACGTTTCTTGAAACTTTTCAAATAATACATTTAATTCTAATAAAAAATTTCAAGCCAGGGATCAAATTGTGAACATTTTACGCAGTATGTATGGCATGACGCCTGAATCCAATATAAATGATCATGAATTACCCATTGTACAATTGTACAATTGGTTCAGTTACCTGACAAACAACTGAAATAAAAAATCAATCTTCGAACGGATAAGAGGTAAAACCAACAGAAAAAAATTCAATATTGGAATAAAAAGGATATCAAATGGATTAAAAAACAATATTCAGCTTCATCACCGACAAATCAAAGACAATACTATTTGGCCTGACAGTACTTATGCATAGAAAATACAACGAGAAGTATTGTACAAATGAAAAAAGTTGAAATATGGGAACATATATTAAAATGGGATCTATGATTTCGAGATGGAAATTTTGTTATATCCTTTTTATAAATGATTCTTGTGAGGGATCTAAGGAATTTTCTATAGATGATCATGAATATTAGATTTTAGAATATGATTTATACAGTATTTATGCAATGAACTTTAACTCGGTATATTTTAAGTCTACATAGTGTATATATTATTTATTAAAATCAAATAAACCAATGGTTTTTTTAAATTATTTTATAATGTAAATCTGAAAAATATTTTAAAGATTTGGATTTTTGCATGATATCGGTCATGCTTGCAGTACAAACAACTTGTCAACTTGGCGCAACTGATATATATATATACATACAGTATATGGATTTATGTGCACAAATTGAGTTAAGTCAAATTCGGATTTAACGAAGTCGAAATGGAAATGATTTTCTATAAAAGAAATTCTTTTTTTTTGAAAGTCTCAAAAGGAAGTATATTTCCTTTTTTAGGAAAATTATTTTTTAAAATCTAATACAAAATGATTTATATTTAAACGCCAAAATTCTTTGTACTTCAAATTCAAACAGTATGTACTTCCTTCGTTCCAATTTGCACAAATTGAGTTAGCTTGAATTTGGATTTTTTGCATATATATATATACAGGATTTAATAAATTATTTTTTTTTCTTTTTTAACGCTATGGTATATTTTTTTACGTTACAGTAATTTTTTTTTCATTTCCGATATAAACAAAACGTAAAGCACCAGAGTCCAGAGGTTAGGAATGGATCGATTGTACTGAAGAAATTATATCAGAAAACAATGTAAAATATTATGAATACGAAAATTTTTACAATATTGAGAAAATTGACGAAAAAACTTATCTTGCCAATTGGAAGAATTTAGAACAATATTTTATATTAAAATCCTTTAACCTTGACAACATCGGTGTAAATAAAGAAGAAATTATTCATGAAGCTTAAAATTCATAGTGAAGCTAAACGAAATTGCGGACAAAAATGTAAGATCCCTCAATTCATATCATACAATTTTAATTGGTTCCAAGTAAAGCAGAGGTCGAGGAGTTTGACGCTAACAATGAGAAGATGAAGGCTCGTCTTGCAAAAAATGACGAAAAGAGTGGAAATAGATAAACCAGTGGACCAGCAAAATGATCATTTCAATTTAGTGTGCATTTTTTATTTTTTTGGGTTAATTTAATTACATGCTTCAACAGTGTAAAGGGGTAACTGTCAGTAAATTTAATAGCCGAACTAAAGGAGTGGGTCGGTATCTTTGTTCGTTGTTAGGAATAATAACAAAGGCGTGGTATGGCAGGAGTGACATCTATCCGATGGACATCCTATACAATAAAATTTGGTAATAAATACCATTTGATATAAAAAAAAATGATGAAGTTAATTTTCATAAAAATATAATTAATCTATTTGGAATTACAGATAAAGGTATATAATATAGTACATTATTCAAATTCATAGATTTTTTTTAAAAAAAGTGTTTTAATACAATAAATTAATTATTATTTTATTTACGGCTTTTAGAATATCAAAATGATCAATCGAAGGAATATTTATTAGTAACGGAGTATGCTAACGGTGGATCACTTCAAAACTATTTGAAAAAAAACTCTAATAATCTCACTTGGAAAGATAAATACGAATTTGGCATACCAATTGACATGTGCTGTATTATTATTACATGATAAAGGAATTGTATATCATAATTTGGTAATATATTTATATTTATTTCGTTAAATTTTTTAAAATAAATAAACCTTAATTAAAAAATTCTTTGTTTTTTTAGTACCCTGGTAATATGTTTGTTCATCAGAATACTATCAACATTGGCCAATTTTGGACTATTAAGCAGAATCAAAAGAGCATCTAAGAGACAATCAGATTCGTTCGATAAAGTCCTTTATATTGATCCAAAAAAGTTAAATGAAAGTAAAGAGTTGATGCAATCGTGCTAATCAAGTGAAAAGGACGATATATACACTATTGGAGTGCTTTTACGGGAGATATCAAGCGGTAGACCACTATTTAAAGATGAGTTATATGATGGTAATTTAATTAAGAAAATTTTGCAAGGATATAGAGAAACGATTGTTTTAGATACTTTTGCTGATTATTCTAGTCTATATACTGGTAAGAATAATTTTTAATATTATAGTTTATCATATTGTCAGTTATCATACAAAAATTATAATTTTATATTAATGATTAGAATGTTGGAATAACGAACCAGACAATAGATCAACATTAATGGAGAATGTTGTGATAAAAATTATGATATGTCTTTTAAAATATCTAAATTATTAGCAAAAAAAGGATATTCTAAATATATTAGGATATTGTTATTGTACTGGAATTGGAACTAAAATTGACAAGCAAGAGGCGTTTGAATTATATGAAAAGGCAGCAGATTTAAGGAATATCAAAGCTATATTTAACCTTGCTGTTATTGTAATAGCCATTAAGGATGATACTAAAACTTTTGAATTATCCAAAAAATCAGCTGAAGGAGGGATTTTAGGTAGAATGACGATGTTAGGACATTGTTATCAACATGGAATTGGAGTTGATGTTGATATGCAAAGGGCATTTGAATACAATCAAATGGTAGCAAATTTAGGAAATAATTTGGGAGATGGAATTAAAGAAAATATAAATAAAGCAATATATTAGTGTGAAAAATCTGCTGAACAAGGACTTGATAGTGCTCAAAAAAAAATTAAAAGAATTTTTAGGAAAATAATTTATATCTATAATAGAATATTTTATGTAGCCTATTTTATAAACAATAACGTATTTTATAAATGTTGGTGAATTATTTATCATAATAAAATTTTTTATTGTTAAATCACTATAAAAAATTTATTAAATTTATTTGATGTTTTTTTTTATTCCATGTTATTTCCATATTCACGAAGTTTTTACAGAAATTACGGATAAAATTTTTATAGGTAACAAATTAAGCCGAAAAAATTTACCTGATTGATAAAAAAAAAAAATATTGTGGTAGCCAAAAAAATTTAACTATTTTTTTTTTGAATGATAAAAACCAAATTGTTTGAAAGATGCGTGAAATCTACTTACTATAAAGTAATGATCTTCCGAAGTAATAAATTTAAATATAAATAATTTTTTTTATTTTGAATTTATTTAAATGTAATATTATGCTAATTTACTTGGAAAATTTTCAAATTAACTTAGAAATTATTGGAGTTTGGCGTGGTTGGCATCAAACAAATATCAAATTTTTATCAACATGATACAAGTATTTCACTCCCAACGTAAAGTATTATATAAATTTCTTGAAAATCTATTTAATACATCAATTCTTAAATCTATTCTTTTAGCGACCAAGAGAGATAAAAGATTTTAAATTCTAAGAATATACATTAATTTTATAAAGCAAGATGCAAATACCAATTTGAATGTATAGAATACAAATTAACCCATCATTAATTAAAAGGACACGGTAAGAAACTCAACATAACACTATATTGCACTGTAACAGTAAACGAAATATTGATACCAAAATTGTATAAAATCTTAATTCTTTTTGAAATTTTTCTTAACGACTTAATACTTAAGTATCACGCGAAATACTTCGCATTCTTCTATAGAAAATACACCCTCAGTTTCTCTAATCGGTTTTTCATAAGAATTTTTACTACTACGACAATAATGAGAAAGTGTGTGAAGATCAAGCCCACATATTATAAGATCTCCATTACCAAATGATGGTCCATAATAGTATCCGTTATCTATAGCATATACTTTATCTGTTACGCGACTTAAAGTGGAACTTTCATTCCTATTAACGTTATTAAAGGAAAAGATAAAACTATTCTGACAAAAACTATAATTATTATCAGATTTCCATATAACCGGATTATATCCTCCAAGAATCTCGTTACTACCTGCCACTTTGACAATTGCTACAGTATGAGATTGATTATCACAAATTTGATGAAATTTATCTGGATAAAATCCGTCACGAGATCCACGAAATAATAATTTAAATTCAAATAAAGTAGTTAACTCATCAGTAATTTTTAATCCTTTAATCCATTTCGAGATTGTTTCGATATGTTGAAATGTAATAATTTTAGAATCAATGACCTTCGAATTAATTTTTTCAGATATACGAGGTTTTGATTTACTGCTTATCTTAGTATTATTATCTAAAAACTCCCTTAATAATTCTTCATATAATTCCTTGGATAGAATTTTCTTATAAGGAAATACTATATCTAAAAATTCTTTGGATGTTAAATTATGGAATCTAATAAAAGCCATACAATATTGTAAGGTATTCTTCAAAGTAATGAAATCATCTTTTGAAAAGTTTGTAACATCAGGGGGAAGTTCTGGATTTTGTGCTAACCCCCATTTAAGTACATGTTCCCAAATTTGAATTTCGCTCATTTGAAGATTATCTTCTTGAATTACTGAAACCAAAAGTTTTTCTGGAATTGAAGTGAAATTTGACGATTTAAATATCTTATCCGGCTCATTGGATATTAAATCGTTACAAAATTTTTGAAGACTCAAGAAAGAATCATCTTTAAAACTCGTTCGATATATCAAATTAAAATTTTGTTCCAACCAGTTTGCTTCATTTTCAATCAAAAAAGATTGTATATAAGCGATTAATTCCTGAAGTTTTAGTTCATTGGCGGCAACTAATAATTTAATAATATCTGAGGTATCACATTCTTTCAAAGAAAGCCTACCACCATAAATATATCTAAAATAAAATAAAAGTACTTGCTCGTAAGATTAATCAAATTGATATAAAATAATTGCTGATTCCTACCTTAAAATAATTTCAAAAATTTCAGGTAAAATATTGGGTAATTTAATATGAGCCAAGTTCTCATCACTTTTCTTTTTATTAGCTGACAAAATTTCTCGCAGGCAAGGAGAACGATAATTTAAGATAACCATATGAGCTCGGAATATTTTTACATTAGGATCGTTACCAACTTCAATAGTAACATCATGATATTCGTCGTCACTCAAAATTTCAAGTAAATTTTGTGATAATGTTGGTAAAAATTTAATATTATCCATTATGTTTGTTACTAATTTACTAGCATCTTTAGAACTTGAAGTAACATTCCATTTTTGCAAAGTAAATCGCTGATTCTGGCCATCATTTTTCTTTTGTAAAATGATAGGTGCCCAATCATCCTTGCTTGCATCCTGTATAAGCACAGATTTTAAGAAAAAAATTTAATTTATTGCCAATACTTCAATATTTCTATCTTTAAATAGCACGATAAAATATTTTACCTTAACTTCAAGAACAAAACTTGGATCAGATCTTAAATTAATAGTATTGTTCTCATAGTCGTAATCCCATTCCTGATTGACAGCGGGTACAGCGTGAGTGGGAAATTGAATAATACGTGCACCTTAATGATGAAATTGAAATATTAAAATACGTTAATCTAGCAGAATCCCTACTCAAGGAATTGAGTATTTAAATTCAAAATTATTATTTTTCAGTTGCTCCAAATGAAATAAATGGATAATAAATGGAAATAAATTTCAAAATTAATAACTACTTTATATAAGGTAGTTTATAAACCAATAAATTGATATTTCTTACCATTTTGGAATTGACCTTGATTAGTAAAGAAAAAATTGGATTTAGAATTAGAAGATTTTGATTTTGAATAATTCTAATAATTATAATCATCACTTACCTTCGTAAACATCAAGTACGAGACCGGATCTTTTGTTGACAATAAATTTACCATCAAAATACCAGAGTTGAGTACCAACCTAAATGTAAAAAAAAAAAGAAAAATTAATTGATTCAAATAAAGAAGTATTTTATTATAATATTAAATAGTAATACAAAGACTTTACACTAGAATCATCCTCGGATTTTTTATTATATTGAATAATTTTAGAACTAGAATGAAGAGAACCGCATTCAACTTCAATAACCTTTCCGGAATGTTCAGCTATAATCCAATAATAATTAACCATTTTTGGAATATTCAACAAAAAGTTGAATGTAAATTGTTTCTGCCAGAAGTAAAAGAAATATCGATTGCCCGAGTACTACAGCCTGAAAAAAATAAAAATCGACAGGCAAAATTTCTGATTTTAGTTAAATCATCCTTATCCTCGGAGAAAAACGGCGATAAAAATACGCCCTGTAAATATGAAATGAAAACATAACGCAGATCATTGAATCGGAAATAATACGGCCCGAAAAAAAATAAATAATAGTGGTCATTCTTTCTATTTTTGGTTAAAACCCCTTTTTCAGTGATAAATTTGACATCGGTGGTTTTTTTTTGGAATAATTTACTGCGCACATGAAAAATAATTGTAGATAAATAACACGACTACAGTATTCGGTAGAGGTGTGTCGTTCGTTACACGCCATACGTTAAAAAATAACAAAATCAGATCTTTGCTTTTGATTCTCACGTTTAACCCAAAAAAATTTAAAGTTCGTCTGTTATAAATTGTACCAAAATGAAATTGGTATTATCAAATTAATTAATTAAACTGATCATTTTTTAATAAATAGCAGCCGTTAAGTCGTAACTTAAGAAGAAATTAACGATTTCTTAATAGATTGTGACTAGATACTTCTTAGAATCTCTACATCGTGATATTATCGGATCAAAAGCACAATAATTATTGATGTTCCTTCCAATATATAAGGTCATTTAGATAATACATCATATCTTCTAACGATGATATCAGAAAATAAAGAAAATGACAGGAAGAGTCATAAATTGGATGATGATGGTGGAGTTCGTTCAATTGGAATAGTATTCATATGTTTACTGTTACCGAAATGCAAAGATTTGCGTTACGGATTCTACAATTTTATTTGAATGGTAAGATAATTTAAAATATTAAATAATTGGGTATTTTTATTTGCTAATCATATTTTCTTTTATAAACGGATAATGAAGGAATTGGCAATTCTTCGGCGATAGTGTACTTCAAAGTTGAACTAAATCACAACCTGAGTCTACAAATATTTTTTTCGCTGTAGATTGCACAATCTTTATATTCAATAGCTGACATTCAATTTTGTGTTGATAGAAGCCTGTAAGATTTAGAGAACATCTAGTAAGTTTCGTTGATACATAAATTTCCAGTAATTTTTCGTTATATAATTCTAACATATTCAATAGAATTTATATAGTTACTGCATATATTTTAGGTTATTGATTTGGTAGTGGTAATTGGATTAATTATTGTGGAAGTAAAAGGTAAGTTTACCATTAAGCAAAATTTGCTTGATTAATTATTTATTTACTTAAAAGATTTATTTTTTTTTTCATAGATTATCGTAGTACCATCATCATTCCATGGTACAAATACACATCCTTCGCCTTTCAATGAGTCGGTATTAAATAATGCTGATGTTATCATTCTTAGCGAATTGTATGATAAGGACTGAAAACATTCTTATGGAAATTAGAAATCGTGTTGGTACGTTTATCGAAATTTAAGTTTAGCATGATTTATAATATTTTTTAATATTTTTTAATATTTTAATCAACGCTTAGGAAATGTTTTATTCCCTTATACGATGAATAGAATTGTCTTTGATATAATAGGTTTTGAGTAATAACACCTAAGGGCTATAGGATTACGTGATCTCTTATAACTGAGGAATTCCTCAAAATAATATTCTAATATATCATTTAGGGAGTGGTATGTTTATTACTATTACAGTATGACAAAAAATTAAGCACTAGATGAAAATATTTTTTGCTAAATACTATCTTTATGTCATTAGGATATTTACCGAGAGACAGCAAAAGATGTACTTGTCAAATAATCTTGACGCCCCATCAAGACATGGTTGAGCAGTCGTTATTATACTATGCATACAAGAAAAATATCAGGAACACATGCGTTGTCTTTGCAAATCAACCATCATTATGTAGTGGTGAATCCATTAATTTTATTAGGAATTGGGAAAATAATTCGAATATTCAATAATATTTACAGGCTTAGTATAGTACAATAATTTTTATTGCATTTAATAGTAAATCCGAGTATGATTGTGAAGAGGTTACTACAATGAGATAATAAATATGTTTGGTGAAAGAAACAAAAAATTATTAGCGATCCGAATTTGTCGAACTTAATAATCACTTTATAGGAGTGCTTAGATTTTTTAAGGCACTAATTATTTAAAAATCATAGTGACCTCGTATTGAAATAAATTGTTGCTTTGGATTTAATTTTAGATCTTGATTGCTGGTTTATCAAATAAAATTTTGAAACTTATTATTAATAAAGTGGTTAATATTGTGATTTGTAAATAAACGAACGATAATATACGTAAAACTTGAATGTCTGTCTAACTTTACAGATCAAACTGAAAAAAAAATTAAATTTAAAAATTTATTGTGCGAAATAGTCAACCACACTAACCAAGAATTTCAGTTTATATTGAACCGTTATCCACAAAAAACACTGATCCGGGGCATAAAAGAATAATTTGTTAATTTGTGCACAAAAGAAGGAAGAATTTTGTCTGGATCATTGACTATGAAAATTTTTTAAATTTTTTGACATTATAAAATAAAATTTTGCAAATTAATAATAATACAGTATGTAATATTTAATAGCGAGTAACTGTTGTATTTGTAATAGCAATATGATTGGTGGAATTTGCTGAGCTGCGCTCAGTGATTATATTCATCCATTGTAAGGCACGATAGTGCCGCAGTTATGAGGTCACGTGTGCAGAGTAAATGTTTTATCAGGCTTAATAGGTTTTTTATACGACTTAGTAAATATAAAAAAAAGAATTTCATACAAATTGTTATTTTTATTTCTCATAAATAAAATGAAAATAAAGGTATAATAATGGTTTATATTGTGAATAAGTTTTATGTAGAATGATCATAAATCTTTCTGTCATGACTTAATCCAGCCACAGAAATCTACTCAGTCTTTATCCCACGAGACGCTTTCATAATTATTTCTAGTTTAATATTGAAATTTAATAATAATATATGATTAAATAAATATTAAATTCACAATTGCATTTTATCAATTTTATTATTATTTTTTATTATAAACTAGAGTAGCATGCAAAAACACACCAATTATTCACGAAGTGCTGAACTTGAAAGCGACCCAAAATAGTATAAATAAGGTGCCAATTAAGCAATACTGATTACCAAATGAATTTTGGCTTTAAACGTTACGCTTGTAAAGTTTGATATTTTCAACAGAATTTAAATAATAAATTTCGATAATTTAACGACTATATTTTAATGTTGCTTAAAATAAATAAATATCATGAAAAAGGAAATTTGTTAATTCATTAATTCAGTGTTCGGCAAATGACTTGAAATGACCGAATGATTCAAATGACAAATGACAAATGACATGTCTTTTCAATACAAATGACTTCGTCATTTGAATGTAATTATGGCCAGCATTATTTTTTAATTATAGTCACATGATTATTTATGTGATAAATATTAGCCAATCAAAATCAAATGATTGAAATGACCAAAACGTGACTAGAAATTATTTTTAACTTTTTAACGTTTTTATAATTTATCAATAGCAACCAATTTTAATTTTAAAGTTAAAGGTAGTGTTTACCCTATCTCACACTATGTTATTGATCCAACATATTTACAATCACATTATTCACATATCAACAGTCTTAAACATAAAGGAATTATGTTTTTGGACCAGATTATCACGATCGATTCAGCATACTTAATAAACTAAAAGAAAGTCTTAAAAGCAAATATGGAAGAGTCCCAAGGGTATAATCTCCTCAAAGATCATATTACACTAACAAATACAGGCAGATTAAATATCGGCCTAGGACAAGAGCTTGTCCAAAATCCTAAAGTACAACGTCCTAAACCTCCACCCGTCGAAGGCGAACCTTTCCCATCAAGGAAGACCAAATGGATTGCATCATGGTCTACTACCATTAAAGACGTCACATATGGAAAACTTCTCACGTCAACACCCTTCCCTCAATCAATTCCCATCCTTTATGCAGAACATTGGATATCTAAACAAATAGACACAATGGATCAAAACCTCGCTCCCAGAAAAACACAATTTTACCTTGTCAAGGTTATTTCTTGCATTATCCCTAATATATTGGTTCGTTAAAACCAAAATGCATCCTTCAGATTAAGCATTCTATTTCTATTTTAATCCATGAAACAAAAAAAAAGTTTACTTCCAACCATTTATTATGGCTATAATTTTTTTCATATATTTAAAATATAGTCATCCTTATTACAGATTATTAACTTACAATGATCACTTAATTCAACTTAATATATTTAATCCTTTACAAACACATATTTCTGTTCCGCCTAATTATCAAAACAATATCACAACAAACTGTACCTTAATAAATAGTTTATAGAAAACATAGACATAGCTGACGATCTCAAACATTTGGCTAACCTAATTTCTAGAGACAAAAGTTAGCTGATCACGTGGGTAAAGTTTATTGATAAAGCACAAAAACACTTCTTTTGATTAATAATAAATCTCATTCATATTTAAAACGAATCACGAAAAAATAAAATGTGTGATCACAGAAAATAAAATGATATTTTATTTTAATTCAATACTTGCGCCACACATCCACGGAACAGATTTTCTTTTTTCAAAAATCAACACGGCTTATTTTTTTGTAGAAATTGTGTTTTAATTATATAATTTTGGAATAGTAAACATTCTACACGAATATGAAAAAGAGACAAGGTGTTAATTGATGATTAATTGATTATAATGGCGTTCAAATGACTTTATTTAAAGTTAATTAATGATATATGCAAAGAATTGACTATATTGATAAAATACCATATGTTTTGTTTATAAATAGGCAGAGAATTATTCTTCAAAAAACTAAAAAGTAATAAAAAAATTCAAATAATAAATAATTAAGCTCGAAGCATTTTTACACGCGTATAAATCACTTCTCAATCTCTCCTTTAATTCAACATCCAACGATTAAATCGAACGCAAATTCACTCTATTCATGATTTCCAAACTTTTGCTTTTACGTCGAATATGTGCATCTTGTATTATTGAAGGTTCATTTATTTTTTATTTTTGAAAC